AAAAGAGAGGGTGAGGGTGAGGGTGAGGGTGAGGTCGGGAGAGAGACTATAGAGGTAGAGGGTAAGAGAGGCGGCGATCGAATTTGAGAGAAAGAAAGGTAAAGGAGCTAGCTAGGTTTAGTTGTGGTTGTGATCTAGTGCAAGCATCCTCAAGGTAAAACTCTTCTTTTACCCAATAAACAGAGGCCACGTGGTATATTTATATATTATTGATTAATGCTCGGTTCGGGTCAGGTTTACCGGTTTCAAATTTTTTTGAACTGAAGGCCGAACTATTGACTTCGGCTCGGGTCAGGTTCAGTGTTGACTGTTTCGATCTGATAAAAAAAACCTAATTTTTCAGTTCGATTTGATTTGGTTCGGTCGGTTCGTTCGATTTATCGGTTTTTATGCCCACCCCTAAAACTAACAGCAGTAGTTAACGTCTATTTAGAGAAAGAAAAAAACTTGATGATGATTATAATATTGGCCTAAATTTAATAAAATATGGATAAATGTGTAGTGTCTAAATGCAGAGACTAAAGATCGTTGGAAATGCTCTAGGCTCCAATGAAACTTTCGAACACTGAACTTTTTTATTTTCCAGTTTTACCCCGTAAGCAACACTAAGTGTCCACCTCTATTTCTCTTCCCTTCTCTTTTCTTTCTGTTTCTCTCTCTCTCTCTCTCTCCTCTCTCTCTCTCTCTCTCACCAACAAACGAAATAATTTTCTTTTTAATTTTTAATTTGTTTTTCAATGAGAAGTACATCACTTCACTCGTTGACCATGAAACCATAAGACATCAAAAACTCTTCCGAAGTAGGTTGTGTGCTGTATATTTTACCCACACAAAGAAAAATATTATGAAACTGTAAGACAAAAACTCATGTGAAATTCGTGAAAAAACAGTGCGCTTCCAGCAAAACACCTTCGCCTTGCCCCGATGCGCTCCTCTTGGAACGCCTCACCACCTCCTTCCAAAACCTTTATTATCATCAATTAATCTAGTCTATTGGTTTTATAGAAGGGAAGTAACTTATTTTTTTCAACTAATGGAGGTGGAGTTTCGAACTTAGGAACTCTTCCAATTTTGGGAATAGAAATATCACTAGAGTTAGTTGGTTGGCAAGTGATCTATTTATATTAAGAAGAATTAGACAAAGAAACCTTAAATTGTGGTTATCCTACATGTCAACAAGTTTAATTCAATTTCAAATTTTCACCTTTGAAGCAGCTTTAGACTTAATAAACAACGTTGAAGTGCAAGCCATCATAGGGCTAGAATCATCAATGCAAGCCAGCTTTGTAATTAGTCTTGGAGATAAAGCTCAGGTGCCCATCATCTCATTTACAGCAACAAGCCCTTCCCTTGGGGGTTCATATTTATTCCGAATTGCACAAAACGACTCATCTCAAGCTGAAGCCATTAGCACCATCATCCAAGCCTTTGGTTGGAGTGAAGCAGTTCTCATCACCATTGACAGCGAGTTCGGGTTGGGAGTAACACCTTACCTCACCACTGCCTTGCATGCCGTTGGTGTTCGTATACCATATTGGAGTGTTATTTCTCCAATGGCCACTGATGATCAAATATTGGTAGAGCTTTACAAGTTGATGAAAATGCAAACCAGGGTCTTCATAGTGCATATCTTGCCTTCTCTTGGCTTTCGGTTTTTCGCCAAGGCAAAGGAGGTTGGCATGATGGATGAAGGCTACGTATGGATAGTGACAAGTGGGATGGCCAACGTTTTTAGTTCCTCAAATTTTTCTGTCATAGATAATATGCAAGGGGTGTTGGGTTTAAAGACTTACGTTCCAAACACAAAAGAGCTTGAAAATTTTAGAGCTCGATGGCAAAGGAAATTCCAGCAAGACAATCCAACTATCCCAGATGATAAATTGAATGTTTTTGGACTGTGGGCTTATGATGCTGCTTGGGCACTAGCCATGGCAGTTGAGAAGGTTGCGGGTACGAACTTCAGCTTCCAAAAGATGAACATTTCTCCTAATTCAACTTATTTGGGAAGATTGGAGGTCTCTCAAAGTGGTCCTCAACTTGCCCGAGAAATATCGCGTACAAGATTCAAAGGGCTTTCAGGAGATTTTAGCCTTATTAAAGGCCAATTACAATCATCAACTTTTCAGGTAATTAATATGAACGACAATGGGGAAAGAGGAGTTGGATTTTGGACACCCCAAAATGGACTTGTAAGAAAATTAAATTGGAACAACACAAGCACATATTCTACTTCTAATGCCAATCTTGGACCTATTATATGGCCGGGAGAGACCATGTCCACTCCGAAAGGTTGGGATATTCCTGCTGGAAGTAATTTAAGAGTCCTAGTGCCGGTGAAAATGTTATTCAAAGAATTTGTGAATGTGACATATGGTCCTAGCAATCACACAACCACGGTCGCTGGATACTGCATAGAAGTCTTTGAAGCTGTAATGAAGACACTACCATATGCTGTTTCTTACCAGTTTATTCCCTTTGCAACGCCTAATGGAGAGAGCGCTGGCACTTACGATGAGTTGGTAAATCAAGTGTTTCTCGGGGTACAACTTGTTTGCTGTGCTTTTTCTTCTCTCTGAATTCGCTTTTACACTTTCTGAAATGTTGAAATTTTACTTGACAGAAATATGATGTTGCAGTTGGAGATATAAGTATTAGAGCAAACAGAGCCTTGTATGTTGACTTTACATTGCCATACACAGAATCTGGGATGTCAATGATTGTGCCTATCAAAGACAACAATAATCCTAGAAACACATGGGTGTTCTTGAAGCCTTTGACCTGGGACCTTTGGGTTACAAGCGGTTGTTTTTTCATATTCATTGGTTTTGTGGTCTGGGTTCTTGAATATCGGATTAACGAAGACTTTCGCGGCCCTCCGCATCACCAAGTTGGTACAAGTTTGTGGTTCTCCTTCTCAACCATGTTTTTCGCACAGCGTAAGTTACTGTCATGACTATTCTGCAGTGGTCTCTTTATAAAATAATATTTATTACTTATTCCATATGACTCGTTCTTGTCATGAAGTCCTTTTGTGTTGTGAATTTTTGTTACAGGGGAGAGAGTAGTAAGCAACTTGGCTAGGTTTGTAGTGATCATATGGTGCTTTGTTGTCCTCATACTGATTCAAAGTTATACTGCCAGTTTAACATCATTTTTAACAGTCCAACAGCTCCAACCAACCGTCACAGATGTAAACCAGCTCATGAAGAATGGAGACAATGTTGGCTACCAACTAGACTCTTTTGTTTATGAGACCTTGAAACAAGTAGGATTTCAGGAGGACAAATTGAAGGCCTTTAATTCGACACAATACTTGAACCAACTTTTTCAAGACGGGATTGAAAATGATGGCATTTCAGCAGCTTTTGGTGAAACTCCTTATTTGAAACTTTTTCTTGCAACTTACTGCTCAAATTATACCATGGTTGGGCCATCAGTTAAAGCTAACGGTTTTGGCTTTGTAAGTAATTCATTTTGTTGTTGTTTCTCTTTCTTAAATTCTTTTTGGATCTCTCACTCTCTTCTTAAAAGTATGCGAACAGAGAAGTGAGCATCTTGCAGTTGGTGTTCTCATGTTCCTTTACTTTTTGGTGAGTTGCATTGCAGGTCTTCCAAAAAGGTGCACTTCTCACACGCGAAGTTTCGAGGGCAATCACTCTTGTACGTGAGGGAGATGTCATGAGGCACATCGAGGACAAGTGGTTCAACAAAAATGCAAGCTGTTCAGCAAACCTCAACACCGCGGCAGCCTTCACCAACAGTCTGACTCTTGGCCTTAACAGCTTTTGGGGCCTCTTCCTCGTTGCTGGGGTTGCTTCTTCGTTAGCTCTCGTCATTTTTGTAGCTATGTTCCTCTATGAGAATATGCACACCTTGACATGCTTTGATTCAAAAGCCTCATTATGGAGAAGGATTCTTGCGGTATTAAGAGTATATGACCAAAAGGAACTCAATACGCATACTTTTAAGAAGAGGACACTGCAAGAGGCTGTTGTTCATGGCATAGGTGCGGTTGAATCCTCACCGAACATCAACTATTCTCTAAGGTCATCAAGCAATTCAATTTCAAACCCCACTGAATCACACATTGTTCTTGAAGAGCTGCGAACGCCTTCTACCGAGCGTGGCGATCTGAATCTCAATGGTCAAGCAACCCAAGACGCTGAATATTCTATTGAGTTGGCTTCCCCAAGTGAAAAAGGGACATATAACTAGTAAAATATATTGCCCAAGAAAGCTATTGATTTGGACTAGATGTAAAATATAACGGATGGGTAGGCCTCTTTGACATATTCTGTTGTCATAATGTGTACTGTTCCCATGTTTTTTTGTTTTATGGCTAGTGTACATGTACATGTTATATATCACTCAAAATCTTTCTATCAGAAATTGGAGCAAAAGCCACTGGTAAGACCATCTCCAACCCAAGGGGTGGAAACTCAAATTTTGAGTTTAGCCTCCAAAAAGCTTCTCTAATCCATGTATTTTTTGGGGGTGAAAATTTGAGAAATCTCAAAACTGGACTGGAATTCCAGTCTGATTTCTGCCTGGACTGATAAATTCATGGGCCCAAAATCTGCTTTAATTTTTTTTTCGGCTAGAAGCCCACATGATGGGCAATTGATGCTGGGCCCGCTAACAAGTGGGAAAAAGCAAATTCCCGTTTTCTTTATTGATGGCCAACGGCTACCTTTTCAAATAATATGTTATGCTATTTTTTAAAAAATATATTCCAACAGTTATAAAATCAATGATTATGATTCATTTTAGGCAATCTTAACGGTAAAATTTCACATCCAACGGCTCAAATTTAAATTCAACAGTCAAATTAATATTTATAATTAATCTAAGTCAGATCCAACCCCAAAACTTATTCCAAACTCTATAAATAGCTATTCATTTGGTAAATAATCCATCAAAAATCATTTTTTTCCTTTCTCCCTTTGTTTTCCTTTCTCCCTTTGTTATAATTTTTCATTCTACATTCATTCTTGTTGAGAATGACCCCAAAACCTCAAAGAGGGTGGGTTTCTGTCTCTGAAGATGGGGCTATTGGAACGAATCAATCAAACGACTCATTTTGGTTGCGTGTGTACCAAATTGTTTTGGAAAATAATCCAGGCATGGGCGGAGCCAGGGTACGATCACCACAAGCTGTTGCTTCTCGGTTCAAGATCATCAACCAACAATGTTCTTTTTGGAAGGCATGTATAACAAAGGCTAATGCAAGGCATGTGAGTGGCTCCAATCTTGAAGATGTATTTTTTTCAATGCTTAAATTTATAATTTTAATTGTTTTCAATTATTAACTTGAGTTTTATTTTATTTCATGGGTAGGATATGAATGCAAAAACACTTTTCTTGAATGATAATAAACCACCGAATAGGCCTTTCAAGTTGTATCATGCTTGGCAAATCTTCAAAGATTGCTCAAAATGGAACGACATATGTGAATCTCCCACACAAACATTCAAAGATTCTTCTCATAGTGGCAATACAGTCAATTTGGAGGAAGATGAAGATGATGTGGTCATGCCCACTCTAAGGTCGTTAGGAAGAGATAAACAGAAGGATGAAAAAAAAGAAAGGGTAAGGTGTTGAAAGTTATTTCAACCAAAGTGGTAAGTTCTTGCCTGAATTGGTTCAACAAGGAAATGAGGCAAAAGAAGATAGGAGGCGAAAGTTAGAGCTCATACAAGAGCAACATGCATATCAAATCCAACAAGATAAGGAGGCCAATGAACAGAGGATAATGTACATGAACCTATCGAAATTTACTCCAAGAAAGAAGAAGTATTGGGGAAATAAGCAAGACGAAATTATTGAGGTCCAGATGAATACAAGTTCCCCCTACAATCCAGAAGACAACTCTGGAGACTATTATTATCCAAGCCCTCCACATAGTGGTTATTAATTTACGTTTATTTGTAATTGTTGTTTACCTTTATTTATAATTATCGTTTATCTTTATTTGTAATTGTTGTTTATCTTTATTTATAATTATTGTTTATCTTTTTTTATGATTGTCGTTTATTTTTCTATGATTAGTCTTTTTTTAAATTCAATGATAAACCATATAATTCATTAAAATCACACAACCACTTTTATAATTTAAGTACACTTTCATAATTTAAACACACAACATAATTTAAACACACTTACATAATTTAAACACACAACATAATTTAAACACACTTACATAATTTAAACACACAGCATAATTTAAACACACAACATAATTTAAACACACAACATAGCTCATTGCCCCTCTCCTTCGCATCTCCAAATGTGGTTGATCAAATCATTTCTTAGATTGTGATGCACTTGCGAAGCACGAACTCTATTATGACGGACCATGTAGTCTAAGATAGTTTGTCTGTCTCGGTTTATATCGTATGTGATAGTTGGCTCAAGCTCATAAGCAAGTCTTGTTCTTGCTCTTCTAGGTATTCGTGGACAATTGTCTTCATCATCAGATTCTGCATCTAGATCCTCATACTCATCCTCAACAATCATGTTGTGCAATATTATGCACGTCATCATGATTGAATGAAGTTGTTCTTTGCGCCACATATGTGCAGGTCCCCGAACAATTGCCCATTGAGCTTGAAGTATTCCGAAGGCTCTTTTGGCATCCTTCCTATAAGCCTCTTGTTTTTGGGCAAATAGTTTTTTTTTGGAGTATCCGGTTGGGAAATCTTCTTAACCAATGTAGCCCAACGAGGGTAGATATCATCAGCCAAGTAATAACCAAGATTATATTCATTTCCATTGACAACATATTGGATATGGGGACACACTCCATTGACTACATCATTGAACAACAGGGAACTAGCTAGGACGTTGATATCGTTGTTCGATCCGACAACTCCAAAAAAGGCATGCCATATCCAAGTGTCATATGAGGCCACTGCCTCTAGAATGATAGTTGGCTTATGCTTGTAGCCGGTAAACTGGCATGCCCAAGCAGTGGGGCAGTTCTTCCATTCCCAATGCTTGCAGTCAAGACTGCCTAACATGCTTGGGAATCCTTTGCAACTAGCCTTGTGTAAGAGCCTGTAAAGGTGGGCAGAATTTGGGGAACGGAGGTACCACTGACCATACACGGCTTCAATAACAGAACAAAACTTTCGCGAACATTCAAGGGCTGTAGATTCACCCAATCTACAATACTCGTCGGTGGAGTCTGCCGAGCATCCATATGCAAGCATTCGAAAATGGTTGTTAGTTTCTCCCCTAGGGATAGACTTTGTCATCCTCAAGTGTCTATCTTCTGGGTAAAGTATGGCTCATATGCAACAACATCATTCAAAATGCGATAGAAAAGCTCTCTTCTCATGTGGAACCGTCTGTGAAAGTCCACTGGGGGATAAAGTGGTCTTTCACAGAAGTAGTCCTCCATGAGACTCTTATGTTTTTCTCTCTTCCGATTCTTGTATTCACAGCCTGCAACAGAACCATCATGTTCGGATTGTTGAGAATATTGCTCCAGCAAAAACCTATGGTGTTGAACAGCCATTGCAACCCTCTGTTGATGAAGGTCATCATCATCAGAATCATCATTGAAGAAATTTTGTATAGCCTTCCCACGTGAATGCATTGTAAGAATGAGAATTGAAGGAGATTGTGTGGTCAATTCAGTAGAATAACACTTCTTAAATAGACAAGAGAATGAGATGACCTACATGTTTGAAAATAATTGAAGATAGGAAAAGATAGGGAAAGATAAGGGAATCCAATAAAGTGAGATGAACAAAGATGAGCAATGGTTCAGAACGTGATTGAAACAAGACAAGATGGGAAATGGTTCAGAAATAATTGAATGAAAATAGGAAAAGATAGGGAAAGATAAGGGAATCCAATAAAGTGAGATGGACAAAGTTGAGCAATGATTCAGAACATGATTGAAACAAGACAATAGGGGATGGGAAAGGGTTTATAAAATAATTGAAGAACACAAGTGGAGGTGGCCAAAAGTTCAAAACATTATTGAATGAGGATAAAGGAATCCAATGAAGTAAAAGTAAAAGTAAAAATGGAAGAAAATTATGGCAATGGCTTCAATGAAGGGTTCGAATTATTCCGGGCATACGTATGGTGTTGTACTTGTTTTTATTTTTAAGTGAAATTCTATTATGTTTTGGAATTTTAATTTTTTTAGGTTAAAATGTTTAGAAAATTAAATCATGAGTATTGAAACAAAAATAACGTTAAGAAAAAGTAACAAGAAAAATTAATTAGGGGTTAATCATTCTTAAAAAATTTAATAAAGTTGCGGACTGAAATTATGAGTCTGCAAGGTTGGAGGGAAAAAAATTTGAGTCTTGAAAATACATGAATAGTTGTATTTTGGAGGGTGGAAATTTGAGTTTAGCCCCAATATGGTTGGAGATGGTCTAACAAGGCCATTGTAGCAACATAAATACATTTTCTACTCTAGTAGCTACAAACACTACGTTTATGTATACAAAAATTTGCAAGGGACCACCTAGTAGCTATTAACTAATTAAATGTTGTGGCCAACTAGATTTGTGCTAGTATACGATTCCAACAGCCACGGATAACAAGTGTCTATTAATCTGCAGCCAGAAAAGACGTGGCCAATTTTAAAAAGGGTAAATTATTGAAATGCCCCTGTAACTCAATTTCATTTCCCTCCCCCCCCCCCCCCCCCCCCCCCCCCCCCCGCCTGAAACTCTTAAGTGTCTCACTTTCCCCTATGAAACTCTATTTAGTGTCTCAGTTTGTTTGGATTCCATCTAGACGCCTTAATAGAAGTCATCTAACTCAAACTTGCACACGTGACACCCATGTGCTGTTTTTCTGGGTTCTTCTATCTATGTAGGCGTTGAAGTGGCAAAAAGGCCAGATCCACAATAGATGTAAATAGGAAATGAGTTCGAATTAGGGTAAAAGATTATACCCCAAATTTTTTATTTTTTTTGGGGTAAAATAGGTTACATATCAACAGAAGGGGGAAAACGTCAACCATATCTTCAATTAGGGTAAAACAGAGCTCTCATCATTTGCACAAGTTCATTAAATCTTCAACAATTGAAGATTGGGTGATTTACATATCAACAGTTGAAGATTCGTTGACCATATCTTCAATTGGGTGATTTCAAAATCTGGGTAAACCAATCGAATCTTCAACAGGGGAAGGTGTAAATCGAATCTGACAATGACAGAAGCAAGAGGACCTTTAGATTCTTTATTTATTCTTGGCTTTGGTGCGAATTGTATATTGTGGTTTGTTTTGAAGACAATGGTTTATTGATCAGTTCATAATTGTTTATCATTTTGAACACTTCTAGCTTCTAATTTAGCTATGTTTTTGAGTTAAACTTGTGATGTTAATCTCTTTTGTGTTTATCATTCATTTAATTGAACTTTAGGTAGCCAATGTGGTTTTGGATAGGAAAAGATGCAAATGGTGCAAAAACGTGCAGATTGAGTTAGCAATTCGTTTCAGCCTTAATTCCTTCCTTCGACCTTGGATTGGCCCAAATGACATGTGGTTGGAAAAATGACATTCTGAACTTCAATATGGATGGCTCAGAGTCATTAGTTGCTTAAGGGAAGCCTAATTCGTGAGCCCATGAATTTGCTAGTCATGCTAACCTAAGGATGAGCTAAGTGTTGCTTGCTCATGATAAGCAATGCATGAGCTATGGTTTCTAGTGAGATTTGTTGGTGAAGTGCAGCAGCCAAATAAGAAAAGAAATTGATTTTGAATTGCATTGGTGTGTTAGGTAAGGTTGGTGAAGTGAGTGTTGTAGGTGATAGCCATACTCAATTCACATTTCTCACTTCCTTCTCCCTATAAATACCACTTCCATTCCGCACTAAAATGACACACATCCTAGGATTCACAATCCCACAAATCAGTCCATCCATCCTCCACATTCTCATCATTCCCCAAACACATTCAAAAATCACCCTCAAACACTCCAACAACCCCAAACACTCCAACAATCAACCCACCACTCTAAACAGCCCCAAATCACCAAAACGGTCCCAGCAAGCCTTCCATTTCCTTACGCATTTCCTCTTTCTCAGCCATCACCACTCACCTAAACTTATCCCAAATCACCTCCTTAACCTTCATACATACTTCTAGATTTGGAGAAGCTCTTGGAGAAGCATTAGACATGGAGAAGCTCTTGGAGAAGCATTGGACATCACAAGAACTGCCGAAAAATGTTTTTCTACTCTTATTGCATTTATTATGTTTTCTCATTTCTGTTTAAGTTTCCTTCCCATTATGAGTAGCTAAATCCACAACTAAGTCTTCGATGTAACCTAACATAAATATTATGGGTTTATAAATTTTAAGTTTCAAGTTTGATTCATGATTCATATTCTTATTCATTATGCCTACCTGCCTATATGCTAATCGAAATCCCTAGCTATCATTCCGATTTGTGTATCTTGGGTTGGAATTAAGAGTAGACATCATATGCTTTAATTCTAATTGAACTATGAATAGGAAGAGTATGTTTGGACATTCAACAACACGGATTAGATATATGCTTGGTTGTTTAAAACATTTTTCTATGCTTAATGGATTTCTAATGCTTAATTTAGGTTCGACAACAAAGATCTAATAAGGGAATTAGGAATACAAGATTAGGACCAGACATCATGACTTAATCATACTTTAGCTAAAATCAATCTTTGAATATAAATTAGACTTGTCACTTGAATCCATATAACTAGAATTGAATTGTTATGGTGAATCGAATGCCCTAGTCTCCAAATTTGTTTTTCAACATTCAAAACCACCCTTTGTTGCATTTGCTTACTTTGCTTTTGTTTGCAATTTCATTTTGCTTCATTTCTTTGACAATCACAGTCACTCTCACTTTAAATTCTGTTGCGACAAGGTCGAAATAATTGGTGTTATGGTTTTCATCCACATTCCCATATATTTATAACAAAACCAACATTAATATTATCCTATTAATATAGGAAAACCATAAATATATTGTATTGATATTTATTATATCGGTAATATATCCTAATTGGTTTGGCTTTCCTGTATATTAATGTAAGTTAAATATTTAATGTGGCCCCTTCAAAGTGGGACCATGTGCAATTAATCACTTTGCTCATGTCAAACACCGGCCTTGGTGACCACGATGCAAGCACGGTGGCAAACTTTTAATTCGATTCCCTTTATATATAGTCTACTATATATATTTTTAACCTTGAATGTTTGTTTCTTGGGTTGAATATTGGCAAATTTTGGGATAACTTCAAGCCACATATAATCACACTTATTTTTGCAGAAGAGGTCCCTCCTAGTACTTTTCATTTTGGTATAACCCTTAGAAAGAGTTTTATTGTTTCAGACCCAAGCTCAACAAGGTGTCATTCATGCTACACAAGTTCTTAACTCACCACTGCTGTATTGTTTCTCATTTTACACCCCAAATTCAGTGGCTAATGTTCACTCGAGTGTTAAACTAAATTTGCTAGCTCTTCATCTCATGTAAAATCATGCCATTTCACCAATTGCTCAATCCTATATCTTATCAGTAAGTTATAGAGTGAAAAGCCAATCCTTGGAACTCTTGTAAGCATGGATGATAAAGTTTAATGGGGGAAGAATAGAGGTTTTATATTATAATGATCATTCATGGATATTTATTTATTTATTTCGGATATTCCTTTGGGGATGGGATTTTTGCTCGTTGCCTTGCAGGGGGTCTCTTTTCCAACACATGATGGACCTGTTGTTTGCTTATTCATTTAAATTTACTTGATTTTAAAATACTCTACTTCATCTGAGTTCATTATATGTTTGTCTATATTGTTCATCTAAGTTTTGTCACTTTGAAAATTATTACTATTAATTTGTGTTTTCTTTTTTCAGTGCGGACAAGGAAGGAGAATGGTCACAAGAAAAGAATTGGACATAGGGCATTTCTGTGAGACCCGTAATTGTGCTCTAATCTTAGCGAATTTCCTGATGTATGAAATGTTGGCGTGACTTGTGGACCATTGACTTTCTTACCTTATACACCAAGGATTCCCATTATAATTATATTTGATTTACTTTAATTCTTGATTTCGCACTGTAAATAGAAATAGGAATTTATTATTTACTTGTCCATTAAAGTTCCAATATATTATAAATATGACCTCCTACAAGCAGAAGAATACACAGAAAATTCCCACAAACAAATATTCTCTCATAGTTTCTCATATCTTGGAATTGCTGACTTTACTTTCCAACCCCCGCTATTGCTATGGGGGTTGATGATTTTTTTCAACCCTCATGGAGGTAGCACCACTGACTCCTTCTCTCCTTCTCAACCAACCATATCCGAGTTGAGTGCCTAGGTGGCTCAGCTCCTACAAATGCAGACCTTAACCCCGAACTCGATCCTAAATCAGGATCCTACTTTGATGACCTCGAACCCGATCCTGAATCAGGATCCTATTTTGACGACCTTGGACCCAACCCCGACTACGACGACCCCAACTTTGATGACGACCTCGACTCCAAATCTGTCTATGATTCAGACCCAGATCCCAACTTTGACTCTGACCCCGACTCCGGCTTAGATCCCTATGCATCTTCTGCTGCACAAATTTTGACTTCCCAACTAATGATCCAGACACATGACAAAATTGCGCATATTGTGGTGATCTGAGACACACTCGTGAGACTTGTTTTAAATTGCATGGCTACCCCAAATGGTGGGCTACTCTCAAAGGTCGAACATAACCCGACACGACCCCTAATGATACTAGTTATGGATTCCATACTTCGAATAAGAGTGATTCCACGAGCTGGATAATTGATTCCGATGCAACTGATCATATAACGTTTGATCCTAATGATTTTCTGAATACTACATAAACCCGACAAACTTGTATTGCTAACGCCAATGGAGTTACTTATCCTGTGACTGAGGCTGGCACTATTGTACTCTTATCCTCTCTCTCACTGCCTAATACTTTACTTGTTTCATTTTTATCCAATAAATTGATGTCAGTTAGTCAGCTTACTGAACAACTAAATTGTTGTGTACTCATTTACTTGAGTTTTTGTTTGCTTCAGAATATTCACACTAAGGAGATTCTTGGTCATGGTACTAAGAGAGGGGGGCTATATTATGTAGATGACTTCAGTCCCGGCATGGCTAATAGTGTGATGCATCCTTTTGATAGCAAACAAAAGCAAATCTGGTTGTGGCATCGTAGATTGGGACATTCGTCTTTTAGTTATATGAAGCATCTTATATCAGATTTATTCTCAGGTTTCAAAGACTCCGACTACACATCTGATACTTGTATTTTAGCCAAGAGTCACCGTGTGCTCTATCTGTTGAGTACGAACAAGTGTACTACTCCGATTATGTTAATTCACTTTGATGTCTGGGGACTTTCACCTATCACTGCTCATTCTGGCATTCGGTGGTTTGTCACATTCATAGGTGATTGTATACGGATGACATGGCTTTATTTGCTGAAGAATAAAAATGAAGTGTTTTCCCATTTACAGTCTTCCATAAGCAGATGAAAACTCAATTCAATGCTCAAATGCAAATTCTTCGCTCAAACAATGGTGGAGAATTTGTTCATAATGACTTTCAGGCTTACTTCCAAAAACATGGAATTATATGCATGAGACGAATTGTTCTCATACACCATAACAAAATGGTGTTGCTGAACGAAAGAATCAACATCTTCTTGAAACCGCCCGAGCACTTCTGATTGGCGCTCATCTTCCTCGCTATCACTAGGATGATGCCATTGTCTCCGTAGTTAACCTGATTAACCATATGCCTTCTGGTGTATTGACCTTTAAAACTCCCTTACAAGTGCTTGCACAACGCAGACCCCTGCCCTCTGTTTTGGTACTCGCACCCCGAATCTTTGGATGTGTGGCTTTTGTTTATCTCCACAAAAATCAACATAACAAACTTGATCCCTGTGCGCTTCGTTGTGTTTTTGTGGGTTATGCCACTCATCAGAAAGGCTACCGTTGTTATCACCCTCCTACTCGACGTACCTATGTCACTTTGGATGTGACCTTTCTGGAATCTGAGATGTTCTTCCATGACCCATCATCCAATTCTACGCTTCAGGGAGAGACACAAAGTGAATAGCAAAATTAGAGCAACTTGAAAAACGAAGAAATTCTCCTGTATACAGAAATGATCGATCATCTCGAGATTGAAGCATGAGATTACTCTCTGCCGAAAAGCGATTAATCACCCATTCATAGCGATCAATCGCCTGACCTACTTGATCCCCGCGAAGATGTTTCTGATCCGAGTCCCACATCTACAAACAATATAGAACAACAAGATGACCAATCTCCTAAGAATATCCTTGAGGTAACTACTCCTATTACACTTGTGAATTTAGATGATAAATCTATTAGATACCAATTACCTTTCATGCAGAATCGTGGAAAGCCACCAAATTAATATTCACCTGATAAGCTGTCTAAACCACTCAAGGCCTTTGTGCATTAGTTGTTTGCTATTCATATCCCAATCAAGGTTGCTGAAGGATTTAAATATCCTAAGTGGGTTCAAGCTATAAAGGAAGAGATGAAAGCTCTTGGATTTAAATATCCTAAGTGGCTGGACTTGAAGCACTGGTTCTCGACCTTATTGTCCTTGCACTCTTCACTGTTCTTTGGATCGGGGCATTTGCATTAGTTTTTGTGTGGCTGAGGAATATTGTAGATGGGTTTTCAATATTTAAGCGAGTTCCAATGAGAGCCATGCCAAAACTGAGACATGTGGCTTTCAATTTGACTGATTTTGGGGCAGTGGGTGATGGAGATACTTTGAACACTGAGGCCTTCGAGAAGGCTGTGTTGGCTATTACCAAGCTGGGCAAAAAAGGCGGTGGTGAACCTGCCCTTTAATCTCACCAGTCACATGACTCTATTTCTTGCTAAAGATGCTGAGATTCTTGGGAGAATGGGAGGAGAAATCGCATAAGGAAAGAGGATGGGGGGGTGAGTTCTGGGTCTGTTTGTAGGATTATAATTTTTTTTTTCTCCTTTTCTTTAATTTTTCTAATTTTTTATTTATTTTAATCCTATTTTTATTTGTTAATTATGAAAAGTCATATTTATCCTAAAATTTGGTTAAATCTAATAGAAAATTAAACGGTAGGACCAATGGAGCGATTAATATATAGTTAATGGACCATTTGGACTAATAATTTAATTGAGGGACCAAAATGTAAATCTGGTACAAGTTTGAGGATCATTTGAGTAATTTACCCCATGATTTTTTAAAATTGACAAGTCAGAAAACGTCAATTGATTAAAAATCTCATGCTGGAAACACTACCAAGTTTTGCCAAGCGTTAGGGAGGGGGAGCGGAGTAGAGCATTGGGTTGGGTTCATCAAGATTGCACAATACCGAGTTTTGAATTCGGGTACACATGATTTCTACCAAAAGAAAACAGAAGTACACACGAGTCATCAGTGGATGAAATTATGACATCTGAAACGTAAGTAGGACTCCTGAAAAATTAGCAGTACTTTCTTTGTTCGTAAGTAGGACTCCTGAAATTAACTCACCAAATCACAAAGCACCTCTCATTACTACGATAACTTTACAAGTAAAACTTTTGTAATTACATCCCAAACTGAAACAAACAATCAATGCTCCTGAGAAACTTATTTAATCTCGAATCAATCATCAATATTCAATATAAAGGAAAGTACGCATAAGAAAAAGTCTTAATTCACACGTCCTTTGATTCTGTATGACTTTCGTCAGTTCCCTTCGACATTTCATTAATCTTCGGCGCTTCATTAACCTTCGGCGCTTCATCATCCTTCGGCACTTCATTAGCCTCGTCCTGTTGTTTAGCGTTGGCCAATTTTTCAGCCTCGATCTGTTCTTCAACCTTCTCTAGCTCAGCTTTAAGTTTAGCTTTGTCAGCGCAACAACAACAACAGCAGCAACAAGTGAGGCAATAACCACTAAGAAAAAGAAAAGGAAACGTTAATCAAGAGAAACCGAGCAAAAAGCTGCTGAAATGGCCTATTTCTTGCATGCACCAATTGCAGTATTTTGGAAAACGAAACTGAAGAATACTTTGCTGCATAACTTAAACAAAGTTTTTCCAGAACGCCTATTCGAGCCAAAACAAACGCATACAAAGTAATTCTAAAACTAAAAATGTTTGAGTACTTTTCAGTTTGCTTGATTTTGCATTCCATATTAGTTTGTCAAATTAGAATTAAAGACAGAAAAACTTACCATAATCCAATAAGGCCGCAGAAACAAGCTAGTAAGCCCCAACCAACTTGGACCCCTGTGGGAGGTTCTGGAGTACTCATCTCTATCTATGCTCTCTCTCTTCTTTTTTTTATCAACTCTATATGCTCTCTTTTATGGGTTGATGATCTCCTCCTTTTCTGGATCACTTGAAAATGGATGCAATGTTTTTTTTTATACTAATGAATGTTTCCCTTTTTATAGTCAAAACCTTCAACGCCATATCGAATTTTCTTGTACATATGATATTGGCAATTCATTGACTTGGTTTGGAACTTAATAATGGAAGTCATGTTCTTTTCTTAAAAAAACAGAAGGCCAATGCAAATTTGCCTCAGAAAATATTTAAAAAGAACTAGAAAACTTGGGCACAGGTGGTCAACGTAATTTCTCCAAACATTATTATAAGGAAAAAAAAAGGTTTGAATGTGAGCCAAGCCCTCCATCTCCATGTGAACTAATTAAGGTCTGTCGTCATTCTTGTTTTAAAAAAAGACCCGTCTAATTTTCTGCAGAAGAGAAGATGATTACAAGTTGGTACAGTCAAGGTAAACTATAGTTTAAACAAGAGCATCTAGGACTTGTGTATAATTGTGTAACAAAAAACAACAAATCTCTTCTTGAACTATTTGTTCGTATGCGCATCATCCCTTGATTCAAGAGCTGAAATATGATTGATTTATATTAATGGGAAATTTTATAGCTTAAATTAGCTACCTAACATAGTTATTAAATAATTAATGGGCTAATTTCTAAAATTAACAAACAAGTCAGTGCTCACTAACAAAGCAACTGCCAAGCTTATCCAGATGTGTCAAGGGCTTTCCAGCAAGGTCTTGACAATGTGACCAAAGTATTGATCATCTGGCGAATCACTGTGGCCAAATTCTAACTCACTTAGAAAAGCAAGATACTGTATTGCAGCCACTTGGTATGCCTGAGGAAAATCGTGCTCATCTTCAAGGCTAGATTGGCGGGCCAGTTAATCTTGTAGAAAACAAACCAAGTTGCACAGGCTATACATTGTTGTTGTTCATTTTTCACGGTATTTTTTTCGATCTCCTCTCTTATTTTATTTCTTCCCTCTCATTTTGTCTTCTCTCTTTTGTATCTTCGATTCCCTTATCTTTTTCCAAAAACCCTCTCATTTTTCTGGTTTAGAGGCGGGCACATTCTCAGAAAGAACAAAAACCTTCTTTTATTTCTGTGTTGTGCAACCAACTCACTGTGGCCTCCTACTACATTCAAGGTTGCAATGATATTGTCACCAACTTAAGTATCTAGGTTGGGTAATGAGCTGGTTAGTGCCATTCTTACCCTAAAATTTCTTTCTTCACCGGCCCATTTCAACCATAAACATTATTTCGGACTGAGCTTTAACAAGTTTGGGTTTCAATGTCTCGTCCCAACCATAACCCCACACAAGCAAATCCAAGTTAGATTTCAATATATTCAATAGATTCTCTTGATTCTTTAGATGATAATTCCAGTGTCAAACACGTTAGACCAAAGTTTTCCTTAAGTGCAAGATTCTTTTCTAATTTAGACAAAGATCATATACTCTATCATGCAATCTATCCTAGTTAAGGCATAAATTTAACATGTAAGATTCATTACGTTCTAGAAAACAAGAGAACCAAGCAAACCATTATTCTTTGTCACGCAATAATGTCATTCACCACACTTAATCACAAGAAACTTAATTGAACTGCATTGCAACTTTTGCCTCAAATTCATTTTCCAATTTACTAGATGCAAAGCCCTTAGGTGATTAGTCAAAGAACTTAAATAAATAGCAAAAATTCAAACATTGATTAAACATTCATCTAAAAGAAACTAAAAAGAATTCATTAAACAACATTAAAAATCATGACTATCCATGCTTGGGCATCATCCTCGCCCCTAGGAAATAATTTAGCTAGTCATGTTCAAAGAAAATATAATCGAAAATCTAGAAAACATAAAATAAACTTATAAGCTATGATGATGCTAGAGAACTTCACCATGGCAGCCGCTCTAGACCAATGGCGGTCCTACATCCAGGGTTGCCTACCCCAAATTTTTTCACTAAAAAAAACCTATATATAAGCAAAGTTATTCTACTCAGCACATGTGATGGTGTAAATCCATGCCTACCCAGACCATGTAAAACTTAAAAGCAACCCACATGTGTTATAGCCCACTCAAACTTAAAAAAGAAAAGGGAAAAAATTATAACCAGCCCACACTCTTGTGTTATGGAATGGCCCAGTCAAACTTTAAAAAAAGGGGGAATATAACTTATAAGCAGCCAAATAGTTTAGTTTTGTGTTGCATTGCATTTATTTGTTTTTTATTTATATAGTTTTTTTTATTTTTTTATTTTTTTTTGTTAAGCTTTTAGTTATATATAGATATGCATATTTGAGGGTAAGGCTCATTACGTCCCCCGAGTAGGTGTATCTTTTTATTTTTATGAATGAAATTCACTCGTACCGTCAAGTTTTTAAGGTAAGTTTCGCCTACTTGACTTTTGAATCCTAGATCCACCACTACTCTAGACTAAATAAGATATTGTATAAAACAGACTTACCTAGTGGCCATATCGGGCGGTAGGCTGGGCTTGGGTTTTAAACCATTGATGACTTAAGCCCTATCCAATAAAAAATCGGAATGGCTCGACTTGCCCATGATCTCCATGACCTGAAACCAAAGAAAGATTGCAAGTGATATTTTAGAAAATTAGCTGTTTCTGCAAGCGAGAGAACCCTTTTCCGACGGCATTTTGGGTGTTCAATTTAGCAAGCATCTCGTTGACTTATTTCCGACGAACTGTGATTTGTTATTGAAAAATATTGTTTTTTCTGTGAGTATTTGGGGTCCCTTGAAAAAAGGTTTTCGCAAATGACTACTTCTGTTGTAGTGTGAGTTCTCTGGACATGGGCCTTGTGTGAGCAAAAAAAAAAAGGTTTTTTAGGTTTTAGACATAAAAAAAATTTCACTTTTGGAAAAAGCCAAAGCTTTTTTAAAAAAGACAAAAAAACCGCTCAACTTTCAAATCAAAGACATGCAAATGTATTGGATTCCTTAGGAAATCTAAAAATAAATAAGGGCATTTTTGTCCATTTTTGCTTCTTTTAAAATTTTTCTCTCCTTTTGTTTTTTCCAAAATGTCCCAAAAAAAAATTCAAGAATTCGGGTTTTTCGTCTCAGATCAATTTACCTTGAAAGGCTGAAGCTCTTGACCTTTTCTACTGTTCCTAGAGAGCTTGGCTTGATTTTGGTTTCAGCAGCTCGCGGACAATGGGTGTTGAATTTGTACATTGGCTAATTTGAGTTGCATTATCCCGTCCATTATGTCAATTAGCCGTTTGCTTTGAAAGGAGGGACGATTTATGGAATTAAGAATGGCCGATGATCATTGGGTCAATAGTTGCTTTGCGGAATCGTGGCTGTGGCTAAACTTTGTTTCCTTCCTTGGGCTTACTTTAGCATCAGGTGCGTGCTATTTTCCTGTGTATTATGGGAAGATTTATTTGGATACATATCCTTTGTACATGTGCATGTATAAATTAAAACAAATTAGTTCACCTGGGGCTGGAGGGCTTTGTTCGTATTCAATTTTAGATGTCACTGTCTGGTGAAATGATGTTTGACCACATGCCCAAATTTTTTTTAAGAACGAAGGTCGACCTTCATTTTTAATTTCCAAATTAAGCAATGATTTTCCAATATCATATGTACCAAAAAAAATAAAGAAATTTCAGAGATGGTAAAAGGAGGTGATCATATACATTTTCAAGAGAGAATGGAGATGCCAAGGGAACGTCCTGGAAAGGTCTCGTTTGCTTGCGGCCTTCTTGCGGTTATATGCGGCCTTATTGGCTTATTGTAAGTTTGTATGCGATCACTTTTTTTTTTGGTCAGAATCAAAGTTTCATTAAATAGGAAAGAGTCTGGATGTGGATACTAGTGATCTCAAGTTCGAATTCTCATGGCACATTGACTGTGCATGTGAGAAGCCTCATTTCTTTATAGTTTAGACTGTCGCTAGTAGGTGAATCAAAACTATGACTTAAACCAAATGCAACACAAAAAGGTATAGGCGACAATCCTAAAACTCACAAAAGGTATAAAGCCTGCGGAAGGCCAAAAACCCCACAAAACAAAACACAAACTTAGGATATTACACTAATTACTGACATTCAGTTGTTGTATGCATGGTGTAATTAACTTTGTTTTTTTTCCTACCTATGTAGTGGTTATTGCCTGACTTGCTGCTGTTGTTGCTCTGACCCCGATGACTTGTTTGATGAAGATCATAGAGAATGAAATACAAATTTGTTTTGGCATTTTTCTTCTGTTTTGTAACTTGCAACACGTAATATTTTCTCTTACATACATTCTTTTTCCTTACCTAGTTTCAAGCTGAATCAGGTTGCTCATGATCATCATTCACTACTACAAAAAGTGAAAAAGACGACCAGAAAAACACGACAGTCTAAGTGAAAACCGTCGTTGTTTTTTAAAAGACGACGGTTTTATAAAACCGCCGTGTAATAACACATTAGACAACTAAAAAATGGAGTTTCAAATGGCTGTTCCTAAAACACGACGTACTTAATTAAAAAACCAACGTCTTATTGAAATAGGATTTTCAAGTGGTAAAATCATAGCCAACAAATAACGGCGGAAGTTATGAACCGACCGACGTAGAAAGTAAAGACGACGGTTTCAAAAAAAGCCGTCGTTTTTACCCAGAAATTAACACGACCAAGTTTTCGTATAAGGCCCCGTATAATTACAAATAAATCCACGGCGGTAAAATACAAAATACCGCCGTATTAAATTAATGTACAACTACGGCAAAGGTAAATATAACGACGTCTTTCTCGTATTTCTACGACGATATCTTTAAATCTTACCAAGTTGGGGTTTTCATTTAACGACGTATTATACAATTTAACGTCGTATTTGTCCACTTTATACGTCATACATTATATTTAAACCGTCGTCTGAATAAGAATTTTTTTTAACAATTTATTTCTTGGATTTTGTTATCCTACGTCGGTAGATCTACTTAATGACAAGAATTGAAATAACCACGACGGTTTATATAGAAAACCGCCGACATAATCAGATTATTCTGAGATCACAAGGGTTAGGAAATCTTACAAGATGGAACTCTGTTGCTCATCATAATCTTACCAGAAAGACAATATTTTAGAGGTTAATGATGTATGTGTATTTGTGTCTTTGAGATACACAAACGCACATACACATTAACATCCAAAAAATTGCTTCTGAAATTTGACGACGGCAGCCTCAGATTTGCAATCAGAGAGACAATTTTTTGGAAGTGAATGATGTGTGTGCGTTTGTGTATCTACACAAACGCACACACACATCCACATCCAAACAATTGCCTCCTAAAACTTCACGACGGCAGCCACAGATTTGCAATCAGAGAGACAATTTATTGAAAATTGGTGATTTGCAATCAGATTTGCAATCAGCCACAGATAACCAACATTCAAACAATTGCCTCCCAAGAGATGAGGTGAGACAGAGAAAGGGGCAAGAAGAAGTTGAAACCCTAATCGAATACTAAAACTGAAAGAACCCGTAAAAAAAAACTTTATTTATAATTAAAAAACCAAATCCACGTCGGTTATATTACACATAACGACGTTTAACAAAAATAATCCACGTCGGTAAAAATACATTACGTCGTTTTATTCTTACTTAAGACGACAAGAAAAGACGACGGTATAACAAAAACAGTCGTTGTTTTTATATTTTTATTTGATTTAAATCAGTCACCAGAAAAGAAACTTTACAAATTCTAGAACATTAATTTCCTCGGGAAAAAAAACTATATTTATAAGGCACTGTTTTTGAAAAATAAACTGAAAGAAAAAGGGAAAAAAAATTATATTTATAATAAAAAAAATAAAATCCACGTCGGTTATATTACACATAACGACGTTTAAAAACGAATCCACGTCACGAAAAAATAATACGTCGTTTTAGTTTAGTGTTATCCACGTCGGTATATTACAATAAAACGACGTATATTATAAAAATAAACGTCGTAAATTTAAAAAAACCGTCGTGTTAAATATTTCTACCATGACGCGAGATATTGAGTTATCGACTTTTATTTAGGAGTTTACTACGGCGGTACCTACAACACTACTGTCGTATTTATGTACCACGTCCTAAGTTCAAATTATCGTCGTAGTTTGTCTATTAATACGTCGTCGTTCTATGTAAACCGCCGTCTTATTACTATGAAACGGTTTGTATACATATACAACTTTTCGTCTACCTGACTTACACATGCATTGTTTCCAAACCCGAGAAAAAATTTCAATCTCCCAAGAAAACTTTTCGTCTTTTTTCCTTGTCAGAGCACTGTCAGAGTATCTCATCGTCTTCCTCTCGTCTTCGTCGTCGCCTCTGAACTTAAACACCAAAATCCGAGAGAAAGCTTTCATTGCACGCAAAAGGTAAGCTTTCATTTCTCACTATTTTTGTTGCTATTTTGCATGCTCATACGGTTTTTGTTTTGAAAATCTTTTTACCTTTTTTCTGGCGAAAATCATTTTTATTCTTTCCAAGTTTGATAAAATACACAGACAGAGAGGGAAAGTTTCCAACTTTGAACACAACTAATTCAACTAAATAAGACGACGGTAGCTTCTTATTTACGTGGTTAAATATGTAGACCACGACGGTTCGTCAGTCGTCCTAGCGTCGTCTTAAAATTGATCTAAGTTGTTTTTAAAATGACGGTCAATTTTTTATTTGCTTGTTTAGTTGCAGGTTTGATTTCTCTGAACCATGGTTTTCGTTTTTCCTAATTTGATAAAATACAAAGACAAAGAAAGTAGGGTTTGGTATCTTATATAGACGACGGTATCTTATTATTGACGCCGTGTGAATGTTCATACCACGACGTTATACTAAGATACCGTCGTCTATAAAAGATGCCAAAGCTTTCTTTCTTTTTCTTTGTATTTTATCAAATTAGGAAAAACAAAAACCATGTTTCAGAGAAATTAAACCTGCAATCAAACATTCACAGAGAAAGAAAAATGTTTTTGGTTTCTTATAAATACGACGGTAGCTTATTATTCACGTCGTGCGAATATCCATAACACGACGTTATATTAATATTTACGTCGTGTTAATTTGAATATCACGACGTCGTGTAAATATCGTCGTAATAAGTTCTTATTACGTCTTATTTAATATTATTACGTCTTATTTAATATTGTTTCGTCGTTGTTTAAACATTTATATTGTTTCTTCTTTAAACATTTATTACGTCTGATGTTATGTTATTACGTCGTGTAAAATCATATCATACGTTGTATTTTATAAATAACCGTCGTATGAGTTTTATTCTTTAAGTTTCCATTTTAAATTATTTCTTATGTTTATCTTATATGTTTGGGACCGTAATACTTGAATTTTGTGTGTCATGTAGGCAACATATGATCCACATCAAGACCGCTTATCCAAAATTTAAAAAGAGAACAAAGTGACTGCAGGATAAACACAATAGCACTTTCATTCAATGGCTACGCTTCAAGGTATATGTTATTGAATAACATATTGGACTTTTAATTTTCTTCTTTCTATGTTAGATTGAATTAAGTTATGATTAATTTGCAGGTTCAAAGTGAACTTAATGAGGAAGACAATCATGGCGTATCAGAAAATTTAAGGTGGCTAGCTGCTAGTCCAAACATGGCAGTGCCATTATATAGGAGCTATCTCATTAAAGGTATTAAATTCAACATCAAGGCACAAGATGATGTGCGGACAACTCAAAATAGTGGAGTTTATTTACTTGCACATACTATGCAAGTTGCTAGTGCCAAGGATAAAAACCCAATTCTCTCAAATATGGGTTTCTATGGTGTCATTCAAGAAATTTGGGACCTTGACTACCAAAAGTTTACAATCCCAGTCTTTAGGTGTGATTGGATTGATAATACTTCTGGTCTTGTAGTGGACGAACTTGGATTTACCCTTGTAGATTTGAGTAAAATTGGACATAGGAATGACCAATTTGTTTTGGCTTCTCAAGTCAAACAAGTATTTTTTGTTGACGACCCGATGCATCGTGGTTGGTCGGTAGTGTTATCAATGCCTAATAGAGAATATAATGATGTTATTGGTGATGATGTCTTAGGTGATGTGAGAATTGAGTGTGAGCCATTTACTAGGGAGATGTCAAATGTTGACACATTTGATGAAGTGGTGGTTGAGTTAGGGAGTCAAAATATTCGAGATGGGTGTGAAGATATATGGGTTGAATGATGCTTTATGTAATTGGCAGTGTATGACATTAATTTTGTAATATATTGTAATGTGATTTCTTCACTTTCATTATACAGGTTTTGGCCACAAAACAATCAGTACAAAAATTACTGGTTCCAGATTACAAACACGATGGTTTTGATAAAAATGTGAAAAACAAACGTCTGTTCTAATAAATAACGACGTTTTGGAGCATTCAACGACCGCAATATATTTACTGACGTCTTAAAGCAACGTAACAATGAAGAACCACGACGCTATTGTGAAACAGTTATCCAGGATAACACGTCGGACAAGCATAAAGAACCACCATGTAATTCAAAATAACACGACTCCAATCCCATAATACCGACGTCTAAAAGACGAGAACTTTAACCTGAACGTTACAAAAGACGACGTCGTTATGAATTTACCACGTCGCATGTTCTTTCATAAACGAAGTGGAAAAGGATGAATTCACGACGGTATTTGAAGTCCATTAAATTTGTCGACGTTAAGATTTATGAATTAGACGACGTTAATTTTTTTAATGAAGACGTATAAATTATTAAACACGACGGTCTTTTTCATGGTAACGACGTTGTATATAGACGACAAGGTCGTCCTTATAAATTACTGTGTCGTAATTAATGACCCCATCATTTTTTCCACGTCGTTTATTTTCAAAATATGACGTATAAATTCTGTAATACGGCTCTCATTTATTTGGAACCGACGTTGTTTATTCATTTCAACGTCGTCTCTGTAAATACATGCGTCGTAAGTAATGAACCTAACATCTATTTCCACGTCATAATTCATAGAAAAATCGAAGTGGAAAATTTATTTTACGACGGTATTTGAAGTCCATTAAACTTGTCGACGTTAAGATATATGAATTAGACGACGTCAATTTTTTAAATGAAGACGTATAAATTATTAAAGACGACGGTCTTTTTAATGGTAACGACGTTGTATATAGACTACAACGTCGTCATTATAAATTACTGTGTCGTAATTAATGACCCCATCATTTTTTCCACGTCGTTTATTTTCAAAATATGACGTATAAATTCTGTAATACGGCTCTCATTTATTTGGAACCGACGTTATTTATTCATTTCAACGTCGTCTCTGTAAATACATGCGTCGTAAGTAATGACCCTGACATCTATTTCCACGTCATAATTCATAGAAAAATCGAAGTGGAAAATTTATTTTACGACGGTTGTGGGAAATGTTGTGATGTAGTAAGTGTCAATAACGTCGTCTATTATGATTGTAAAGACGTCATATTTATATTTGTCGTTAAATATTTATTTAACGGCGTTAAGTTTTAGTTCTCGTCGTTGTATGTTTATCTTGCGGCCATGTTCTGTTAATATATGTCATATGTTTCCTTTTTAACGACATTTTTTTGTTGGAGTTGGTCGTCTATTCTCATCCTCGACTGTTTTTTTATGTCTTTTTGCAGCACAAAGACGTCGGTTTTTATTTTTTGATGACGTTTTTTGTTTTAACAACGACGGTGAATAAACCGTCGTGGTTTGGTTATGGAAAAGATGTCGGTGGATTCCACGACCATTTGAAAACAGAATACACGACGGTGAATTCCCGTCGTGTTTTTCCTTTTTTGTAGTAGTGATTGATGATTCGCTTCAATTTGGCATGTAATTACAAAAAGATCTTACTTATGACCCTTTTTCAATATAATGAAGTAACTATCTAGCATGGTCGATTCCATTATCATCTTGACACTCGACATGTCTGCATTTAAGTGGACACAATTTCATCCTCATGAGTGCTATTTTATTTTGGTTGAAATAACGCGTATTATTTTTTATAGTCGAAATTATTCGTATTATTTTATCACACCTTGCGTTCGAGGTTGTAAAAATTTCATGTTTAGTAGAGGGTAATTTAAGTAAAATAGAATATGAAAAACCAAAATTCGAGCAAAATAATCTTCACTTATACAAATAGCTCTTAATTTTTTGAACACCACGAATGCCGTCTGTTTTTTTATTTTTTGTTTTCAATGAAAAAGTTATATCTCTATACTTACTGTTCAACATAGAAGGCAGTTAGAGTGTTGAGTGGCGACTAAATTTGAGGTAGGGTTGCAACTAAGAATGAGAAGTTGACGAGTGGACTCACAGATAGCTCTATGAATGAAGTAAGTAGACATGTATTCACCCCAAGTCATCCTTGCCCTAGAAATAGGTCAAGAATTGTGTTAGCATCTGTGAGCGTGCTACTACTAGCACTTGAGAAATTTTAATAGATTGATAATGTCACGCCCAAGTTCAGTCTAAATTCACTAAAAAATAATTAAGTCAAACTTATTAACTTGCTTAATTAGAATTACCAGGATCTGCAAGGTTATCAAAACTGAACATAAACCCTTCCAATGTACATGATGTTTCCAATAGTACATTATTAAAGCCTAAAGTCTTTTGTGTTCACCCGTTTTAGATTTGTTCTTGTGATGGTAGGATAAAGTTCCACATTGTCTTGAAAACCATTTACTGGTCAACAAGTCAACTTTTTTTTGGTGTACGAGCATGTCACTACTAGCAATGAAAATCTTAGCAGACTTCTTAGAAATAGATAACTTGCGCCCCAAGTTATTGATTTTTAAACAAGCGATTGTGAATTTGGGTGAGGAATATCTCCCAAGTAAGTTCTTTTCTTGCCTTAGATTGGTGAAGACTTCACAATTTTTCACAGTACAAAACTGGTTGTTCTGGCCAGAACAAATGATAAAAAAAAAAAAAGTGAATTGTTTTAGGCGGAACTGCCTTTTACAAAGCTCAAAAAGGAAGATCCAACTCTAAAAAGACAAAAAGAGCTTATGGACTTCAATTTCTGCCTGGATAAATGCTTCTGATTCGGGCTGGATTGGGCATGCCTGTGCTGGACTGGACTATCAACACCTTCAACTATCAAGTTTCAGCTGTGAATCGATACCAACATTCGAGTTTGGCAGAGCTTTAATCTATTTCAAGCCCTGTAAGGCTTTTTGAATAGGCACAATTGGGACCTCTTCAATTTGGAAGGGCAGAAGTGGCTGGATTTGATGATTACTGAGCTAGAACTGCACTATAGTACCTGTTTTGTTTGATTAGAGCTCTCCATAAATTTGTTGAGGTTTTCATATTTGTAAAACCTGAACTCTGCTTGATTTGGCTTATGCTGAACCAAATTTGTAACGAGAGAAATCTCGCTTTAAATGAATATTTTCTCTGAAGCTGAACTGAGTTTTAGAGATTCTAGATTGTGGCTGACTTGTTTCTTGTGGCTCAATGAGCTTTTGGTGACTTCAATGTTTTGAAGGTTTCTGGGATTAAGTGATCATTTTGAGTTTTTGTTTTTTGATTGATTTTTTTGTTGTCCTTTGATCTGTTCACCTCCTCTCATATTTATAAGAAATGCTGGAGTGAGATTTCTAATCTTTTAATAATGGGTGGCAGATTTTCTAAAAGCAAAATCTTTCATTTTAAATGTCAAAGAAAAAGGGGATGTTATCTATTCTGGCAAATAAACCATCAACAGTCACTTCTAAAGCAATCACTTCCCTGATTTTCTTGAAAGAAAACCTAATCCTTCTTTAATTTTTTAACTACTCTTTGTAAGAGTTCAATCTGTTGTGATGGTTAGTTTGATCTTCCGGATGAACAACTCCCTACTTCCTACTTATCTTTTTAGAAAATATAGCCTACTTATCCCTTGGAAATGGCACCTGCTCTGGAGCAAACTTTTTTCTATATTATAGAAAGGGAATTTTGATCTTTCAGCTGCAGAGTTTCAGAGAAGTTTTCATGTAATGACATGCCTTCATTAATTTGCTATCACCTTTTTGTGATAGTTGAAATTGTTGACTCTTTAAAGTTGGGTAGCCACGTGAGTTCTGAGAAATAGACTTTCCAAAAGCTTTGCAAGCTTCGTACTCTAGGCTTTGAGATTAATGGTGAGTATTTAGAAGCTAGGCCCAATCCAATTCTTCTTTCAATTTCTTATTGATCTGCTTCAGTGGTCGATTGCCATTTGATTTTGACGTTTTTACAACTCTGCCATTTTCGTAAAAGACATGGGCCTTCGATGTGGATTGGGCTGTTTTTCTGAATTAAGGCCCATTCTTTTGTTATTTATGTTCCTGGGCTTCTTTGTTAGAAACGGGCTGGTGTGTGGAATTTTTTAGGCCCAAACATTTTGAAAACAATCAGATCTTCTATACAGAAGCTAGAGGTGGGAGAGAGAGAAGGGTGTGTGCCAAGAGAGAGATGGAGAGACCTAATCTATTTTAAAACCCAACTTTGAAAAATTTACAGTTGTGCCATTGCACTTATGTGGATCACAACTTCTTCGTTAAAATTCTGATTTGAGCCCACTACGTGTTTACGAATTCGTGAGAGCGAGCTCTACACAATGGTGCCACTCCAATCCCCAAAATCCTTATGGATAAAAAATTGACTAAAGAGACCCTACACCCGAAGGCAAAATTGTAATTTCACAATTACATAAATTGAATAAAACGATTAAATTGGGTCAAAGGTGTTACATGTGGACTTCTAAATTAGGCCCAAAAAAAAATTAGCCCATGGCTGGAGATGGGTTTTGCATTAGTTTAGAGCCATATTTGACCTATGGCTCATGGCTGGAGATGACCTTATATTATCAGACTTGCGAGCTCTATATGCATGTCACATCAGTAAAGGTGTATTCAATTGATATTTTAAATATTTTAAATATTTTAAAGAATTTTAAAAGCCCAGGTGTATTCAATCACGATTTTATAGAAGTCTATTAGATTCTAGGTGTGTTCAATCCAGACTTTTTAAAGTCCATCCAAATTTGAATGTATTTAATCATGACTTTAAAAGACTCCATAAAAGTTTGGGTGTATTCACACAATTGGTGGATCTCGATTGATTCAAGACTAATTTTAGGCTATGAAATTCTTTTGCTTCGCCTTAGAGATTTTGATAGATATATATTATGTTTATTCTCGAGATATGATTTCACCACCTCTACTACTACCATCTTTTCATGGATATCATCACCACCACCCTTGCCACTACCACTATCATCGTCACCACTGCATCAACCACCACCACCACCTCCATAATCATCGCCACCGCTGTCACTGCCACAGCCACCACCACCACCACCACTGTCACTCCCATCGTTGCCACCCCCACCACCACCACCACCATTGATGTCACTCCTAGCGCCATCACATCACGACCACCACCGCCAGCCACGACCAAGGCCACCCCAGCACAGCACCACCACAACCTCCATCACCACCACCACCCCCATCACCTTCACCAGCACCACCACCACCTCCCACCACTACCACCTCCACCACCACCCCTAGCACCACCGCCACCTCCACCACCCCTAGCACCCCCACCATCACCCCCACTGTCACCACCACCGTCGCCGCCACAGCCATCGACACCACCACTACCACTCCTTATCGTCACCACCACCACTTGACATGGTCATTTCCACCACTCTTCCCACCACCATTCATAACTCTACCATTCCCATCATAATTGTCTCTACTACCATTACTAACGTCAAACATGATGGTCTACCACTATTTCAAATTTGTAGAATTTTATAATTAAAAAATCTATCATACTCTATGATAAGATTCTAACAAATTTCATTACAATTCTTATAAATTCAATCAAAGTATATGTGGAATTTAAGAAAGTCAAATAAAAATTCATAGAGTTCTAACTACTTTATAATCTATTAAAATCTTAATTCAATACACCCCCAAGACAATCTCTTAAAAATAACGGTAGAGACAAAGTTGATGTGCATGGTTAATGTAATAACAATCCGTGACATAAAAATATATATAGTTTTCATAAACCACATTGTCGTTTTGTGACGAAAACCACTTTTCAAAGGCTTATTTATTGATTACCCCTTGTGCTTTGCTTAGTGTTGCATGTTTCCCCCCCTAACTTTCAACTGACACAATTTTCCCCAATACTTGCATTTCATGTCTCACGTTATCCCATTTCATCAATTTCTTCAATAAAACTGTTAAGTTGCTAATCTTACATGGTCATTTTAGTAATTTGAGTTATTAATAATTTAAAATCAAAATTAAATATAACAACAAATATATTAAAATGTTTAAATATTATCCATATATATAAAGCAAAAGGTAGAGAATGGTAAAACATTCAAAATACCCAAAAATATCATTGGTTAATGCAAACATTAATAATTGAAATTATTAATTAAATTATGATAATATGGTAAATTCACACTTTTCATATTTGAACAAATTAAAATTTAAAAAAAAATAGATAATGAATTCTATTTTTATGGAATACAGTTACCTATTATCTTTTTTAATTTTAAAATAAATTTTAAATTTTTTTAAAAAAAAACTTCTCGCAGTTGCGGAGAGCGTGCAGTGTTGACATTAATATATTAAACGGTGCGTTTGTATGCCAAAACTCGTAAGAACAAAAAAATCTTGCTCAACGGATAAAACTGGCCGGGGGACAGCCACGCTGCAAAGAATGGTCGATTCCAAGGTCCTCTAGACAGAGCTCATGAGGTGCTCCCCAAGATAAAGAAAAAAGATATGCCAGTCCTTGTTCACCCCTGTAAGTCTTTCTCCTTCCTCGACTCATCTCTGCAGCTTAACAATTTGAACATACCAAGCAGAGCGCTTGCAAGCATCCCCAAATACTCAATTGCAAAGCGTCCAAGTTATAGCTCATTTTCCACTATTGGGTTGTCTAAAAGACTGAAAATTTCTAGGAATTTACCCATCTGGGGAAGAAAGCGCATTACTTTTTGCTCTAGGAGTGATGTGTATGACGTTTTTTCGAGTACCCATTTGGTCAATAAGTCCGAAGGAGATGTAGTTGAAGAGAATGAAGAGCTTGAGTTGCTAGATAAGCCTTCCCCTATGCCTATTAATAATGGGTCTGTTTCAGAAGTAGATAAAGATTCTGAAAAACTTGATAATGATTCTGAGAAGCTTGATAAAGACGAGGCCTTAGCGCCTTTCTTGAAGTTTTTCACGCCAAGAGATTCTGCAGATGGAGATGGGGTAGAAGAAAAGGGAGGTGAGATAGGAGTTTTTGAGGAAAAAAGTGAATTGGATGATGAAAATGAGGAAGTTGAGAAGGTTAATGTTGAGTACTATGAACCAAAACCGGGTGATTTTGTGGTTGGCGTTGTTGTTTCGGGCAATGAGAATAAACTTGACGTGAATGTAGGAGCAGACTTATTGGGTACAATGTTGACTAAGGAGGTGCTGCCTTTGTATGACAAAGAGATGGACTACTTGTTATGTGATACGGATTATGATGCTGAAAAATTTATGGTTAGAGGGAAGATGGGAATTGTGAAAACTGAAGCTGTGGATGGGGGAGCAATTCCAGGGAGGCCTGTTGTTGAAACTGGAACTGTTTTGTTTGCTGAGGTTCTTGGAAGAACGCTTAGTGGTAGGCCTTTGCTTTCGACTAGGCGACTCTTCCGGCGAATTGCTTGGCATCGAGTGAGGCAGGTTCTTATCTTGCTTTTTCCTTTTTTCTGTTTAGTGAATATAGCAACTTATATGGTCAATTTAAGTGGTTGCTGCATGACTTCTTATGAGCTTTTTCGGAATATGTTGCCTCTGTCGATACACTCTTTTGTTATCAAGATTCATGAACTTGATTTTCTCTTCACAACTACTTTGTTGGTGGCTGCATTTAGCTCATAATATCTTGCAGTGTTAAAGTTTGGTGAGGATGTAATCCAAACTTTCTTTGAAGCTTTTCTACTTGTTATACAGATAAAACAACTGAATGAACCTATTGAAGTTACAATTACAGAATGGAATACCGGAGGCCTTCTTACAAGAATTGAGGTTTGTGTCTGGCTTTTGAACATTGCTAAATGCAGTCATTTCAAGCCTAACATTTCTACAATTTGGATCTTCAGGGTCTGCGAGCTTTCCTCCCAAAAGCTGAGTTATTGAGTAAAGTGAACAACTTCACTGAACTCAAAGAGAATGTAAGTTGATGGTTGTGCGGAATTTTATATATTTATTGTTTCATGTAATGTTATTCATTTAGCTACTTTTCAGGTATGATTTGTATTTCTTTATGTTGATGCATTCAACCCATCAATCAATTCTAATATCATGTATGCACTGGAACTATTTATTGCTAGAACACTTTAAGTATGTGAAATGCATGAGTTCTATAACTTCTATGAGATGCCATCAGTATTATCAAGAGAAGATAGTATAAGAAAAATAGTTGGACGTTCTATAACATCAGTGGAGCTTGTGTTTACTGTAAGCACTTGTAATCACTGGACATAATCCATTAGATTCTGTTTTCTTACAACCGGTGTTTCATAAAGATATGGGCATGCTTGACTTGACTATGCTACTTGACTTGACTCTGTTTTCTTACAGCCAATTTCAAGAGTCATTAGCTACTTGACTTGACTTGACTATGCTAATAATGGGGTCCATGACTTATTCACTATGTACTTGCAAAGATTTGTTTTGTTAGTCTGCTTCTTACACATTCTGTTTCCTAATGGTGTAGGTGGGATGCCGGATGCATGTGCAGATTACTCGCATGGATGAAGCTAAGAATGACTTAGTATTGAGTGAGAAAGAAGCTTGGGTGAGTTTAATATTTGAAATTTAATTTATTCATGCTCTTTTGTTGCATGCAATGTTCTCTCATTGTTTGTTCTTAGATTTTATGTTTTTATTTTTCTTAAAAACTAACCTCAGTTGGCAATATAATGTTGCAGGAAATGTTACATCTTAAAGAAGGAACACTTTTAGAAGGAACAATTAAGAAACTTTTTCCATATGGAGCCCAAGTGAGGATAGGCGAAACTAACAGGAGGTAAAGGACTTTCAAACTTACCTAAAAATTAGACTGGCTATATGGTTTCCCTGATTTTACCACTTTTTAAAGAAATGCTGTATGTGTGTGGTGTACATTTCAAAGATTAGAAACACCAGGACATGAAAATAAAATTGTATGGGGTTTTCTTTGAAAAGTATCTACATGCATGGAAAAGATGAGAAGATAACTTTAATCTTCAGAAAGGAAATGAAATTTCCAAATTTTAAACTGTAAAGGCATGCAATTTTGTACCATTTTCACCTAGCAAGTTGTGGCAATGAGAGAATGAGTTATGAGTTGTCCTCAAAACTTGGAAGAACTTCTACTCATTCTTGAAGATTAAAATACATAAGAAATGTATCATAAAGACATTATTGTGGCAATGAGAATGTAAGTTGAAATAACTTGAAATGTATCATGGACTTTTTCTGCTTCCTCTAATGTAGATATAGCCATGCAAGTTGAAATAACTTGAAATGGAGATAATCTTATCATTCAGTATGCTGGACGCACCTGCTAGGTTTCCTTTTTGTTATATTTTGTTTGAAGACTTCTTTTTCGTCTGAGTATAAAAGTTCTATGTAGTTGTCATTTCCTACTTACACCAGTTCTTGTGTTCACTTGGATCAATATTCTATTCAATTGTGTACTAATTATAAAATGCCACCCAGGTTGGTTCCTTGACTCTCTTTTTTTTGGTAAAGACGGGGGCTAGAAATTAAAGTTTAGATGGATAAACTTCTGAATGTCAACAGAACCTTGTAGGGAAACTTTTTGTGCGGTCACATTGTCAATAAAAAGTATAATATTCCTGAGGCTTATTCTTGTGGAATTTTATGGATTATATAATGTCTTGATTGCATCAATTTGTATCCAAGACTATAGATGTATCAAACAAGCGAAATATGTGTCTCCTGTTTTCACTGGTGGATCGACAATTTGAACCTTCTTATTGTTTCTCAGTGGCTTGCTGCACATATCAAACATGACTCGTGGTCGAATTACCTCTGTCAGTGACATACTTAAGGTTAATGAGAAGATCAAAGTTCTAGTTGTGAAGTCAATGTTTCCTGACAAAATATCTCTCAGGTATACAAGGGGACGAGATGCTTAAATTTCAGTTCATTCATATTCCATACATTTGTGGTTGAGAAAATCTCCGTGATCTTTTTTCCTAGTAAATTCATAATGCTTCGGGCTATTCTGTAGCAATGTTTTCAACACCAGACTTAACTGGCCGATCCAATCTATTAAACAGGGAACTGGTCACACTTCCAATTTAGGCATAATGTATGACCCATTTTTGGTCAAATCATGAATTGAACCAGATTGACCAAAAGTTTGACCATTAAACTGGTGACTCGTTCTGGTTTTTTGGACCCAGTCAAGATCTCTATTCCATATTCCATAAGATAATAAAATTGGTCTTTTCGGGAAAAAGAATGCATAAAGGGACATGAGAACGGACCTAAACAACAACTGACAAACCATTTTATGTTATCATTGTGTCATTTATTATTTAAAAGAGATCTTTGCTTAGTTATATATTTCTTTCCTTGCCAAGAGAATCACATTGCTTCAGTTATTTGTTGGCCAAAAAAATAAATTATTTGATGCCTTGGCAGCCAGGCCATAATTGATGCTAACTCTTTCTTTTTCTTGGCAGTCTCGGCCCTAAACTCTGATTCTCTGTGTAGGTTGATCATAAATGGATGATTATTCTGTTGAATTTGCCCATCATGTTGTGACTACATTTTAAAAGTCATGTACTATAATTCATAACAGATTATCGGTTTACATAATGAACTGCAGAGCTTAATCATGCAGCATAAAATGTTTAAACGGATATCAGTAACTGAGAAATACATTAAGGTGAATCAGTTTTCTTGTTTTATTTTTTCCCCCAACGGAAAGTACTTTATGATGAATAGATTGCCTGGAATGGTGGCAGTTTTCAGTTTGCCACTTAGGGCTCCCTCTGGTTCCAAAGTTATCCTCATGAACTAGCTAATGTCTTTGCTGATTTCCTTTTACTTTTTTTTTCCGTTGAATTCATATTGTTGAACAATCCTAACTGATACAAATTCAACTTTGCTTGGCTTACAGCACTGCTGAACTTGAAAGTGAACCTGGCCTCTTTTTATTAAACAGAGAGGTATTTAAATTGTTCTTTCTGCTCAGAAATGAAATTACTCGTTTGGTCTGAGAATTGCTTGCATAACGATTTGTAATCTTAATAGAAAATTTCTTCCTTCTGGCAGCGAGTACTTTCAGAGGCTGAAATGATGGCAAAGAAGTACAGGCAAAAGCTGCCTGCTGTTCCAGGCAATCGTAAGTCAGAATCCCCTCAAAGCGATGCTCTACCTTTTGATAAATTAAGCATGTATGCAAATTGGAAATGGTTCAAATTTGAAAAGGAGGAGTAAGAACAAAGCTGATGCTTATGGTCGCCCTGTGATACTGGCAATTTAAAAAAGCACTATTAAACTTTTCCATCCTTCTCGAAGCCATGCATCCCTCGAGAGGTAAAAAGAGCAAAATATTTTGTTTTAGGAGTAGTCTTAGATTGGTTTATTTACTTCATTTACCTCATGACCCGTTAGAAAATGTGCAGAACCAAAAAGTATGAGATGCTCACAGCAGAAAAGATGATTATCAGTTTGAGTATTCTCATGAATTTTGTAAATCGTAATTTGTTATTTCCTCTTCTCTTTTACATTTCTTTCTTGTTATCTGAGTCTCCGAAGCATTCATTTGATTATTGTAATCTGATTCGTCACCCATGAAACTGATTTTAACTCGCTTCCCAACCAACAAGCTCTACTGAATTGGGCTGTGTAATGATGTTTTGCACTTGGTATATACATGCACTACGTCATCATTTGGCCCGTAGGGCCCGACCTGCTCTAAGGTTGGGTAGAGTTTGAGCTTAGGTTTTGAAACTTTTGGCCCCTCCTCGGTCTGGTCCAACAAGGCCCACCCATGACCAAGCTCGAGTAATCCCGCTCATTGCCTTGTTTTTGGTTTCCCCTTATATTGCCTTATTTTCATTCTAAACATTTACATAAATGTCAAGACATTTACTTAAGTTTACAAAGCAAATAAGTAATCCTCATTTGGATTCAATAAATAAAAAACTAGAAAATCCAATTCCCAACTAATCAAAATATTAAATTCCAATTTTAGTATAAGATACAATTTATACCAATATTGATACCTCAATAAGTCAATGTATACTTTATACTAAAATCTCATAAAATCATATTTGATTATTTAAGTTGTAAGGAATATAAGCTGCCAAAAATATCATTGAAAACATTAGTATTTCAAAAGTCCATTTTTCATACTTGGTCTGATTTTGACAGAAAACTATTTTTCAAGTATGATATGCCGTAATAAGGCAAGGCAATATAAGACAAAAAAAATAAAAGCAATGGGTGGCCTGCCCCTGGTCCGAAAAGCCCACTTAGGCCTTGCCCTATGGGCAGGCTCAGATCGATCCCTTTCAAATCTTGGCCTGGCCTGAAAAAAGAACCCTCTATTACAAGGCCCGGCCCAATGACCCTCTATTACAACATTTTTACATGAAATTCTATTTTTAAATTCCACGTACATTTAGTGCTTAAGATTGAATTAGATTGGATTGGTTAACTCACAAGATTCAAGTATACTAATATCCTATCATTTTGTGGGGATTTAAAGGATACGTTTCCCTCTTGACTAATCTTCTACCTTCAATTTGGGCAAAATTTGGCATTTGGCTTCTGTTTCTTCCTTCAACATGTCTTTAATCTAATGAGTTATCCAATTCAATCTTTAGCACCAAATATGGCCAGAGATGGATATAGAACTCAAAGAAATCTTTTCATTTGGAAATTTAGACACTCTTTTTGTTATTTGGTCACTCCTTTCCACCCGTTTGACTATTGTCTTTAATCCCAACTCAAAACTCAGAGTTGGGATACCCCCATTGAATACTCAGGTTGGCTCGTCTCTGATAATTAAAATGCACTCTTTTCTTCTTCTTTATTATTATTTGTTCTGGTTTTTTCTTTGTTTCCTTATTCATAGTGGTCTTCAAATGGCAATGATAAATTTTAACTTTCTTGGTTCCTTTCAGTTTCAGCTCAAATTTGGCTTCTAGTAGTGATATAGGTTTTGTTGGTAGGACGACCAAAGTTGCAGTTGGTTAACACAATTCCAAACCTAATTCAAAATCTTTAAATTTTTATTCATCAATGTTATGAATTTCTCTTATTAAAATTGGTAGCCAAATTTGTGAGTAATTTGATGTTCCTCTCAATGTTGGAAATCTAAGGCTTGAACTTGATTAAAATGTGCTAGGCCTATACTTATGACAACAAACAAACCCTAGTTTATAAATAACAATACCTCTTGCCATCACATATTTAAACAGATGGCAGTAGCTGCAGAATTCCACCCGTACTAGAGAACAAAACTAAGGATAACTATGAAATTAAAAATAAAAATAAAAAATCAGAAAAATACAGACAAGATGAAAGGTTCAAGAAAAGTTAAAACAAGACAAATTTGGATGCACAGAATCTCTGTTCTTAAGAGTGATGACTAAATTAATGTATTATTTGTTGTTGTTTAGTCATTAAAAAGGCTTGGAAAAGAATCTGAAAAAAAAAAAATGCATATTTATGAAATGAAAATTTTCATATTGACCCAAAAGGTCTTCATTTTCTTGACCCACAACAGGATTCCAGTAATATGTCTATTACCAACCCTAGCCTACTAATTAAGAAAATTAATTTATTTGCTATATTAGGGCACATACATTTGATCATAATTAGTCGGCAGCTCTTTTTGTCTTCTTCATATGTTTTCTACTATTTCTTTAAGATTTATTTATTTATTTATTTTATTTGCAGTGAAATTGCTTTAAAATAAAATATCCCTAGACCAGGTTCAGGTTGTCATATGCCCTAAATAATTAGGGTTTGGGGCTCCATGAATTAAATTAAAAGACCAACAAGTCACCAAAAACAGCTTGGGTTGGGTTGCCAAATGTGATTATGAGGCGAGCCTTGTTTGGCCGCATACGACGTAATTTGTCTGTGAAGTGGGATTTCAAGATTTTATAATGATACATGATCCTTTAGGATCTTTACTTGCATTTGAAGATTAATACAAGTGTAATTAAACAATTCTTGAGGGAAGTGGGGAAATAAGCAAAGATTAATATATAGTTCAAAATTTTTATCTTCTCCACTATAACAAACGAACAATTGCTGGCATTTCGTGATGATTTTAATCAAAAATTGACGTAGAATTTTAGTTCCAAAAGTACACGAGGCCCTGAGCTTGAATCAGCAGCATAGTTAGAATTTTCGAACTTCACAAAATAAAATACAACATATAATGAGTGGTTTCACTACTAATAATATTGAGACCTTTTATATAAAACATTACACGTATCGAACTATAAAACCTCAGACCTATCGAACCATAGAGGTGCATTATACTTAGAATTCAATCCTTGATGATATAACGTTGTTAGTGAAAATATTAGAACAATATTTTTAAATACTTGCAGACCCAGGTCCATGCTGGTAGGCTAGCTCAAGTCCACTCCTACATTGGGCACTGACGACCCAGGAAAAATTAAACACAGAACAGAACCACCTTTTTAGAGGACGATAAAGCTCACAACTAATTTTTTAATGTACACCTTGTACAAATTAAATTTTAATATATTAGTACCCTTAATTTGAATATTATATACTGAGCAAAACAGCAGTACAATTATTAATATATTATTTCAATTATTTTTGACATATATATGTTCATTTTCCTAAATCCTCAGAATTCATCCCAGGTGAGGGATAAGGTCATAAACTTAAATATATTTTTTTGGACAGCATCAGTGCATGGATTAATTATACTTGAAACCTAAGGAATATGAACCTGCATTTCATTAATATGTAATTACATGCTTTTTTTTTATAAAGATATTTAATTATACTTGATTTTATATAATCCCATCATTGGTTGACTCTTCTTGGTATTTGAAAATTTTCATATGGTTGATGGCACCTATCCTTAACTTGATGGATTTTGATCACTTGTGGCTTAAGTTTAGCTGACATGTGTAGTGAATGGACTATCTCACTTACGATGGATCTCAATCAATTTCACCCTCTCCTGTAGAACCAATTCCCCAAATATACTAGACGTAGATACTTTCCTTCCCGTACTATGCATGATTACTAATCAAGTTCATCTACATTAATTTCACTTGGAAATTAAGAGTAATTTTTTTTTAAGAGATCGAGATAAATATAGTAAATAGACATCTTAAATACTAGGGTTGGGCAACCGAACTAAGATGGAGCGGAAGAGAGATTTCGACCACTGGACAGACGTTATCGATGATTGCTTCAATTGACTATGATCGGTTCATTGAGAAATTAGTTCTGTGGTTCCAATTTCGACGAGAGTTGGTGGCCTTTGTTCATAATTGAGAGAGAGAGAGAGAGAGAGAGAGAGAGAGAGAGAGAGAGAGAGAGAGAGAAGAATCGAGAAGTGGCAAGACAAAGAGAGATGCGGTAAGATTAGGGTTATACCTTCGTTTGTATGGGCTCCAAGCTTCGATGGGGGCCATGACCTCACGTGTAGAAGAGAATGGCAAGACTAGTCAAATACAACATGCCGTACATATGTGTTTTTTTAGGTGAAATAATATAAATTGCTACTTCAAAACACCAGTTTAAGTTTTAAATTTAATGTTGGAATTATGTAATTTTAGTATTTTACTTCTAATTAGGCTTCCAGTGATTAAGGGTTTAAGGTAGTATTAAAAGCTGTTTTAGCTTTGTGATTAGAGTTATCCATATTACTATTCAATAATACTTTGTCTTTCCTTAATTATTCTATGTTATGTGTGCATGGAAAGACGAGTGAAGTATCGTAAAGTATCGACTCTATAGAAACACATGTTTGCAATCTATTTGGGCAGACTAATATCAAGTACACTTGTTAAACTATTTAAATCATCATCACATGCCAAGAAAATAAAGGGCATAATTCAATTTATATTACTGGATTTTCTTTTGTTTCTTTGCAGTACCAACAAGTATCATATTGGAAGCGGAATTTTAAAAAAGCTTGTTTGTCAGTATCAGTTTATACAGACACATTAATCAAAGTCTAAACTCTATGAAATTCAAAATAGCTGGTTTAGCAAGCACTATATATACTTCAGTGTATATACTTTTAGAAGGCAGTGAAAAAAAAAAGGCATAATTAACTGGTGAAAGATAAAATGTGAAGGGGATGATTTGTGTATATAAGGAGAGCATGTCACATGAGTTTATATAAGGAGACCACTTGGGTTCACTTTCCATGAATCCTATTCCATCTCTCTGCCTCTCTAGGGTTTATATATACTCTCCTTCTGTTATTTCATCTCTTAAATAAGCTTATTTGAAGGTCCCATTGTGGGGCTCATCCAATATTCTTTTTCAATGATCCAAATCGTTTAATTTTGAAGTGTTACTCATAGATCATTTTTTGAAATATTAAAATGACTAATGGTCCACATAAGGGTGTGTATCAAATAAAAACAGGATGGGTCGCTCTCTCATCTTGTTTTTGACTGATAAAGAACGGGTTGGTGTGGTGATAGAGGAAGTAACCGCTTTCGATCAATTTTTTGGATTTGGTACGAATTTCTTTGCTAATAAGGCAAAGGAGACTAGCCTCGAGGGGTTTCCAAGGTCTCCATGATCATTCGCTTTTGGGACGTTCATGGGCTTGGCTTCTGACGAACATTCGGTAACCTGAAGTTTTCTTCGTCAAGACAAGAGGCCGGTATGGGAGCAAGTTGGGTCCCGAGGCAGTTCTTTTTTGTTTTGTGTTCTGTTTCTGTGGCTGTTCGTATTGGTGTTCCTTCGTTTCTAACTCATTGCATATTGTACCAATCTCACGTTGTATAAAGTACAATGTTCTACTATGTTTACATAGGCGGTCTTCTTTGACAGAACCTGAGAGACGTTGGTGCTCTTTCGTTAGGTTTCGTTTTGCTTAAGCTTCTTTGTGTTTTGTTCATATGGATTGTTTGTCTTTGTGTTTTTTTGGTTATGCTCGTTGTATGTTGAACAAAATCTCGCGTTGTACAAAGGACTATGCTTACATATGGGGTCTTCTTTGACATAATTTGAGAGGCGTTGGTGTGCTCTTTTGATGGGTTCGTTTTGCTTCAATTTGGTTCTTTGAGTTTTCCTACGGATTGTTCATCTTTGGTGTTCTTTTGGTTCTACCCTTGCATGTTGAACAAATCTTGCGTTGTACAAAGGACTATGTTTACATAGGAGCCCTTCTTTGACAAAACCAGAGAAGCGTTGGTGTGCTCTTTTGTTGGGTTTTATTAGTTTGTGTGTGTTGCCGGGGTAGATTTGTTTTAGAGGTGACTGTTCTGTGTTTCTGTTTTTTGTTTGGACTCTCTTATTAGTCTGTTGCATATGTAGTACTCTTTTCTCGTTTGGAGTTTTCTGAGAAGGTTTTAATGAGGCTATTGTTAACATATCGGCTCTTATGTAATGTTTATAGGTTATTAATTTATATTCCTTTAAATAAATAAATAAAGGATGTGTATCAAATAAGCTTATCATGAGTGCTTCCTCCGTCAAAGTTCCTTGATACGTATCTAAGTCTGAAAAAGAAAAATAGAAGAGTAATAATGGATGAATCCTATCACAAACAATTGAAGCTTCAATGGACATTTGAGCAAATTATCGATTTTGACTTGAAAGTGCCAAAGTACAAGGACAATAACTAGGGTTTTGCCCATGTATGGCCAATTTCCGTTCCAAAGGACACTAGTTGGAGCACCTTACGATCCTTCAGCCACCCACTTTAGGTTGGAAAAATGGTTTCCTAACTAAGAGCATCTCCAACCGATATGTCAAATTGCCACATAGACAAAAAATGGCAAAAATTAAAGGTTAAAGTTGATCCAACCAAATAGTCAAATCCTACATGGATTTGAAGGTTGGAAGAGATATATCAAAAATAACATATCAAAAACTTGAATGTCAAATGTTGTTTTTTTTTTGTTGATCTCACTATCATTTACTCTCTTTTTTTATGCATCATATGGGCCCTATTTACTTTTAAAAAATAAATTAATATGATATTTGACATTTCGGATGGAGTTAAATTTTTTTCAAAATGTCAAATTTCCACATAAACCATCAAATTCAAATTTAAAATTTTGCATTTGACATCTTCCTCAAAATGCTCTAAGTACTGTAACTCTTCTTAAAACAATTTTTGTTTTTTTTCACTTACTCATAGGTGTGATGAAACTTCTTGTGTGTGAGTGTGACATTAATGAAATGAATAATATCTCGTGCGGCTGAATTGCTACAAAACAGTCAAAACCTAAAGCCCTAAAGAAAACCCTAATCGTGCATTGTGCCCTAATATATTCCAAAACCTCTCTCTCTCTCTCTCTCTCTCATGTGATCATGTAAATTTTTCTTTTGCTCCACTCCCAAAACAAACCCACTACCACCTCTACCTCGGAAACCAAATCACTGCCTCTCTACTTACATAATTTCACCCTCACCACAGTAAAAAAATAGTAAACCATAAGCTCCAATAAAAGTTCCTCTATTTCCACGCTACCCTTAAGCCCAACCCCTTATAATAACACCAAGGCCACGTTTAAGGCCGCATAGTTTATACCAGAAAAAGACATTGAAATTGGTTTGCTTACTCTAAACCCTTTTGCCTTTCACAATCTTCCATGCTCTCTCTCTCTCTCTCTCTCTCTCAAATTATCATCAAAGCCTTTCCCTTCCCTAGGCAGCTGGCAGTCTCCCTGTGCCACCCCATGCCCTAGACTCTGAATTTTTTGATTCTGTCTCGGCCTAAATGCAATTACCATCTTTGCATTACATTCATTTTAATTTTATTACTAAGGTTGGATGCCATCTATATCTATCACAATATACGAGCCTTGCTATTTTCTTTATGTTATTAGTCACATATTTAATGGAAAGTGAGATTCTTAGACGAGAGTCTCACCTCTATTTAAAACATCATCAATAAAGTGATCCGTACCATAAATGTGATTGAAGTAGTTTTATTTAGAACATTGTCTCATTTCTATACCATTAATAAACTTATCAGTAAATGTGATCACTTATTAGGTCAGATGAATTTTTCTGATATTGTCCACCTAAGATTAATCTGGAGCGTTGGATCGAAACCTTATTTGGTATATATAAAGATTAATTCCAAATTCAACATCTAGGTTTGCAAGGTAAAGATTCCAAGTGTCACCTATCCATGACAATTGCATGAGCGGGAACAAATAGAGGAAAATTATATGAGCAACCCCACTTTGAGTTTGTCAGCAATGCCCCTAGTAACTCAGAGAGAAAAATGAGGGACCACCTTCATTGACTAAGAAGGGTAATTTGTGAAATCAGATTGATAAGTGGCGCTCAAGCACTTCACTACTAGGAAGTGTAGAGTAGAATAATTGGTAGTGATAGTTATATGAGAATATAAGGGTGGGATTTCAAAGCCTTGGAAACATAACACAAGCGAAGAGAAAGAGAAAGAGAAAAGAGAAATCTCTCTCTAGCTCCCTTAGACCTCAAAGCTTATAGTAACCACCGCCACCACCACCACAACTCCAACCTTGAAACCATTCAAACACATGGCTATCTGCACCATTAATTCTGGTGCTGTTGACCAGAGCAGAGGAGACAGTTTAAACTTCAAACCTAAACTTTGTCATCTTCATCACCACCACCACAACAAGAACAAGAAGAGCAAGAGCACCAGAGCTAGCTAGGTCTTGAAGATGAGAAAGAGCATTTTCAGGTAAAATAACATCACACTCCACCATTTTTGGTTTGACCAAATTCAACACTGTATATACAACTCTACTTAAAGATATGTGTGACACATGCTTTTTTGTTCACATGCATGTTTAGTGCAACACCTTGTTGTAAAATTCAAGCATTCTCATCAACCACAGAAACCTCCTTCACATGCATGTTGTCTCCTTAGAGTAGACTTTCACCTTCATCTTCAACAACAAGAACAACCCCCCATTTTTCTTCTCCTTCTTCACCATTTAGCCTTCATTTTTCCCACAAGTACTCAAAAAATGGAACAAAACAGTACCCATTTTCTATTTTCCTTCACATTGTTGATTTACATGACCATGGCAAAAATCTTATTAGTTACCTCTTTGTCTTCTGATGGCCAAGCTCTTCTCTCCCTTCTGCCTGCAAAACAATCTTCTTCTTCTTCTCTTCTGTGCTGTCTTCATGGGACCCATCTAGTCAAACACCATGTTCATGGCAAGGCATAACCTGCTCTCCCCAAAACAGAGTCATCTCACTCTCTCTCCCCAACATTTTCCTCAACCTTTCTTCTTTGCCTCCACAGCTCTCTTCTCTCTCATATCTTCAGCTTCTCAACCTCTCCTCCACCAACATTTCAGGCACAATCCCTCCTTCCTTTGGCCAACTCACCCATCTTCGCCTCCTTGACCTCTCCGCCAATTCTCTCACTGGTTCCATTCCCCCAGAGCTGGGCAATCTCTCTGCTCTTCAGTTCCTCTTCTTGAATTCCAACAGATTGTCTGATAAAATGCCTCAGCAACTTGCTAACCTCACTTCACTTCAAGTCCTTTGCCTCCAAGACAATCTCATCAACGGTTCAATCCCATCACAACTGGGCTCTCTGGTCTCCCTCCAACAGTTTCGTGTCGGTGGGAATCCGTATATATCCGGAGAAATTCCATCACAGTTAGGCCTACTCACCAATCTCACAACCTTTGGTGCCGCGGCTACCGGGCTTTCGGGGACGATCCCATCCACATTTGGGAACTTAGTTAATCTCCAAACACTGGCTCTTTATGATACTGAAATAGTTGGCTCCATTCCCCCTGAACTTGGGCTCTGTTTGGAGCTGAGGAACTTGTATTTGCACATGAACAAGCTCACTGTTCAATTCCTCCACAACTGGGAAAGTTGCAAAAGCTCACTAGCCTGCTTCTTTGGGGCAATGCATTATCAGGACCAATCCCAGCTCAGATTTCAAATTGTTCTTCACTTGTTATTCTGGATGCTTCTGCTAATGATCTCTCTGGCGCAATTCCAAGAGATATAGGGAAGCTGGTGGTTCTTGAACAGCTTCATCTTTCGGATAATTCGCTTACTGGGACAATACCATCTCAGCTGAGCAACTGTACAAGCCTTACTGCTCTTCAACTTGACAAGAACCAATTATCAGGTACAATTCCATGGCAAGTTGGTAATTTGAAATCCTTGCAGAGTTTCTTCTTGTGGGGTAATTTAGTATCTGGAACTATACCATCTTCATTCGGGAACTGCACTGAACTTTATGCACTTGATCTTTCAAGAAACAAGCTTACTGGGTCAATCCCAGAAGAGATTTTCAGTTTGAAGAAGCTGAGCAAGCTCTTGCTTCTGGGAAATTCCTTATCGGGCGGGTTGCTGCCAAGTGTTGCACATTGTCAATCTCTAGTCAGGTTAAGACTTGGAGAAAACCAGCTTTCAGGACAAATTCCTAAGGAGATAGGCCAACTGCAAAACCTTGTCTTTCTTGACTTGTACATGAATCATTTCTCTGGAGGCCTTCCAGTTGAGATTGCCAACATCACAGTTCTGGAACTATTGGATGTGCACAACAACTATATAAGTGGTGAAATTCCATCTGAGCTTGGGGAGCTTGTGAATATGGAGCAACTTGATCTCAGCCGAAACAGCTTCACTGGCGAAATTCCTTGGAGCTTTGGAAACTTAAGTTACTTGAACAAGCTCATCATCAACAATAATCTACTCACAGGCTCAATACCGAAATCTATTCGGAACTTGCAGAAGCTAACTTTGCTGGATTTGAGCTTCAACAGCCTCTCTGGTCCAATCCCACCTGAAATTGGTCATGTGACAAGCTTGACAATCAGTTTGGACTTGAGCTCAAATAGTTTTACAGGAAAAATCCCAGAGACAATGGAGGGTTTGACACAATTGCAATCATTGGATCTTTCTCATAATATGCTCTTTGGAAACATTAAGGTTCTTGGTTCTCTAACTAGTCTCACTTCTCTAAATATCTCCTGCAACAATTTCTCAGGTCCTATACCAGTTACGCCGTTCTTCAGAACTCTCTCTTCAAGTTCATATCTTAAGAACCCACATCTTTGTGAGTCTGCTGATGGGACTACTTGTTCTTCAAGTCTAATGCAGAAGAATGGTTTAAAATCCGCGAAAACTGTTGCTTTAATCTCTGTGATTCTGGCATCAGTAACCATAGCAGTTATTGCCTCATGGATTGTTGTTATGCGAAATCATAGGTATATGGTAAAGAAATCTTTAGGAGCATTGGCATCGTCATCGGGAGCTGAAGATTTCTCTTATCCGTGGACCTTCATCCCATTTCAGAAGCTAAATTTCACCATTGACAACATCTTGGATTGTCTCAAGGATGAAAATGTGATCGGGAAAGGTTGTTCTGGGATTGTCTATAAAGCTGAAATGCAGAACGGAGATTTGATTGCGGTGAAAAAGCTGTGGGAAAACAAAACAAGAGGAAGAACCGATAGACTCTTTCGCTGCAGAAATTCAAATTCTTGGACACATTCGCCATCGGAACATTGTGAAGCTCCTAGGTTACTGTTCAAATAGAAGTGTGAAGCTGCTTCTATACAACTTCATTCCCAATGGTAATCTGCAACAGCTATTGCAAGGGAATAGGAACTTGGACTGGGAAACTAGGTACAAGATTGCAATTGGCTCAGCTCAAGGTTTAGCATACCTTCACCACGATTGCGTCCCGGCAATTCTTCACAGGGATGTGAAGTGCAATAACATACTCTTGGATTCAAAGTATGAAGCTTATCTCGCAGATTTTGGTCTGGCAAAGTTGATGAACTCTCCAACTTACCACCATGCAATGTCCAGAGTAGCTGGCTCTTATGGTTATATTGCACCAGGTAAGGGTGTTTCATTTTTTCTTTGAGAAGTTAATATAAATTGCAACACACTGCCCTTTCAAATTAATATTTAATCTTTTCCTAGTTGGCTGTATAAGAAGAGTATTGATGATGCATGATTATGCATCAAAGGTTGCATTATAATATTTATAAAATTGTTCAATCTGGATGGCTCTTGTTATCCAAATACAAATAGATTGGTATTTATTTTGTCACAAGTCTTGGGAGTGATCATATTCTAACAAATAATCTCCATTATGAATGCAGAGTATGGATACACAATGAACATAACAGAGAAAAGTGATGTCTATAGCTATGGTGTGGTTTTGCTGGAGATCCTAAGCGGTCGTAGTGCTGTTCAGCCACAGATTGGTGATGGGCTACACATTGTTGAATGGGTGAAGAAGAAGATGGGAAGCTTCGAACCAGCTGTATCAATACTAGATGCAAAGCTCCAAGGTCTGCCAGATCAAATGGTGCAAGAGATGCTGCAAACACTCGGAATAGCAATGTTCTGCGTAAACTCTTCGCCGGCAGAACGGCCGACCATGAAGGAAGTGGTGGCATTGCTAATGGAGGTTAAGAGCCAACCTGAAGAATGGGGAAAAACTTCCCAACCCCTAATAAAGCAGTCTTCAGCTCAAAGTTAATTTTTATCCTCTTTTCTTTCTAAACCTTCCAAGGACATTAGTGAATTGATTTTCAATCCCAACATAAGAGAATATACTATTGTGGGACATGAGGAAAGTTTGAGTAGTTATTTGGATGATGATGGGTTTAGGTTGCTTGTACAGTTTTGAGACGTCAATATGGTGAAAATGCTTCATGTCACACTTGCCCGCATTTCTTTACTTTTTTTAATTATTTTTCTCTATATTTTCATCATTTTCCTTATTCTTTTTAAATCATTACAGATTACCGTATTGTGAGAGAGACGTTATATATAACATGCATGTTCACTGGTTTTTTCATCTTGGTTTGAATTGCTGAAAATGGATGGCCTGCAACCTATAGCAATATTCTGCTTCTTTCTTCAATCTTTTTTTTTTTTTTTTTTTTTTTTTTTTTTTTCAAAACTTAATTTTAATTGATCACATATGGAATGAATATTCTAGATTCTATGTTGTCTAAATCTCATCCTGTAACAATACAAAAAAAAAAGCTGTCATTCCTCAACAAAAATCACAAACAGTATCAACAATTTTGGAGGCTAGGAAGAAGAGAATGGAAAAGCAGCTGCCCCACTTGTAGGCCCTGAATTGCAGCTTAAAAAGCAGACAGACAGAAACAGGGCATGCCTCCCTCTCTCTCCCCCACATGCTTAGCAGACACAAGATTTGTCTCCCATGTCTCTCAATTTCCTCACTTCGTTTGGTCCATGCCACTTGACCTTTTCCAGAATTGACGGTTCAAAAAAGCATATAATCAAAATCAACTTTTTATCATATATTATTTAAACATTGGAATATCAATAATTAATTCAATCAGCTTCTCTTTTTGTTGGTTTGATGGTCAACTCAAAATCCTCTCAGTCCGGATATGATGGCATAAATATGACCCAGGAAAGAAGGTGAAAGCACAGCTGATTTTGGAATAAGACTCAGAAGTCCTAGTTGAGCGGCTGAGTGGGAATGGAGGTAACAGGTTTGCAAGTCCCTTGAAAGCCAAATTTTGGTTATGTCCAAATCAACGACAGCTGATGCCTGATGACACAAAATTAAAGATGAAAAATGAAAAGTTTGAGCAGTAAAAGGAGGCCTTGGACGAGTCGTTAGTTGCTTTTAGAGTTGAAACCAACGATTCATCCAAAACTACTTCTGCTGCTCTAACTTTTAATTTTGTCTCATCAGCCGTCTTTGATTTGAACATAACCAAAATTTCACTTTCAAGAAACTTGTAAACTTGTTTTCTCCGGACAGCCTCTTTTAACAATGGCGAAATTTTGGTCAGGGATCCATTTCTAAGACAAGCCAGAGACACGGGGAGGGAGCTCTCACAAGGAGAGAGGTTTTTTTCCCTTCCTTCACAAGATTGTTGAAGGCAGGATATTTGAAACAAAGATGCGATACTACTTGAGGGGAGGGGGAGGGGTTATTTAATGACTGAAAATATATGCATCCATCCCCCCATGGGATTAATACGAATAGGGGTAGAATGTGGTTAACATGCAGAAGATGGTAGGTGAAGATGGTGATTTTTCATTTGGTTTGACTGAATTAAATGGATGCAATGCTAGTTCCACAAGAATTGGATGCTTCAAATATCACTCCTACCTTCTCCACATGGGTAAAATTATTGTTGGATTATTTTTTTTTTTGGTAGGGGTTAATTAGTAAAAACGCTGCATTTTCATTAAAAAAAAATTTCTGTGTTTTTTTTTAACCATCTCTCCGATGTGGTCAAATAAATAATTTCATTAATAGTATAAAAAAATATGAAAAATTGGATTAAGTGTGATCAGTAAACTTGTTATCTACCGGTGTGATAAGTTAGTATGTGTGAGAGTGACATTCTTTTTCATGTAGACTCTGTAGGTGCAAAATTAAAGAACGAAAATTAAGATTAATGGCCACCAACGGCCATTGAGATTATTACTAGTAATTCATTCACTAAATACTTATTTTGGCACTAGCCTTGCATCCATTTAATTCAGTCAAACCAAATGAAAAATCACCATCTTCACCTACCATCTGCATGTTAACTACATTCTACCCTACTCACATTAATCGCATGAGGAGGACTGATGCATATGTTTTCAATCACTAAATACCCCCTCTCCCTCTCCCTCTCCCTCTCCCTCCCACTCCCCATCGCATCTTTCTTTCTTGATTGTAGTTTTCAGAATTTCTACTGTAGTCTCTAGCAAAGTTTTTATCTGCAATGCCAATGATAATGTAATGCCAGAGCACTGATAGAATTGGGGGCACCCTATATATATATCTCCCCAATTCCATCAATGCTCCAGCATTACATTATGAAGGGACTTGCAAACTTGCACCATTTCATTTGAAATACTCCAATCTAGTCTATGTCACGTCCTTATAAATGAAAATACAGTACTCCAATCTCCTCTATGTTACACTAGCTTAGGAAAAATTATACTTTCAAAAATGTAATCCAAGCTTTCCTTTATACTTTAAAAAATGTAAATGAAGTTTTCCTGGTAAAATAGAGGTAATCCACTAGTCTGTTTGTGACAATGTTTCAGTTTTATCGTTATCGAAACCATACGCAATAGAAATTTCCTAAATTAAGTTGTCTCATATAGAGGAGATTAGAGTATTTCAATATATAACTTCACAACAGTAGAAGTTGCACCATTTCATTTGTAGAACAGTCATCCTCCCCAGCTCTGTTCCCACCCATTATAAGTTTCTTTTCTACTAAACCAATGAGCAATACAAAGAAATAACTTTACTTAAGAAATTGGAGGACATAATCTGTTCAATGATATCTTAATTCTCTTAATATCTTCTTCTTTTTTTATATTATTCAATTCAGTCAACTGATTCTAGACATTATGGCACAGCAAAATCATCAAGGTGGAGTCAGGTAAATTCATATTTTGGAGCCTCCACAATTGGAAGGCCACCATAGAGTAGTTCCAAGGACTAATCTAGATAGCCCATGCCCACCACATGACAAACCATGTCCTCTTCTGCAAACCTATTAATGCTTCAACATACTTGTGCCAATTGGTTTTTCTTTATCCATCTTCTTTTGGTCTCTTCTATGCTACACCTGTGGGGTCCTAGCGTGTGAAAGAAAAGGAGAATATACAATCAAATGAACTCGAATACTGGCCAGCACATTCACTTATCAAAATCTAGTACCATCATTTCTGTTTCTAAATTGATGCAGGACAGAAAATAATATGGATAGAGGATAAAGATAATAGAAAAAAGAAGAGAGAGAGAGAGAGAGAGAGAGAGAGAGAGAGAGATTGAATATGAGAAGTAACAAAACAGGAGAGGGAATTAGGATAAACTCAGAGTCAACTTGAAGCCACCTATCAAAATAAGACCTATAGGAAACCCCCAAAATAAATTAAGCACCTGAAATAATTCAATACAGCAGTAACAAGTGAAACGAAATAAATCATTTTTAAATCCTAATATAGTCAACATAATATCGGAGCTTTGCACCTATGCCTAAAATAAATGCAATCTCATTCACCTGTCAACGATACTCTCAAATCATAAAATGAAAAAAAACAAAAAAAGGGTTTTAGCAAAACTATTGCTAGCCGTTGTAGTTAGTTTAGCAGCTGTTTCTTTACTTAAACTTGGTTCCTGTGCCTCATTCTAAAAGTTCTTAAATACCACCTCAAACAGGTTTGGAGTGGAGGATTCTCTTGTACATTCTTATTCTCTTATTTATTCAATAGTGATTGCATTGAAATAATTTTTTTTTGAAAAACACTAAGCATAGTGCTAAACTATTTAGGAACTATTTCATTCAAAATGACAAAAAGAAAATGTCATTAACAAGCTAAACTCAAGAAATGCTTCTTAAGAAAATATTTAAAAATAAAGGATGAAACAATTAATATTATTTCTCAGGCGTTTCCAGCACCAGGTAATTTCCAGAAGCCTTTTTCACTGATTCTCTATATGGGTTTGTCAACTTTAGATAACCTGTTCTAAGCATCAGCCTTACATATCTGTATTAGTATTAAATTTCCTTCTTCCAGAATTTCATTGGGCTTATTGCACCTCAGTATTACCTACAATGCAAATACACCCAAATTGTGGGGGAACAAGATTTTATTTTCTTCTACATTTGCAGAGCAATCAATCAGAGCTTCCTATGAGAAACAGTAGTGCATAAGAGGAATTTCAATGTCTGTATTCACCAGTGAAAAAAGAGGACTTCCAAAATAATGTGACCCATCTTAAGATAACCCTTCATAAGAACTCTTAATCAAATCATTTAAGCTATCTTGGATCATCAATTACCAAACAAAAGTGTTTAGATTTAACCAAAACTTCCATTTTGTCAGACTACTGCCACCAACCACAGTTTAATACCAGGAAAGAAGATAGTGCACTTGTGCACTAAAAAGATCAGTTCAGGTCCTACCTGAATTTGATGAGGGATGCTGGAAAAATATGGAAAACACACACAGGGAAGAATGACTAAGGGAAAAAGAAATTGTAAGAATCGAAATCAACAAACTTAATTAAATATAAGAAGAAGATGAATGAACAGTAACAAACCAGACATGCATTTGTAACATATCTGCACTTTTACTTTTCTGAAGAATCATATTGGAATGTAGGTCTCCCTAGAAGTTTTATTTGATTAGCTACTTTCCCAAGAGTTGGAGCAAACTTTCAAAATTATCTAGGTTATCCAAAAGAAGTCCAGTTCCTGATCAATAGTGGTAAACTTTTCAATATTTTGCGGTTTTTTTTCTATGGTTAAAAAGATAACTGAGATTGACAGATACAAGAATCAATTATGCAAGCCTGTCGCCCTTCATGGACCTTGCAGTTTTTTTTTAATGACATCTGAGGGATATTTGGCAACTCACAATGTGTTCCACCACTAGCCCTCAAGCTCCCAAACATAAATTAAGAGATAATTTAAGAGTCTTAGCTAACTATCCTCAAAGCTCCTGTACCTCTTAAAGATTGGGGCATTCTCTAACTATATATTATTGGTTCTTGCTTTGAATTATGCAAACAAATAAGAAAGTTTATAGAAATGAGTACCAACTGATGTAGTGGGTGATGTTTGCACATTTCCTTCTGCAGAGTGACAACATTAGGGTATGGTTGTGATCATGCAGCAGCATAGGTTTTGGGTCCTCAACACCAGAGACTGGAAAATATGGATTCTGACGAAAAATAATCAATTGTTTTGGGAAAGGCAATGGCTCCATCAGGCTTTAAAAAAAACCTTTCATTTGTGCCTTACTTGTATCTTAAGTAAGATCCTTATCGTTGCTAGATGTTTCTGGAATGAACTAACTTGTTTAGTTGGTTTTCCTGGGTATTTGATTGGTAGCAACTAATCTTACTGGTAGGAATAGGATCTAATTGCCAGGTCCTATCTAATGGATTTCGCCTTTACAAATAACAATGCCAATATAACTTAAATACCCGCAAAATATGTAGGCACCATATCACTAATAACTCTTTATACCATTCAGTTTACTGGTTTCATCTACTCTTAGAATAAATTATACTAAAAACGAAAAAACATAAGGATTATAGACATGGTATAAAAAAAATTCCTACAATTTCTGAACAATGCATAAGACAATTAGCAAGAATGCAATTTAGAACATGAACTGCAGAGCACCAATTTCCACAATTAGCAAGATTTGAATAATTTATTTCCTTTCTTGTAAAATACAAACAGCCAATTATTCAAACAATCATCCGTAATTTAGTACCACGAACTCTTTGCCTAACTTGTCGTCAAAAATCAGAAATTACATAATCAAAGCATAAACGAATTGATTGAAACACGAAAAAAGGGGCAAAACTTCATATCCACCGACCTCATTATCACTCATCCAACTGTTTCAGCTCAGCCTTCAACTGCTCAATCTTGAGCCCCATCGCCCTCTGCAATGCTGCCTTTTTGTCCTCCGGCGACTTAGCCAATAGCCCATCAAACAGGTCCAGCACTTCCTTCACAGCAGTTCGAGCACACTCAGCCTCTTCATCAAAATAAACAGTCTCTTTGGACTCCATGGCCATCTCTATCTCCTCCCTTGCCTCTGCAAACTTGAGGTTGATCATGTCCACCTCTTTGTTCTGATCAAACCCATCCGCCCCACCGCTGAATTGTCTCAGATTATGACGATTTATGAACTGGGACGGTGAGTTTGAGAACGTCAAGTGAAGAAAATGGGGGGAATTTGTGGTGGGTTTGTGAAGAAGAAGCTCAGGAGTCTTGGGTTTCGGCAATGGAGCTGAGTCTGAAACGCACTGAGCCAGACTCGTTGTGAGCGAGTTGAGGGAAAAGAGCTTTGGAGAACCATTGAAAGAGCGTCTGAAAAGCAATTTGCAAAGCGAAGCTTGTGAATGTTGATAATGCATTTTCTCTCTCTCCCAATTTGCAGAAGAGGAAATGTATGGAATTACTGAAGCAAAGAGAGGAGAGACTTAAAACCCCCCATCATCAGTCTCTACCCAATTAAACCCTAAAAATTTTACAAAATTAAAAATTAAAAATTAATCCCAAAAAATATATTTCTGAACATTTTTCTTTCCAAATATATATATGTTCTCGTAAAGGATATACTACTTTAATTTAATCTAAACTACAAAAATATTCTACTTTAATTTAAAAATTAAACCCAAATGGTCAGCCCAAGACATGTAAGTGTTTAAATCAATAAACTTCTAGTTCACCATATTATATGCTTCAATTGTCCTTCTCTAGGAAGAGTAATACTCAAACTCAAACTCATTCCTAAACTCGAATAAATCTCACAGACCTATGCTTATCTCGGCTCAACTCAACTCGCTATTGCTTTTATTTATTTATTATTATTATTATAAAAATTATAGGATTGCATTAGTAATTCAGTCAAAATAGCCACTAGCTACAAAGGGCCAATACAAACTAGCTACAAAGCGCCATACAATAACGGAGTAATTTAACATCAAATTTAAGACAATATGGTGCACCTCCACTAATGATCATGCAGGATCGAAAAAACTCTGTCATAAACATCCCAACTAAGATTGCAAACTTAAAATAATTAAAAAGATATAAAGCTTGAAAAAACCAAGTCATAACAATACATATAAAAGTCTCACAAATGAGAGATGAAAAACTCTCACAAAAGGATATGTGAAAACTACATAGAGAACCCAAAGAGTCTCTGCAACTTCCAAACATAAAGAAACCGCAAAAAGGATGGTGATGGAGATCTGACATTGAAATGCAGGTGGAGATCTGCCGTTGAGACGCAACCGCCTGTGATGGTTGGAGGAAAATCATAATAAAACAAAGACAAATAGGGAAAATTTTTTGTCTCTAAAAATGGTGGAAGAGAAGAGGGGACAGGGGAGGAGGAACAATGACTTCCTCCCTTCTCAAAGTGAAAATGGCTCTAGGAGTTTTTTTGAGAAAGAGGGGACTAAGGTTTCTCTTGGCTCAAATTCATGTCAGTTTTGGTTGTGCTCACATTTTACCACATGTTTTGCATATTGTCGTCACCTTGACAAGACAATTTGCCGACTATCAGGGGAGAGAAATGACAGTTATTCAAAAACAACGTGAATTAGTGTGGAATGCATCCATTTTTGTCTTATCAAAATAATTCATATGTAAGTTATAAAATATGCTAGCATCGATCGACATCCCAAGAGCAAAACCCATCCACCACATGGTACTAAGTGACTATTATGATTTTCTTTTGCATGCATGAAGTATGAGTGGCAACTGGCCGGTTCAGAGCCGGGTATGACAATACTATTTTCGTGCCCGCTTCATAACTTCACCTCAATCCTTGCCCCTATACCCGGTTTGGGGAATCCTCATCCCCGTCCCTGTCTAGGAAATGCCTCCCAAACCCGCTCCAATTCCACGAATTTTATTTTATTTAAAAAAAAAATCATTATACTTTATAACAAAATAAATCTGAAATAAAAAAAATAAAAAAATCACCTCTTGCATGCTCTTCAAATTGATTCTGTGAAAATAACAAATATGAGAAAGCCAAGTCATAAGAATATATAGCCAAAACAACTAAAAGTGAGAGGGAAAGCAAACTAGAAGCACTTCAGTACAAAAATTTGTGATAAACTCAAAAACCAGGATCAGATTCCAAGATCAAATATTAAAAGAAATTGTTATACGTTGTAACAAAAATATGTATTATTTTTACCTGTTATATTATATTATATTTATTAATTCAAAATAAATATGACTTGTCAGGCTGGGTTCGGTGATAAGGATAACAATATCATTCCGGTCCGTCATTGACCAGAGATTTTTAAAATTCGGGGATCCTCATACCGCCCCTGGTTTTCCCCTGAAATCTCCTCCCATAGGGCTGGGGACCCAATGGGAACCCGACCCAGCGGGAATTTTTGTCATCCCTAAGTATGATAGCTCTATAGATTTTAAAGATTCAACACTCCAGAAGTGGGAGGGATATCTTGTGCGCTCCAATAGAAATCCTGAATGGCTTGTGAGAATGGTTGAATGTGAACAACGTAGAATGAAGAGAAGCCTGAAGAAACTCTGAAAGACAAGGTAAATCAAGAAATCAAATTAAGCTAGTTTAAAAGGCATCTTCTTTTCTGTTATATAGTTCATATAAATTTTCTTGCTGCAAAAGATTACTTTAAAAAAAAAATTATATGTAAGTATTCTCTCCTAATGTTTTTAGTACTTTTGGTGGATGAAGTTGTTACCCAAACTCACCAAAATGCCAACTAACGATCAAGGAAAAAGGCACACAATCACTATGGAACCAGTGGAGGTCAAAGATTACCAAAACCACGCAATATATAAATCCTAACAAATCCTCCAATTTCAACTACTCTTAGTAGGCAATTCTGAAACTATATAAAACTGTGAGACCATAAGTCCATCTCCATCTTCAAATTCATCATGGCTCGCCATCTTCTTTTGACACACCCTGTACCAAGCGCATTTCAAGTCGGCCTGGGCGCGATGACCCTTGCATTTTGTGCCATGGCATTGCTCATGTGTGCATCCCATTCGCATAAATGGCGTCGTCATTGGAATGCTTGCACTGACTTTTTCGAAGATGATCCTGTTATTGAACACATTCAACCCGGAAACTATGATGCAGGCATGGAGGATACTAATAGTGGTGAGCTAGAAGACTCGGTCTGGCAGAAGAACATACTCATGGGTGGTAAGTGTCAGCTACCAGATTTTTCTGGTGTCATAATCTACGACTCTGATGGGAACATTGTCAAGCCTGACAAAACTCCTCGTTTAACCTGGAAGTAAACAGGAACAAAACGGCGACCACAACTTAGATCTCTGGTTCATAGAAATCTGTCTGCCAATTCAGGATATTGACAGTGTACTGGAATTTCTTTAGGCTTCAATTTGAATGACATATCAATGCCTTCTTTCACAAGTTTTTCTTTTCCTTTTCCTTTCTTCAAATCAATGCCTCTTCACAAGATTAAAATCATCTGATGCTATTTATTTAACTACATAGCAAATTTTATGCATTAAAAGTACATAATTAGAAAGAATAAAAGCAAAAAAAAAAAACAATTAAAGCATGGAAAATTACAACAGCATTGAGTATTACTACGTAATGGGATTAGGGAAAAGAAAATGGAAAAAAATCGAGTGAAGACCAATAAGAAGAATGTCATTTTTTTTCTTTTCTTTTGCAAATTAAAGCATTAAAGATTTAATATTACAAAACATTTTAATATGCACATTTTATAGAGGGGCAACTCTGAAAAGGGCGATTAATTGCAAACTTGATCCAAAGTTTGACTACAATCAGCTGGATGCCACTGATTCTCTCTTGTCAGACCAAGAAGCCCGTCCCCTAAACCCAACAACGCTTAACTTTGAAGCTGTTGATTTAACTACACTCGATCTTCTGCTTTCTGGTTGCCTCTTCCCACTGGAAGAAGCTTTTCTTGAGTTGCTTGGACTGGAAGAAGCTTTTCTCGAGCTGCTTGCACTGAAAGAAGCTTTTCTCGAGCTGCTTGCACTGAAAGAAGCTTTTCCTGAGGTGCTTGCACTGGAAGAAGCTTTTCTTGAGGTGCTTGCATTGGAAGGCTTTACTGACTTTGATGCCTGAAAAGATGCTTTTCCGAATTTTGCAGGAGCAGATGCTGACCTGCTCTTATTTTTCTGATTTGAGACTCTTACCAAGTTTCCTTTCAGTGGAGCAATTCGGGAACGGGCAATGTCCCTCTGGACACTATCTACACTGAGCGATTCTAAGCTTTCATTCTTCTTTATTGCCTCCTCAATTCGATTCGCCAACATAAGATTCTTCTTCGCAACCAAACTTGTCACTTTCCCTGTATTACAAGAATTATCTTAATTTTGCAATTGTTACAAGAAAACATAAGAGTATACTTTGACACAATTAAGACCTGCTATACAATACCAACAACAAAAAGAAAATGGTTATCACAAACTATGAGAATCACTCCATAGAATCGTTCCGTCATCAAGTGAAAAATAATCTTACCATGGAATACTTTCAATAGTTTCTTTGTTTTTTTATTTATTCAACATCATAATATTAAAGATATCTTATCTTCCCTGCAATATCTTGTCCATCAAAATCTGTTGAGTGATGATAAATTTATTTTTTTTTTTTTTTTTTTTTTTTTTTTTTTAAACAGTGCAAAAGAGTCGGTGAAGTCGAGCACAGATGAAGCATTCCCGTTAACTCTTACGAACTTCACTAATGAAAAAAGTAAGGAAACAATATCTTTTTCAGAAGTGCAAGTAGAAAATACATGTATACCTTTTGCACCCATACGAGCAGTTCTTCCAGTACGATGAAGGTAGTCAATCTAAAAAGCCCAAAGAGAGGTAAAAGTTTAAGCTCCAAAGTAGAAAAAGGAAAGAAAAAGAAGTCTTTAATACAATGTCAAATTAGTAGATACTGAAAAACAAAGCTGATATCTCATGCTTACAGAGTTCAAGGGAAAATCAAACATGATAACGTGGTCTACATCCAAGTCCAGTCCCCTTGCAGCCAGGTCTGTGCAGACTAATGTGGGGCAATCTCCATCGTCACTCTTAAACTTTTTGAGGTTTTCAACCCTGTGTTGCAGTGTTAAAAGAATGCAGTCAGGCTAAGCACTAAAATTGAACACTAGTGATGTACGTTGGTTGAAGTGTAGTAGAACAACAAGACCATTAACTGTTGAAATGATCAATTCATACAAACTGACTAAAGGTCCCTGTTCAGTAATTTTCTATATTAATTTCTCTTGCTAGACATTGTCTAACAAGAGAACATTACTGTATATGTATATCCATATGGTAAAGGTTATTTTTCCAGACTGAATCTGGACCAAATATTCAGGCAAGAATCAAACTAATCAATGTTTCAGATTCACAGTCCTGCATCATCTAATATTGCCAAACTCTCTAGCAAGCTATATATTATATATATGCTTCTAACATAGAACAGGGAAAGAATGGAGGAAATGAAAAGAAAACTAAAGCTGAAATTTATGACAACTACAATTGTAACATCGTATTCTCAATATAAATAGGAAAAACTACAGTGCAATTATAGAATTATTCCAATTGATATTGATAAATACTCATCCCTTACTGAATGAAAATAAAAAGTATATAAAATCTAATTACCAACCCTTGGCCTACACAGAAAATAGTAAAATAGACTACTTCGATTTCAATCAGCTGCTGTATATGTATGTGTTACGGTGTCCTTCCTATACATCCAAGCTTCATAGTTCTCATCCCTTACATGCAAACAGTGTGCCAAAGACTGGACGATATTGGTAAATATTTTCCTTCTCCATTTGACATCGCAGTCAAATTAATAAGTTTAACCACCGGTGCTGTGAAGCCAACAATTTCAGCCAATGGCATGCAGAAGAAACTCAAACTCAAGAAAGTATAACAGGCTTTATAGCAAAGAAAAACCAGTGTGGCTTGAATTCAGATGAACCATTCACTTGACACCAAAAAAACAAAAAGAAAAGAAGAAGCCATTCAACCGTTGCAACAGACAAATGTGCATTTAATTCTTAAGTCTAGTCAAGAAAAAAACCTCTGTTATAGCTATATATGAAATGTGGTCCAAATCGCAGAAAATAAGTCGTCATCACAAAAAGAATTTGATTAATAATGAGACACAGATATCTCATGTCATCACAAGAAAGAAATCCAGCCGCCCATAATACAAACAAAACAATCCTGTCAGCATCACTTTGTGCATCTTTCCATTGCAAGAGGCCAGAAAAAGTAAATGAGACCTTGAAAATACAGAAGGTATGAACACATTCTGCGAACCTCAAGCTAAACTAACAACTATGCAGTGTAGATACCAAACCTCTTTTACTAGGTTCTGAGACCTTAAACTAAAACTTGTAACGCATGAATTGGCATCCTCTTCTACAAAAATTGTAGCAGAAACAGATATGATACTATGGACTCTATCTGAAGTGGAAACATGCAGACATTACAAGTGAAAGAGTATGAGAGGTAATATCTTTTATTGTCTCACCTTTGTTCTGCTGGCACCTCACCATGGTAATTCACAGTCGAGATCTGATTTTCATTGAGAAAGTGATCCACAGCACGGCTGGAACTTAATGTGTTACAGAACACCATCACTCTATTTCCCTTTGCCAAACTTGGCTCAAGAACCTGTGTTCACCATAAAATTTACACAAGTGCTTTATTGTTAGACTGCTACAATACAGAGGCACGCTATCATGAAGAAAAGCTACATTAAGTCATGGGTACTTAAGCCAGGATTAAAAGAATACAGATCAATACCCATATAAAATTCCAGGCTTCTTTTAGAAACAATTAAGTTAGATTAACTGCATAGATACCGTAAAATGTCTTTAATTTCAATGCCGTGATATGCCAATATGTACTTCTAAACTTCCTTTCTAACCAACAAATTATTCTCTATGCCATTCAGAGCATTCAGGCACTATGTTATGTTCCTTATGTAGAAGAAACAGATGCATTTTAAAAGACGAAAAACTTCTATTTTCTAAAGCGGAAGAAACATATGTAGTTTAGAAACCTTAAGTTCCATAAATTTGTTCATCAGAAAAATACATATAAAAACATTTTAAATAACCCTATAAACTTTACAGATTAAAATATAAATCTTGGATTGTCATGCAGTTATATGATTTAAAACGTTACTTGATAATTCAGCTTCAACCCTCAATACTACCAATCTATAAATGGTCTCAAAAAAATATATAATTATGAATTTTAATAAGGGTAATGATTTCCCCACTCCAAATTTATCCACTTACACTCCTTTTTTAGTTATAAAATGGAGTGTAAGTGGATAAAATTGGAGTCAATCACCACTCTTTAATAACTTAGAAATTTACTTCATTGTTAACCAGCAAATTCTTTTCTATGCCATTCCAAAAAAATTCAGCTGCGATGCTGTGTTCTTACTGAGGAAGAAACAGCTGTATTTTAAGAAATTGAAGTTCCACCAATATGTTCATCAAGGAATATACATATAAACCCTTTAAAATAACAATCAAGCCAAAATAAAGAGAATGAAAAGACCAGCCCTTAAACTCAGAGGAAAGGTAAGCCTGCAAAGAAGACCACAAAGTAACTCTGTCTCATAAATAGTGCACATCCTCCCCTTTACACCTTCTAAGATTCTTCTTTTCCTCTCCACCCAAAGGATTTCCAGAACAGCACATCTCCTATTACCAAACCTCTCTTCTTCCCCCCGAAAACCTTAACTTATAACAAATTATCACAAGATCCCAGAATTGCCACTTAAATTGGTCTCTCTCATCAACAATCTTATCCAGCAGGACTATGCAACTGGGCATAGTTCACAATAAAACTTCAACCATTCAAACTCTCTATACATCTAAATCGAAAGCTTACGACTTTTTGTAGGGGCTTGTATCTCCAATGGCAGAGAGCATTCACCATTGGTAATGAAATATACAGCTATCATGTTTGCGTTAACCTTCGGGTTTATCTGTTGACTTTTTAAAACTAGGCGTCCCCAACATATTTATTAACTAATCACTAAGGATGCACGCAACCAATTGCAAAGCACACTTATCATGTCAGTAAAATCAAAACAGCATGAAATGGATCATTTCTTAGACTGCATTTCTTTACTCCTACAACTTTGTCAAAGTAAAGATTTGCTTCTTGACTGAAACTTTCATATCTATATTGAGCAAATTAAACAAAGACTTCCATGCATCCCAATGGTTTAAGTTAACCTACATACAAATAGTGTGAACTGTAAATGGAAGATACTCTTCATGAGATTAATTACATACTCTATTTTCAAATTATTCTTGTCAAGAGACATAACCACCAGTTGATAAGTGAAGAATGAAAAAGAGAAAGGGCATCACAGAATTAGACCTGTAACAATGCTTCCAGCTTGTTCTCGGAACCTGAAAGCTTAATGAAATCGTGTCGAGCAGATGCAATCTTTTTATGCAGTGAGGATGTGTGCAAATGCAATATTCCTTGAAACTCCTCATCGATCAGGGTTTGCACTGCCTGCAAAATCTCACGAGGTCAAGTCTTCATCGAAGACAATTTCAGCATAAGAAATTGGCTAGCTTACAATTGTCAAAGTTAAATAACATTTTTCTAAAGCAACTTCTGGGTTGATTTAGGTATGTAGAGTGGATGACATCTTCTTTAAAGGTTCCATGTATCAATCAGGAAATTGATCACCCCTCCCAGTATGGATGTTCAGCTAAGATTAATTGTGCAACCAGCATTGTTAGGAAATTATTTAATGAATTGGATATCTCATTAGAATCCATGTCTTTCACAGTTTGCTCCTTCAATTCTAATGGTGTAACTTATATAATCAAGTTGGGGAACTCTAGGGAAATTTAGACATATAATCTGCTCTCTGCATTTGGTATTCATAAAGGATATTGCTATTATTTTTTCAACAAGTCATTGAATACCAAGAATCGTACTGAAGGCATTTTCTTAACACATCTCTGAGTCTAATGGAAAATTTTTGGAAATATACAAAAATTATTGAAAATCATAGAGACAGGCTTTTGGGTATTTCTAAAAATAGCTCATGGATATCCGTCCCTACCCAAACAAGCCCAACGAAATGCTTCCATATTCATGTACAGACTTTTGCCCTTCCTATGACAATTCCCCTGTTATCAAATTAAGAAAATTATCCCTGCGTGAGCAATTCCAAAAGAGAACACGTACATATTCATGTAAAAGAAATTAACCCTCCTATGTCAATTTTCTTGATATTGTGTTTGGAAAACCTAAGTATATCATACGCAAATTAGAAGACAAATTCTAGATTAAATTACAATATGAGTGAACACGAGGCATGATGTGCTACATCAACTTTAATACTATTGCAAATGTAAAAATCAAAGTAATATAAAACAAAATCAATTCTGGAAACATGAACAATCATTACTCTTATTATGGCCACGGCGGCCTGGGGGGCATGGGGTTTGGGGAGAGAGAGAGAGAGAGAGACTCATTACATATTCACGAACAAAGCTTACTAGGCTCATTCATAGCCCCTGATTGGTGACCATGGGAAAGGAACGCTTCACTTTCAATTGGTCTCTATAGGCCCTGATTATAATTTTAGCTTCTTATGTATTAAATAAAATGGAAATGCAAGTCAGCACACCTTTGTCATTGTTGCAGAGACCAAAACAGTTTGGAACCCTTGACCATCAGGTTTTGATGCACGATGTTTTAAGGGGACAAGAAACTTGCGAATGTCTGGACCAAAACCACGATCAAACATGGTGTCTGCCTCATCCAACACCTACTAAGAGATTACCAACATCACAAACTGGAACAACAACTCACTAGAGTGTGGTTTTTATCAAAGAACTAAATAGATAAACATTTTCACATACCACATATTTGATGTCACCGTAAACCAAGTTCCCATCCTCAATATGTTGAAGAACCCTACCAGGGGTCCCGACTACCATTTCAATTGGGTTATTCAATGAATCCTCCTGGGGTCTCAACCGACCTCCACCGCTTACCATAGTAGACCTGAATCTTGCATGATGACTGACAAACTTGGAAACACGAAAGACCTAAAAAACCCACCTAATGTCAATAGAAAATGCAGAGTCCATAGGGGGTGGTTCCAATTCTAAATGAACTATATAAGAACCTGCTCAGATAGCTCCCTTGTGGGGCATAGCACTACAGCTCGAGGACGCCTGGGCTTCATTTGAATCCCATTTTCTGCCTCGTCCCTTCTCAACAGCTACAAAATCAACAGAGTAAAGCATTCCTCTGATTAATTCTAGGTGTAACATACGCATCAATATTCTGCTTTCTTTCAAAATAAGAGTGGACAACATCAATATAATGCATCATACTCTCACATGATTTCCTTTTTTTCTTAAAAAGTAACATTTTTTTATTTTGTTTTGATAGAATAACATAATCTATTAGAATGTATTTGGGGTGCTTCTAAAAATTGGTGAAACTGTGAGAAAAATCTAAGTAACCAAAATAATCCCAATAAACTGGACATGAAAAAATGGATTTTGGAAAAAAAGGTGGATGCCAAGAAAGCACATGTGGCTCAGTACATCACATTTTAAAACCTACACAAATGTGGCATACAAGGTGGTAGAAAACACAATCAAATCAATGTTTCAACATAACTTATCCAAATTCTCGAGCTTTACATCTGAAGAAAACACCAAATTCAAAAGTTTAACTGACCCACATAGTAAAAAGTAATCCAAAACAGTTTATTTAAAAGAAAAATCAAAGAAAAAGTACCTGGGCAAGAGGCAACATGTAAGCCAGAGTCTTGCCAGACCCGGTATGAGAACCCAAGACCACAGTTTTCCCTTCCAGCACAGCTGGGATTCCAATACACTGAATTTCAGTAGGAACCTCAATACCCATCTCTCTCACAGCCGCCAAGAGCTCCTCAGTCAGACCCAATCCCCCAAAATTCTCAACCTCCCTCTTCTTCTTATTCTCTGGCTTACCCAACCCATCCTCACTCTGTCTCTGGGCAGGCCCATTTGGATTTGCGCTTGTTTTGGTTTGTGGTTTAGCAGAGCTTTTGAGGTGCCTGAGTCTCAGCTTCTCAAGAAGCAATGAGTGCTTCAAGGGTTGGGTTTCTTGTTCTTCAGCTTCAATGGCACTTTCGGGGATAGAAATGGTGGTGGTTGTGGCGGTGCAAAGAGGCCTAAACCCTGTTAAAACCCTGGTGGTTTTTGGCAGTTTTATGAGAGAGAAGCGTTTGGCTGCTGGGAGGCGTGATAGAGAGAGGAGGTTTGAGGAGAGAGAGAAAGTGAGAAGGGTCCTTGCTACTCCTCCCATGGCTTTTTCCTTGCAATGTAATTTTTCAGTTTTCTAAGAAATGACGGATGTTGTATTTTCTTATCTCCGCGGTTTATGTCTGAGTTTGTGATAAAACCCTTTCATAGCCCCCGATGATTGATAACCCCCGCAAACGAGTCGAGCCACTCGAGCCCCTCCGCTAAGTTTTGGATAAAAATTAGTTTTGGTCCCTGTAATTTATCGGAATTTTCACTTTTGTCCATGTGGTTTTAATTCTAACAATTGGATCATTTGTAATTTGATATCCGCAATTCAAGAAACCATCCAATTTTTGTTCAATTTCGTGACAGGAGTAAGCACGTGTCGCTAACATGGAGGGGCATTTTGGACAGAATTTGCCCAAATTTGTAACGCCTTCTTCAATTGTGAGCTTGAATTGTGAGGATTTAAAACTATATCAACTAAATTGACATAATGGTACTTACGGAAACTAAGTATGACTTTTGGCCTTCGATCGTTACTATGAAAAAGACTAATTTGCCCTAACATAAAATGACCATTGAACAAATTAAAATTTATATCTCTCCCCTCCATTGTTGAACAAAGGAAACCCTAACCACTAAGGCATAAAAAATCACAAAAGTTGATAGAAAAAAGCTTATTTTTTAAGAATGGAAACAGTAAATCGTCTCTTTAGTGCCCCAAATGAGGTATGGTTTGATAACTTTTCATTTTCCATCAATTTTAACAAATTTAATATTGATCAGTTCGTGAGTTCGTTCGATACATCACACCCCCACCCCTCGGGTCAATGAACAATGTGTACCTGTTTAGTAGTCAGCAATTGAAAACCTTAAAAATATTCACTAGCTTCCGCCAAATACTGGAGTTTCTTGTTTCGCCTCGGCAATGGTACTTGGTGATATCACTCACGGTTGTACCCTCTAAATTTGTTGCATCCTCTCAAGTGCCTGGTAGACATGAGCAAGACACTCAGCGTTAAAGAGATGGAGCTATGTCACCGTGGTCGGTCAATCATGATCTCCGTTCACCATCATGGGGGATTTCACAAGTTGGGGAAGCTTTCACAATTTGAGGCTTTCTTTTAGATTGGAGATGGCAATAAAACTCTCGTATTTGATCATCAAAATAGTACAGTGGGTGGGCAATTACCAAAGGGAGTTTTTGACAAGTTTGGGTGGGTGCTTTCAGTTAATTCATGAAATTTAAAGTTCGTGGGTGGTGTTTTCAACAAGGAATGTGCCTTCAATAGATTGGAGGTGCTTTGATCATGATTTTATTTAGGTGAACTTTTTGTTTATATTCTTTTTCAATAACACTTAAAAGTATGTACATAATATGCTAGTAATGTGGTGTGCAATTGAAAAATATGTGAAATGCGGGCATTAATACATAAAATTACATAAAACTCACAATGTATGGTTCCAACTGTTCCAGAAAACATCCTGCACCCTAAACAGAAAAGGAGGAAAAACGGTCTCCATGGTGCAGCAAGTTACTGAAACATGAAAGGTTAGGAAGAAACAACAGGTATCAAATTATGGGTGGAAAAGAATGGAGTCTAAATGGTGAATTATATTCAGTAAACATGCTACAGTAATTTCAAACATCATCTAAAGTTACATGCTGGAACGTAAGTCCACCCATCTCCATTTTATCATCTCCTATTGCTAACAGTACAATGTTTTCTTCACGGTGGCTAGCAAATCATATCATTTATAATGCTCAGGCTTCAAAACACCAACATAAGGCAAGTTCCTGTAAAGTTCAGCAAAGTCCATTCCATAGCCCACAACAAAGTAATCTGGACACTGCAAAAACAAATAAACAGACGATTTTGATTGCTTTTAAGTGAGTTTCCACAGCGAAGCAAAACAAAACTTAAGACTTACAAAGACAATGAACAACACACAAGGGCCATGCCTGATGGCCTGCAAATAACATGTACTTTCAAATAAATTCTCTCTGAGAGCATTTCAAGAGTTCTGCAGAGGAACATATAATCACACATCATCACAGTCGCTTATTCATGATTTCATGGCTGAAAAAAGTATCTTAATAAAGAATGACTATACATATACCCAATAAACTAATAATACTGATCCAACAGATGATATAGCTTTGATGCACTAACAACAATCGGATTTTCGTCAAGATAACCAAAGGCTTAAGGCGCCATGCGCACACTCAAAGACGTAAAACAGTTACTGGAATCTCTTTCAAGAATATGTCCATTCCCCTCTTACTTTGGAAATAGACAAATTGTTTTTGCACATAGGAAAATCTCAAAACATGTTTTGAGATGTTATCACACTATCAATCTGGGCTGCACCATTATCCGGGCAGATTCTTGTTTGTAATATATAATGCCATATTAACAATCTGGCAACAGAACACATCAAATATCCTGCAAGCAGACATTACCTTGATACATATACATAAAGAGATTTTCTATTTAAACCCCACACTTCTCTTTGTTCACCCTAACTTCTAATTTAAATTTTCACAATTTCTAAAAAAACCCCTATCTTCCACTCCCATCTCCCTTAAATATACCCCAGTTAACCCAATAAAAAAAAAAAAAAAAAAAAAAAAAAAAAAAAAATTTTCTATTTAAACCCCACTATCTTCCTACTACAAACTATAGAAAAAAGTATATGTCTAAACTGAATAGTGGGGGAAAAGATGAAGAAGGCCCCTATTTTTTGAGAAGAAGATGAAGGTCCCTATGCTTGCCGCAAGACAAACCGACTCGATAACTATTACAGTATATCATTTACTGTCAATGGAAAGAGATCCTAGACCAAATAAAGATTTCTAAATTAGAAATTAAATGAGGAGATATTTATTTGCATTGTAGACAAGAAGGTGCAACTTACCTCGGCAAGAAAAAATTTCACTTACACAAAGGTACAATAATCATCTACTATTTACTTTTGCGCATATAAGAAGTCAAGTAAATATAAAATTTTAAATAAAAAATCAGAACAACCAAGAAATCAACAAAGGGAAGAGAATAAGATCATTACAGCCAAGCAATCAACAAGCCTTTCCATCAGCTCCCACGCAGATTTTAAAGAGGTAGGCTCCTCAACGTTGTACGTCTTTAAAGAGGAGTAATTTGGCAATAGGATGTAGAGGAGTTTGTATCTTTTTTTAACTTAATATGAAGAGTGGTGAGGTGTGTGGGGTGTAGATGTACTAGGGCTAAGTATTAAGTTGGATGACCTTCTTTGTCTTTTTAAATAATAGTAAAACTTACAGCTTAATGATTTAAGTATTTGGTGAACCTAAAACACCATTATGTGAGATGAAAATAAAAAATTGTCTGCCAAACAATTCAAAGTGGAATTTTGTTTAATATAAGAATCTACACAATAATCTGAAACATTTCCACCAAGCAGTCAAACTAATCATTTATCAAAAGACGGAATCGATCAACGGTTGAGTTGAGGTTCCTCTAAAATATTTTCCACATTCATATCAATTATTTGCAATAATTCACAAAACAGCAAAGGTAAAACAAGAGCAGGCACAAACATACACACAAAATTTAATAAAAAAATAGGGAGAAAACAAAAGAAAGATACATGCCTCGAAACCTCGGTAGAATTTTCCCTTGCTAAGGAGCTGAAAATGAACCTTTCGTCTAGATGGTTTATCAAGGAAAGCGCAGACTGACACAGAGGAAGCACCTTTCGCTTCCAAGTGTGCAATCAAGCAGGCAATTGTGCTTCCCGAATCCACGATGTCCTCAACCTAAAAGAAACGAAACGGCGTCATTTTCAAGCTTTAAAGAACATGCAAGCGATTATACAATTAGATTGCAGAGTACGGTAACATCGTACCAGGACCACGTGGCGGCCGGATACGTCGAGCTTCAAGTCGGAGGAAATCCTGGGGGACCCATTGGAGACGGTCCCGGAGCCGTAGGATTCGGCGCGGATAAAATCGACGGTGACGGGGAGGCGGAGGCTCCTGGCCAAGTCGGCGAGGAAGAGAAAAGCACCGGTGGCGACGCCGACGAGGACGAGGGGCTCGGAGAGAGGGGAGTGGTCGGCGGAGATCTGGGCGGCGAGCTCGGAGACTCGGGCGGCGATTTGGTCCGGGGTCCACAGAACACTCTAGTGTGAGGAGTGAGGAAGTCATTTTTATTTTTTTTTTTTTTTAGATTTTTTTTTTTTTTTTTTTTTTTTTTTTTTTTTTCTACCTTACCCCTTCAGACTTTTTCAGATTTTGGGGGTTTAATGGGGGGTTTTAGGAGATAAACGACGTCGTATATTTGGATATGGTAGCCTGCTTATGTGAGTACTACTATCAAATAATATGATTATTTTCTACATAGGTTTTAATATATAAAACAAAAGGCAAAGAATGGTAAAACATTTAAAATACCAAAAAATATCCTTAGTTAATCCAAACATCAAGAATTGAAATTATTAATTAAATTAAGATAATATGGTAAATTCACACTTTTTCATATTAGAAAAATTAAAATTAAAGAAAAATCAAATAATTGATCATATTTTTATGGAACACAACTACCCATTATCCTTTTAAATTCTAAAATAAATTTAAAATTTTTCAAAAAAAAGCTTCTAACAGGCACAGAAGTACGTGCTGTGAGGCTAGTAGGTTTTAATATTCACTTGCACTCAATAGAAAATTAGTGGGTTGCGGTTGATCAGTCACATTCGGGTCAAAAAAACTTGTGGTCACCCACCATTGGATTTAATCCAATGACTGAGAAAAAACTTTAAAATATCTTTTTTCTTTTACGTTTTAAATTGGGTAAATTGCCTTAAACCCTCCTGAACTAGGACCCCAATCGAACTTAACCCCCCCAAAATAAAAAGTCAGCCAATTCAACACTCAAACTAATTAAAATGGCCAAGGCCCTCAAAGATTCCTAGAGTGAACCAGAGAGGGTAAAATCGTCATACCAAGTGCCAATGTGAAATATGTTGATGGACTTTGTACAGAGACAAAAAATTAAAAATAATGCAAATCCTCCCCACAAACACAATCAGGTTTTCTTGGAACCAATCACTTATATATATATATATACCTGATGCTCAGGGACTAAACTGTCATAGGGAACATCTATCCGGCTCTGTAGTCTCAGTAGGCATTCCTCCTGACAAAATCAAGGCAGACAAAAGAGCAAACAATTGAGATAGTGAAGGCAACTTTTTCCATCTACTCTCAGTTTTTTAAAATTTATTTACAACTAAGTTTCCTAGTTGTTGCTCTATTGAGATAATTTTGTTTTCTACTAACATGATAAGAATAATTATTTCTAATTCTCTTTCTTTTGTTTTTTGTTTTAAAAATTTATTGGTTTTCAGAAGATGATCAGATTAACAAGGACGTGGCCCTTACTCAAACAAACTGCGAGCATACGAAAAGATTACGATTTGCTTGGAAAGGAAATAGAAGTCATGTCTAAATGGAGGAAGGCCGATGATAAAGAATTAACAGCGAAACAAGACCAGTTTCAGGCGGTGGAGGAGGCCTTCAACGAGTCCTTCGCTAAGCTTAGAGCTGAGCATAAAATTGTTGTGGGGAATGAGGATGATGCGGTTGACTTATGCGATTTGGTGAGATTAAAATATTGGAAGGTCAAACTGTTGGTGCATGACTCCACACTTGGCCCAGTTAAATTTCTTATATGGGTTGAGGCTCAAAAAGTTGGACTTACGATGAAACAGGTCAAAGATAATGTAATGCTGGAGCATTGATAGAATTGGGGGCACACGGGGACTATATATAGATTAGATTAGATATTTTGTAAGTCCAACTTTTTGAGCCTCAACCCATATAAGAGATTTAACTGGGCCAGGGGGTGGAGTCATGCACCAACAGTTTGACCTTCCAATATTTTAATCTCACCAAATTGCATAAGTCAGCCGCATCATCCTCATTCCCCACAACAATTTTATGCTCAGCTCTAAGCTTAGCGAAGGACTCGTTGAAGGCCTCCTCCACCGCCTGAAACTGGTCTTGTTTCGCAATTAATTCTTTATCATCGGCCTTCCTCCATTTAGACATGACTTGTATTTCCTTTCCAAGCAAATCGTGTAATCTTTTCGTATGCTCGCAGTTTGTTTGAGTAAGGGCCACGTCCTTGTTAATCTGATCATCTTCTGAAAACCAATAAATTTTTAAAACAAAAAACAAAAGAAAGAGAATTAGAAATAATTATTCTTATTATGTTAGTAGAAAACAAAATTATCTCAATATAGCAACAACTAGGAAATTTAGGTTGTAAATAAATTTTAAAAAACTGAGAGTAGATGGAAGAAGTTGCCTTCACTTCACACCAAGAATTTCCAATCTCAGAATAATAAACTTTACTCAATAATTCGATTCTCCAAATATGCATTATGAATTACATGGGATGGGTATTTATAGCAAACTAAAACCTAGAGACAATATGATTAAAATTACTTGCTAAAACAAAAATTCCAACCCAAAAAAATTAGGAAACAAGAATGGTGTGTCAGCTACGACATGTTTTGGATATGAAGAGTTTGTTGCAAAATTTTAGACGTGTTTGGTGTGACATGTTTTGGATATGAAGAGTTTGTTGCAAAAATTTAGATGTGTTTGGTGTGGTTCCATATAATTTAGATGATATTGGTCATTTGAAGGACAATATTTTGGTAAATTTTCCTGTTTGTGTCTTTTATTTTTTGACCTCAAAAAGCAAAAATTTAACTTTTATTAATTTTTTTTAGAGAAAGATAATTGTGTGTTTAAATCTCTCACAGTTTTACTGAACTGGAAATTGCTTGCTTTAAAGTTATCCGTGACATAATTATGTCGCGCCCTATTTGAGACTACTAACGTATTTGATACGTGTTATAACTCCGTTTCTTAATCTATAAGTCATCTTCGTCTACGAAACAAAAAAACAGAGAGAGAATTAATCAATCTCTGTGTGTGTTGATTTCGATTGCTATTTCAATCTGAGGAATTAGGGATGAAGAAACAAGTGCCGCTGCAAGTGTGTTTCACTTTCACAAGGATTCTGAAAGTAATGGCTCCTCCTACTCCTACAATTCCAACTTCAAAAACTCTTGTTGTCGGTCCTCCAACACTGCTCACAAGAAGATTAATGGCTTCCAACTCCAACGGTGACATGGCCAAGAAGATATCCATCTCCCCTATTTGCTCCTCCTTCTCTTCCTACGGTGATCCCTGCCATGATCTGTTTTTCCAGGTGACACGACCAGAAACATGGAGCGATGAAGAGACGACCCAGCAGCAGCAGCAGCAGCAGAACCAGGCGTCCCTTAACTACCTGAAGACACTGCTGCCGGTGGCCTGGTCCCACAATCCCCTAACCACCCTCAAGCTTATCTTCAATCTCCATGCTATTCCTAGCAGCGGAAAATGTTATCCAGAAGGCTTCTACACGGCTGTGTTTTGGCTCCACCAGAAGCACCCCAAGACGCTATTATGCAACCTCCCCTCCATTGCTGATTCGTTCGGGGGTTTGTATGTCCTTATCGAGATTCTCTACCGCCTTCTAGAACAAGACCAAGACGCTGCAGAGAGGCTCCACTGTGACCCGGACTATCAGTTGTTGCACGACTGGGCAATGGATGTCTTCGTGGAGAGGTTGAAGTCTGATATTGACAAAATGAAGCAGCACAAGCTGGATTTGAAGCCATCAGATTATATAACTGACGGTGATGATGACGACGACGATGAAGATGATAAAGATGGTACTCTTGATGCCACCGCTTATGCTGATCTTTTTGTTAGCGAGGCTGCAGGGTGTTGCGTTACCAAACAACCCCAGGACTCCCACGCTGCCCGCACCATTTTTCTGTGTGAAAGCATTGCGAGGAGGCTTTGCCCACCCAAATCAGACCAACCAAATCAATCTTATCAATCAGAAGAGTGGGAGCGGATTAGGAATGAGGTTTTGGCGCCCTTGAACAGGTACTGGAAGCGTCAAGGCATGTTTTTTGGACGACAGCGCTCTGAAGTTAAGATGTATTTGGAGGAGGTGAAAAAAGCAGGAGGAAGAGGAGGCAATTTGAGTGGCCATGGCAGCATAATAAAGCCAGATGCTATGCTCCCAAATGAGATCATACGCTATGTAGTAGAAGATGGGGATGTCAGGGAAGGGGCTGAGCTTCAGTGGAAGGCAATGGTGGAGGATATGTACCTAAAGCAGCAGCAGCAGCAAAAGCAGGGGGAGGGTTTGGGAAAATTTAAAAACTGCTTGGCAGTGTGTCACATCAGCGATTACAATGGCCTAACGCGCTTGGCGGTGAGTTTGGGACTATTGGTGTCTGAACTCAGTGAAGAGCCGGCATGGAAAGGAAAGGTGATCAGTTCCGGTCAATTGCCGGATCAGCTGATGCTGCATTCAATACAAGGGGATGATCTCAAGTCCAAGTGCGAGTTTATGATGAAGAAATGCAGCAGGAACTTGGTATCCTTTTTTGATAAAAGGAAGGTATTGGATTTTATTCTGGAAGTGGCTGTGAAAGAGAACTTGAAGGCAGAGCAGATGGTTAAGAAGGTGTTTGTGTTTGCTGACTACGGTGGATATGTTTGGGGTACATCATGGAAGACTCTGTATGAGGCAAAACGGAGAGAGTTTAAGGAGAAAGGGTACGGGGATGATGCAGTGCCACACATTTTGGTTTGGAATGTTTCGGACCAGAACATGCCTTGTATAGAACAACATCATCCAGGGGTGACGCTGTTGAGGGGCGTCTCTGAGAATTTAGTTAAGTCCTTCTTGGACAACTGTGGAGAAATTGGGCCGCACCATCTGATGGAAGCAGCCATTGCTGACAAAGCGTATCAAACTCTCACTGTGGTCGACTGAGCTTCAACCGTTGATGATCTAATTAATCTGATGATTCATCTTCTCTCCATCATGAATTAGTAGTACCTTTAATTTAGTTCGTTTCACTTATGCACTGATATCTTAGCCGAGCCAGTGCTTAGATAGATATATGTTCTAGATTCCTGAAATCATATTTGAAATCATCATCGATTTGTATCATTTTGTTAAATAAATATTTAAATTTAATTTTTTTTTTTTTTTTTTTTTTTTTTTTTTTTTTTTTTTTTTTTTCTGCTGCTTTCTTGTTTTATTTTGTAGTTGGGTTATACTTTTGCAATTTTGTGTGAAAGAACCAAAGAAATAAAGGAAAGCTAATAGAAAATTAAACATATGCCATTGAAGCAATCCTAGCCGACATGTGCATCCTTCACCATGTAACTTTGTGGCCACTTCCAATGCCTTCTTCCCTATGTTTTTTCTTAATTCAGTCTGGTGTGGAGTCATGCATATGTGCCTCAGTGCCTGGCATTGTGGCACCTTCTACTATATATATATCTTCGCAGAAAATGCTTACGATGTAGTCGATCACGGGTTTAGGGAAAAGAAAACATGGAAGTTAAATTACAAACTACATGTAGAAAATATCGTGGGATTTGTAAATGAGTTGAAATTCCATGGTAATAGGCGGAATTGTACAATTTCCAGACGAGATGGAATTTTCATTTTCTACCTGCCAAATCTCCTCAATAAATACTATTTTCATTTTCATTTTCATTTTCATTTTCTATCTGCCTCATTTCTGCTTTTATTTTATTTCTCCTCTCTGCCTTTCAATGTGACAAGAATATTCGCTCTTCCAATCAAGGTAAGAGTGTCAACTATCCATACTCATCTTTCTCTGCTCTTCCCATGGCTATACTTGGTAATTTTGAGTCTATTTCTCCTTTTTCAGTTAATTGATATTTTTTTTCCATATGATAATAATTCTCTGTTGTTCTCCTTGTGCCTTGCCCCTGCTCTGTGCTTGGTTGTTGAGTTTGTTGTGGTTTGGTTCCTTTTTGGTATCTTGCTGGCCTCTTTTTTGAGGTGTGTTGATCGAATTGCAGTTGAATGAAAAAATTTGCTTACTTTTTTGAGGGTTTATAGTTTTGCAATTTTGAGGGAAACAACAAAAGAAATAAAGAAAGAAAGCAAATAGAACATCAAACATATGCTATTCATAATTACACTAATGAATATGTTGTCAAAGCAATTATAAATTATTGACTCTATGGTTATTGCAATAACTAATAATATCTAGTAATGTCTAATATATCTCTCGGAAAACAAAACAAAAAAGGTAATATCTAATCTATATAGAGTCCCCCTTGTGCCCCCAATTCTATCAGTGCTCCAGCATTACAGTATCTTTGACCTGTTTCATCGTAAGTCCAACTTTTTGAGCCTCAACCCATATAAGAGATTTAACTGGGCCAGGGTGGAGTCATGCACCAACAGTTTGACCTTCCAATATTTTAACCTCACCAAATCGCATAAGTCAGCCACATCATCCGCATTCCCCACAACAATTTTATGCTCAATTCTAAGCTTAGCAAAGGACTCGTTGAAGGCCTCCTTCGTCGCCTGAAACTAGTCTTGTTTCTCCTTTAGTTCTTTATCATCGGCCTACCTTGATTCAGACATGACTTCTATTTCCTTTCCAAGCAAATTGTAATCTTTTCGTATGCTCGCAATTTGTTTGAGTAAGGGCCACGTCCTTGTTAATCTAATCATCTTCTGAAAACCAATAAATTTTTAAAACAAAAAAACAAAAGAAAGAAAATTAGAAATAATTATTCTTATTATGTTAGTAGAAAACAAAATTATCTCAATATAGCAACAACTAGGAAACTTACGTTGTAAATAAATTTTAAAAAACTGAGAGTAGATGGAAAAAATTGCCTTCACTTCACACCAAGAAATTTCCAATCTCGGAATAATAAACTTTACTCAATAACTCGATTCTCCAAATATGCATGATGAATTACATGGGATGGGTATTTACGGCAAACTAAAACCTAGAGACAATAGGATCAAAATTACTTGCTAAAACAAAAATTCTAACCCAAATAAATTAGGAAACAAGAAATCCTACTAAAAAACTTGGAAACTTAATCCCTAGTGAAATCTGGAAAATCTAGAAATCTCAGTGAATCTGGAAAAAATAAATAAATAAAAACTAGTTATCCTATTGAAATCTGGAAAAACTAGAATGCATAGGAAAATAACCTTATTTGAGTTCAAACCACTAGACAACTCCACAATAATTGAATACTTCAAGTATCACTCTTACCTTCTCCACGTGGGTAAAATTATTGCAGGACTTTTTCAATTTTATGGTTAGTCAGTAAAAACGCTGCATTTTCCTTTTTAAAAAAAATAAAAAACAAAATGAGTGGGCTAAGTATATTTAGAGTCCTCCAATAAAAGGAAAATTAAGAGGGCCTCATTTTTATTTGAGATATTTAGTCATATACCCATTTTTAGCACTAATAATATAGATAAACCCTACACCATTTAATTTCTATAAACAAACCCGAAAAAAACCCAAAAAACGACAGCTCACCCTGTACAGAAATTCTCAATTAGTGGGCCACACTTACCCATTAATTTCTAATTTTTCTCATGGGTCATCTACTCATGAGAATTCCAATGAGATTAAATTCAAATATCTCAAACACAAATTCTAAATTATTGGGCCACACTTACCCATTAATTTCTAATCTTGGAACTATGCTGGTTTGATCCCATTAAGGGTACGTAGGCAGTCTAACATCTCAATAGACGCAACCGCAATCAAATTCTTATCAATCCAATCTCTACACAAATCAATTCCGAACTACGTTGGTTTGATCCCTTTGAAAGGGTACGTAGGCAATCTAGAGATTTAATCTAGATGCAACCATTCCAAACACAATTCCATGTTGAATCCGTGGTTTATTCAGCTAAATTCACTCAAACACTCCTAAATCAAATTCATGCAAATTTCCTCCTTTTGCGATGAGTCATTCATTCATTGCGAATCATTGAACTACGAGTGACTTGATTCCCACAAGGGATACGTAGGCACCCTAATGTTGGATTTGGGAGCAGCCGCAAAACCAAACACACACACATTCTGTTTCTGTATGATGGAATCAAAGGGTTTTCCCTTGTAGTGAGGGATTGTAATTAAGAGACTTGCGTCTCGAATGAGTCGAACCTAAAATAATAAAACCTCGTTAATTGATTAGTGGTGGTGAAATTATGTTGGGAGGTTCATATTTTCCTTCAACATAAATTTTCCCATTAATTGATTAGTGGTGGTGAAAATTATGTTTGAAGGTTCACATTTTCCTTCAACATGCACAGTATAGGACTCTGATTTAAGGTCCCCATCAGCAGGCATTAAGTTCTTGTTCACTGGGTTAAGAATTTCTACTGCTTTCTAGTTGAAAAGAACAAGTAATGATGCTCAATTTATTAATATATTTTTCTTTTCTCGGGGCTAATAACGATGCTAAAGTTTTGCAAACACAAAAACATAGTCAAATATAGGGAGGCCTCAGAAAGTGTTCCACTGCACTATAAATAGTCCAGCAGCAATCAGCATGCACCTCCTCTCTATTATAACTTACTGTTTTGAAAATTAAAGACCAACTTTGAGCTCCTCTTTCCCTCCAAATTATGGACCTCAACATTTGGTGCAACACCTACACCTGTGTGAAAATTGGGTGTGAGAAGATGGTCTCCCTCAATGCATTGGCAATTACTAGGGATCAATCTAAGGTTAATGTGCCAAATAGGTGGGGAATGTTGTGGAGAAAACTAAAGAAAGAGAAGAAGAGCTTGCTGTTTGATTTTTCAACCCGTGCTCAGCAAATGCATGTTCCTTATGGAGAAAACATATGCATTTGCAGAAAATGGGTGCAGTTTGCAGGCCTGTAGCAATAGACTCTATGGATTGAAGGGCAGGCTCCAAAATGGAAAAACGGCACCATTGTTGCCTTGTAGTGGTTTATTTAGGCCTATGACTTTTCTAAGAAAAAGTCGACAATTGCATCATGAAATTCCCATAAGGACATAAATTAAGGACTTGCCACTCAGAGACAGTGACATGGTGTAAAAAGTGAGCGACATGGAGAATGGAACGATAGGTGCTGATGCGGAAATAACTAACACTTTGTTGTTGTTTGTATGACTAACTCCGTTTGAGATCATATTGTAGCATAAGATTCTATTACCAAGTATGAATTGATTTCATAAATTTTTAATTTTTTTAATATTTATTTGTAGATATCAAACAATCTTATTGAAGAACACAGTTAGAGTTCCAGTAGCTAAGTAGGACCATTTCTTCAAGTTATGAAGACTCTGAAGAGATTCTGGGTGTAAAAGATTTATATGATCCCCGAGAACAGTGGGCATCTTATGTTCACTGATTTCAAATCTGGTGTGATGAATAAATTGGTCTTCTTGTCGGGTGAAATTGTAATCCCATCAGTAGAATTAGACTCTGCAAACCAATAAATTTGAAAGAAAAAAGAAAAAAGAAAAAAGAAAAGAAAGAGAATTAGAAATAATTATTCTTATTATGTTAATCTTTAACTGATAGTGAAGTTAATCTTTAACTGATTTTTGTTTCTCAACTTTGGATAATTTTATTTAGAAACTGTAGAACAATATATGTCCTTTGTGAGAGGAAAAATAGTAGATTTATTTTTATTTTTATTTTTTATGGTAAGTTCTCGATGCAAAACCAGAGAAGGGAATCAGAAATTGTAGCCGAAAGTGGTCGTCTAGGGGCAGCGAACGTTACGACCATTATGGCAGGTAGAGTAACAGACATGATCCCCGGTGGGAATGCTGATTTTATGGCAAGGTTGAAGCTACGGAAGATGCTTATGCGAAGGTAGGGCTGGCAATGGGTCGTGTCGTGTCGAGTTCGTGTCGTGTCGGGATAATAAACGTGTCAAGAATGCTCAACCCGAACCCAACCCATTTAATAAATGTCGTGTCGGGTTCGGGTCGTCTTTTATCGTGCGGGTTTCGAGTCGTGTAACAGGTTCATAAATAATAACATGCATGTTACGAAACTCACAATTGAAAAAAATTTAAATTAAAAAAAACAGAGAGTAGAGAAAATATAAGGAAAAGAAAGAAAAAAAAAGATAAAGAGAGGAGAGAAGAGAGAAGGAAAAGAAAGAAAAAAAAATAGAGAGAGAGAGAGGAGAGAAGATTGAAGGAAAGAAAGAAAGAAAAAAGAGAGATGAGAGAAAACTAAAGAGAAGGAAAAGAAAGAAGAAAAAAAAAAGGAGAGAAGAGGAAAGGAAAAGAGAGAATAAAAAAAGAGTGAGAGGAGAAAGAAGGAAAAGAAAGAAAAAAAAAAAGTGGAGAAGAGAGATGGAAAAGAAAGGAAAACACAAAAGAAAAAGAAACATTATAAATATCAAAAGACATGATAAAATCACAAAGTTGTTTGTAGCATGGTGGATAAGGTGTTTGAGAGAAATGAGGGTGATAGGGGTTTGAAACTCCTTGTGTATGTGCTAAAGTCTCCATTTCTCTTCATTTTTTAGCGGGTTGATAGGTATTATAGCGGGTTGACACGACCCATTTAATAAACGGGTTAGGTAGGTATTATAGCGGGTTAGCGGGTTGACCCAAACCCACCCGTTTATTAAACGGGTCAGAACGGATTGACCAGAAATTGACCTGTTTTTTTATCGTGCGGGTTGAACTCGCTAATTTCTCGTGCGGATTTCGAGTCTTGTTTGAAATTGCTATCCCTATGCGAAGGTGTCATCTGAGCTTCAAGAATATTTTTAATTTTATTTATTTTGTCTGTAAAAGTTTACACCCTTGGACATCCAGTCTAGACTCCTAGCGCTTAAGTGTTGGAAACTTGGACTTAAATGTTCACCAGACATCGAGACCGCCTAGAAGATTGTTAGGAATAAGTCATAGAAAACAACTACGACTTTAGCTCTTAAAAATTCAATAAACATAAAATATTATTTCGATATTGAACGTTTTACTTCCATTCTACTTTAGCGTATTCAGATATTTTATTTCGTAAGAAACACAATTTCATTAAGTGAAAATGAAATAGTACATAACAGAGGGCAAACATAGTCTGCTGATCAACGCCTGGGAAACATATTTTAGAGTTGCTATATTGAGATAGTGAAGGCAACTTTTTCCATCTACTCTCAGTTTTTTAAAATTTATTTACAACCTTAGTTTCCTAGTTGTTGCTATATTGAGATAATTTTGTTTTCTACTAACATAATAAGAATAATATTTTTAATTCTCTTCTTTTGTTTTAAAAATTTATTCGTTTTCAGAAGATGATCAGATTAACAAGGACGTGGCCCTTACTCAAACAAACTGCGAGCATACGAAATGATTACACGATTTGCTTGGAAAGGAAATACAAGTCATGTCTAAATGGAGGAAGGCCGATGATAAAGAATTAACTGCGAAACAAGACCAGTTTCAGGCGGTGGAGGAGGCCTTCAACGAGTCCTTCGCTAAGCTTAGATCTGAGCATAAAATTGTTGTGGGGAATGAGGATGACGCGGTTGACTTATGCAATTTGGTGAGATTAAAATATTGGAAGGTCAAACTGTTGGTGCATGACTCCACCCCTGGCCCAGTTAAATCTCTTATATGGGTTGAGTATAGTCCACCTTTTTGAGCCTCAACCCATATAAGAGATTTAACTGGGCCAGGGGTGGAGTCATGCACCAACAGTTTGACCTTCCAATATTTTAATCTCACCAAATCGCATAAGTCAGCCGCATCATCCTCATTCCCCACAACAATTTTATGCTCAGCTCTAAGCTTAGCAAAGGACTCGTTGAAGGCCTCCTCCACCGCCTGAAACTGGTCTTGTTTCGCAGTTAATTCTTTATCATCGGCCTTCCTCTATTTAGACATGACTTCTATTTCCTTTCCAAGCAAATCGTGTAATCATTTCGTATGCTCGCAGTTTGTTTGAGTAAGGGCCACGCCCCTGTTAATCTGATCATCTTCTGAAAACCAATAAATTTTTAAAACAAAAAACAAAAGAAAGAGAATTAGAAATAATTATTCTTATTATGTTAGTAGAAAACAAAATTATCTCAATATAGCAACTAGTAGGAAGTTTAGGTTGTAAATAAATTTTAAAAAACTGAGAGTAGATGGAAGAAGTTGCCTTCACTTCACACCAAGAATTTTCCAATCTCGGAATAATAAACTTTACTCAATAATTCGATTCTCCAAATATGCATTATGAACTACATGGGATGGGTATTTATAGTAAACTAAAACCTAGATACAATATGATTAAAATTACTTGCTAAAACAAAAATTCCAACCCAAACAAATTAGGAAACAAGAATGGTGTGTCAGCTACGACATGTTTTGGATATGAAGAGTTTGTTGCAAAATTTTAGACGTGTTTGGTGTGATATGTTTTGGATATGAAGAGTTTGTTGCAAAAATTTAGATGTGTTTGGTGTTGTTCCATATAATTTAGATGATATTGGTCATTTGAAGGACAATATTTTGGTAAATTTTCCTGTTTGTGTCTTTTATTTTTTGACCTCAAAAAGCAAAAATTTAACTTTTATTAATTTTTTTTAGAGAAAGATAATTGTGTGACAGGACCCGCCCCAAAATTTCTCGAAACCCGAGACGAATCCTGTGGAATTGCCGACATCACACCGATGTCGGCCCCACTCACTAAAACTGTAGCCTCCTTTGCCCAAAAAGGAATAAGGGCACAAGACTTTCTGCCAAAATTTCGACAGAGTCTCCCCTGTAAATTGAACATTTTCCAGAATCTCAACTTGCATAAAATACATTTTATATCACCAACCAACAACATGCACAGGATAATTTCATGCAATTCATAATAAACGGCCTCCGGCCTTCAAACAATTCGAAACCAAACCAAACTACCAACAAAGCCCTTAAATCAAACAATGCTTTAATCAGGGCAATTAATAAACTCAATTAATATTTATGAATACCAAATGCAGGTTACCTTATCTAACTTTCCCCAATCCAGCATGCGAGGTTTTAACACGCATCAATTATCATCTATAAATTATCACCAATTATTCCAGGGCCTTAGCCCATTATACCACATACTTGATTCAATAGTATACACCTACACAACCCTCCCTTAGCCAAACGGGAGTACAAACAATATTCAATCGCACCTCGGTTTTAACCGAGTTTCAGGACCAGCGACAAAGTCCTTAGCTCGCGGCTGCACCTAGGCACTCTCCTAGGCTGCCTACGTACCCTCACTGAGGGATCAAGCCACACGTAGTTCTTTCTTTTATCATTTTTTTTTCCGCGCAACCATACCCTATCCAAGGCGTATGTTACCAACATCACTCCCCAAACCGGGACTCAGACATTCATACCAATGCAAGATAATCACAAAGCACAACCTCACGGATCTCAATTCGGAAACAAAACCACATATACCTATGTAATATGTGTGTCCATATCTATATATATAAATAACCACACCCACCTCTCACCATCATCATGTACCATAGGAAAACAATCCAACCGGGGATCGTTTGACTAGACCATATGGAGGAATCCTCAACAACCACGTGGCTAGGGAACGAGCCGTCCAACTGGGGGACTAACTCTCAGCCAGCACGTACATCCGAGATACTCAAAGCTTGTACGCCTGAAAAACCAGTTCTACGCGCGCAGACTACCACCCCTCAAGGTCCACAAACCCCTTACAAGGGCGTCCGAGTTCCAACATATCCAAACCATATCATAATTTTCTGGCATCCCACAATTCCAGGATCCGTAACCAAGAAAGCCCACACGCCCGAAACACGGCACGTGTGTGAATAGTAACCAAGGAAAGTACGTATGATGGTGGAGTTTGTAACCCTTATAACCATATTTCCAAATGATATTTCCTTCCGTAATTCAATTGTTCCAAACCTTAATACATAGTATAGACAACAAACTCTCAAGCATAAAAACTCATAACCGGTGACGTACCCAAAGTAGTGCTTATAGCACTTTAAAATTGACGCTCTAAACTCATTTCTTTCCATAACCTCACAACAATAACCCCAGTACCCCACACAAAAATCAACATAGCTAGCATTTCCTCAAAATTTATATATATGACTCAAGAAACTCGAAATATGAACAATATTAGGATTACTCACAAAATAACAATCTACTTAAAAATATAAATATAAATCTCACAACAAACCATTAAAACAATATGCATAAACTTTCCATCGCAAGACCATAAAAAATAATCTCATAGACCCACAAACTCAACATCAATCAAATGACGGTCAAGACCCGTCCAAAAAGGGTCATCCTAGTACTTTTCGAATAGTAAACTACCTCGGAAGACTTACGGTCAACTGAGGGTCAAACCTTCCAAAATTGATCAACCGGGCCTGCAGGCCCCACGACCTTCGTTTTACGATCCGAACGTCCCTATGGGTTCCACAAGGTTTAATAAACCTATCCTTCAAGTTTGGTCCGAATCGGACGGTCGGATCACTCACGATCGCACGATCAGATGGTTACTAAAACCCTAACCCTAGAGTTGGCATTTCCAAAGTATCCGGGGCTCCGTTTTACAATCCGTCGAATCCTATACGATCCTGGAGATACCTAGATCAACATATTATAACCTCAGGACCATCCAACGGTCCAAACCTAGCGAACCCAGAAAATGCGCAATATGCGATATCCGTTCGGGACTCTAACGGTATCCAAATTGAGATCCGCGAAATCCTACGCGCTCATGACATCAAGGGAATCGCATTGGGACAAAAATGCCCTAGAGCTACAGTGCCCACGCTCCGGCAGCGCGTGGGTGTCCAAAGCGATACCCTTCGCCGGAAAATCTCCAAATCTCGGCTCAAGACTCCTATCCTAGGTAAAACACTCTATTTGGAACCATTTTTGTTCTTGGGCATACCCCAAAAACTGACCCGAAGTGGCCAGAATCTCATCCCGAAATCCAATTCGAAAATCGAGCTACCTACACTCAAAATTGATGCAATCCTAACCAACCATCAGCTAGATCATGAAAAATAGGTAGAAATCCATACCTTATACGTCCAATTTGGTGGAGAAATGAGAGAGAACGAGCGATTTGAAAATTCGGGAAAAACCGCCGGATTTTCTGAAATTTCCGGCGAAACTCGCGGCTGCTGGCGGCGGGGCTTGGCTGGGGCTGGAATCTGAAGACCAGCCGGTCATTTTGGGACCAGCGCCACCTCAAATGGTGGCCGGAGGAAGAGGTGGCGGCGGAAAAACCGCCGCTGCTGTTTTGACAGGGAGGAGAGAGAGGCTGCGCGGGGAGAGAGAGAGAGAGAGAGAGAGACGCCCCCGCAGGGAGAGAGAGAGAGTTTTCAGATTTTTATTAAAAACCCATTTCGAAATATTTACGATTATGCCACTGAAGGTATTTTGATCGTATCTCTCTCGTTATAACTCCGATTCGAGCCCACTACGTGTCTACGGACTCATCTCGCCGTGCTCTATGCAATGGTATAATCAAAATTCACAATTCCCTTCTTGGTCAAAAAGTCAACTTTAAACCTAATAAAATATTCTGGGGCAAAATGGTCCTTTTTATTTTGAATAAATTAATATTCACCAATTTATTTACGACCGGGTCGTTACATTGTGTGTTTAAATCTCTCACAGTTTTACTGAACTGGAAATTGCTTGCTTTAAAGGTATCCGTGACATAATTATGTCGCGCCCTATTTGAGACTACTTAGAGCATCTCCAAGGGAGATGTCAAATATCAAACATCAAATTTAAATTTGATGTCAAATTAAATTATTATTTTATTACATTTTAGTGTTGATTCATTTTTAATTAAAAAAAAGAAAAGAAAAAAAAATAAAATATTCATTTGTGATGTTAAAAATAACATCTCAACCTCCAGCCTTCATTCCACATCAGCTTTGACATATCGGTTGGAGTGATATGAGATGTTATTTCTAACTGTTAAATGTCTATGTGGCACGTTTGACACATCGGTTGGAGATACTCTAAGGTAAAGGAATGCAAGGTCTGTATTTGATACGTGTTAGAACTCCGTTTCTTAATCTATAAGTCATCTTCGTCTACGAAACAAAAAAACGGAGAGAGAATTAATCAATCTGTGTGTGTTGATTTTCGATTGCTATTTCAATATGAGGAATTAGGGATGAAGAAACAAGTGCCGCTGTAAGTGTGTTTCACTTTCACAAGGATTCTGAAAGTAATGGCTCCTCCTACTCCTATAATTCCAACTTCAAAAGCTCTTGTTGTCGGTCCTCCAACACTGCTCACAAGAAGATTAATGGCTTCCAACTCCAACGGTGACATGGCCAAGAAGATATCCATCTCCCCTATTTGCTCCTCCTTCTCTTCCTACGATGATCCCTGCCATGATCTGTTTTTCCAGGTGACACGACCAGAAACACGCAGCGATGAAGAGACGACCCAGCAGCAGCAGCAGCAGAACCAGGCGTCCCTTAACTACCTGAAGACACTGCTGCCGGTGGCCTGGTCCCACAATCCCCTAACCACCCTCAAGCTCATCTTCAATCTCCATGCTATTCCTAGCAGCGGAAAATGTTATCCGGAAGGCTTCTACACGGCTGTGTTTTGGCTCCACCAGAAGCACCCCAAGACGCTATTATGCAACCTCCCCTCCATTGCTGATTCGTTCGGGGGTTTGTATGTGTTAGGCCGTTATCCTAATTATGATTGCATATAATTGCTTGCAGCTGTTATGCTATTATTAGATTGTAGTAACTGATAGGTTTACATTTATGTTCCTGTGTATAAAGATATTGTAATATCAGTTTTGATAATATAGAAAACTCTGTTTCTACATGGTATCCCAGAGCTTATTTATTTTTTTTTTTTTTTTTTTCTTTTTCTTTCTTTCGATGGCTTCAAGCAGTGTTCCCACTATCTCCATTCCCAATATCTCTCACCTTGTCTCTGTCAAACTATCTGATACCAACTATCTTGTATGGGAAAGCCAGGTCAAACCTTTCTTACTCGGCCAGAATCTTTGGCGCTTTGTTGATGGCTCTCATCCTTGCCCCTCCCCTACGCTTCCTCCTTCTGATAAGTCTGAATGCTCCACTCCGTCGTTGGCCAATCCTGACTATGTCTCTTGGTTTCAAACTGACCAAAGCCTGATTAGTATTCTTCGTGCTACGCTGTCTGAGAGTGTTCTTCCCCAAGTTATTGGGTTCTCCACCTCGAAGGTGCATTATCTAAATCAATAAAACTTTCCTTTTCGTCTCATGACCATTGCGCTACTAAGCCATTTGCTTTAATCCATTAAGATGTGTGGATGTCTCCTGTTGTTTCTGTTTCTGGATATCGATATTATGTCTTGTTTACAGATGATTACACTCGTTATTCATGGATTTTCCCTATGCGTCTTAAATCTAAAGTTTTTGGTCTTTTTTCTACTTTTGCTATGTATGTTAAAACTCAATTCTCCTTGTCTATCAAACAATTTCAGAGTGATGGGGGGAAGGAATATGATAACCTGCAATTTAAACAGTTTTGTGCTACTAATGGCATTGTGCATCGCTTTTCTTGTCCTCATACACCCCAACAAAATGGGTTAGCGGAGCGAAAACATCATCATATTGCTGATATGGGTCGCACTTTTTTACACACTGCTCATATGCCTCACAATCTTTGGGTCGAAGCATTTTGTACTGCAGTTTCTTTGATTAATCGACTTCCAACCCCTATCCTTAAAGGGACTTCTCCCTATAAGTTATTATTTGGCATTTCCCCGGATTACGCGTTCCTTCGTGTTTTTGGATGTATTTGTTACCCATATCTTGGAGATTATGTAACTAACAAATTACAACCTCGTTCTCTTCAGTGTGTTTTTGTTGGCTACAGTGATCGCCATCATGGTTACCACTGTCTCCATCCTCCTACAGGTTGGCTCTACGTTTCTCGCCATGTCATTTTTCATGAAGATCAACTCTATTATGCTGCTGTTTCTAAGCCTGTTCAGCTCTCAGACCTTGTTGTGGTCCCCGTGGGCCTTCTTCCTAGTCCACCAGCTCGGCCCATTCCTGCTGTCAATTCTCAAGACACAGCCCGGTTCTCCAACACCACATCTGGGTCAACTTCCTCTCAATCTTTTCACGTTCACCCCAGCTCTCCACAACCAGCCGAAATCTCTTCTCCCCAATCAGCCGTCTCGCCCCCATCATCAGCCCCCTGTTCTCCAACACCACCAGACTGCCGTTCCCTCCTCCAGCACACTGCCGTCCTCACCTCTTCTCCACCACCAGTCGTCTCATCCCCATCCTCGGACCCAAGTTCTCAAACACCACCCGACTGCCTTTCTCTTCCTTCACAGCTAGCCGTATCCGCCTCTTCTCCACCAACTTTGTCGTTGTCTCCTCTTGTTCCTTCTCATGTCCCTGTCATCGCTCCTCCACCACCAAGTACCCGTCTCAGTCCTGTGCACACCCGATCCAAGTCTGGAATTGTCAAGCCAAATCCCAAATATCATGCCAATTTTTCTACTCGGTACCCCGTTCCTCATGCTTTCTCTGCTTTGGTCAACACAGACGTTGAACCCATCTGCTACACACAAGCATCTCGCTATCCCGAATGGAAACAGGCCATGCTAGATGAGTATCATGCCCTCCTTCAGCAGGGCACCTGGTCTTTGGTGCCGTCATCCCCTTCGCTCAATACGGTTGGTTGCAAATGGGTCTTCCGAATAAAGCGGCGATTCGATGGCACGATTGAACGATATAAGGCACGCCTTGTTGCCAAAGGCTTTCATCAACAATCTGGTGTCGACTATTTTGATACATTCAGTCCTGTGGTTAAGCCCACAACCGTTCACACTGTTCTCTGTCTGGCTATTTCTTTTGGATGGCCTCTTCAGCAACTCGATGTCAAAAACGCATTCTTGCACGGCTCTCTATCCGAAGATGTTTATATGCGGCAACCACCTGGCTTTGCTGACCCTGACCGGCCTAGTCATGTGTGTAAACTTCATAAAGCCATTTATGGTCTTAAGCAGGCTCCCCGGGCATGGTTTCAACGGTTTAGTTCTTTCCTCCTGCGTGTTGGCTTTACTCAAAGTCAGGCTGACACTTCTATGTTGTTTACCATGATCACTGTTCTGTTATGATCTTGTTGCTATATGTAGATGACATCATTCTCACTGGCAGTAATTCTTCTCATCTCCTTGCCTTTCTCCGCAAATTGGGGTGTTGAGTTTGACATCAAAGATTTGGGGCGTTTGCATTATTTTCTTGGTGTGGAGGTCCATTATCACCCTACTTCCATCCATCTTACTCAAAACAAGTACACCGTTGATCTTCTCAAACGTAGCAATCTCTTGGACTGCAAACCTGTTTCTACACCCATGACTTCCAAAGGTACTCTTTCTCGGACCCATGGTACTGTCCTTGCGGATCCTACCCCTTATCGACAGATGGTTGGCGCCTTACAATATCTCACCATGACTCGTCCTGATATCTCATACGTTGTTCAACATGTGTCTCAATTTATGGGATCACCCAGTGATGTTCATTTTGAAGCTGTCAAACGGATTTTACGTTATCTAAAAGGCACCCTTGGAGTTGGCCTTCCTGTTCGCAGGTCTCCTGACTGTTCCTTCTTAGTCGCCTATTCCGATGCAGATTGGGCTGGATGTCCTGACACTCGCAGGTCCACAACGGGTATTGTGTTTTCTTGGGACCGAACCTCATTTCGTGGAGTGCCAAGAAGCAGCCCACCGTTTCCCGTTCTAGTGCCGAAGCCGAATATCGAGCTCTTGCCTATGCCTGTGCAGATACTTTGTGGATTCAAGGTCTCTTAACTGAACTTCGTTGTCCGCTTACTCGTCCGGTTTTACTTAACTGTGACAACCTGTCTGCCACATACTTAGCCGCTAATCCTGTCTTCCATGCTCGTACAAAACACATTGCTATTGATTATCACTTTGTCCGTGAACGGGTCGCCTCTGGCAGTCATAAAGTTCAGTTTGTTCCTTCTCAACTTCAGCTTGCAGATGTCTTCACAAAAGGGTTACCAGCTGACCGTTTTGAACGTCTTGTTTCCAAACTCGTCACCTATCCGGTGTCCAGTTTGCAGGGGAATGTTAGGCCGTTATCCTAATTATGACTGCATATAATTGCTTGCAGCTGTTATGCCATTATTATTATATTGTAGTAACTGATATGGCAGCTGTTATGCTATTATTAGATTGTAGTAACTGATAGGTTTACGTTTATGTTCCTGTGTATAAAGATATTGTAATATCAGTTTTGATAATATAGAAAACTCTGTTTCTACAGTATGTCCTTATCGAGGTTCTCTACCGCCTTCTAGAACAAGACCAAGACGCTGCAGAGAGGCTCCACTGTGACCCGGACTATCAGTTGTTACACGACCGGGCAATGGATGTCTTCGTGGAGAGGTTGAAGTCTGATATTGACAAAATGAAGCAGCACAAGCTGGATTTGAAGCCATCAGATTATATAACTGACGGTGATGATGACGACGACGATGAAGATGATAAAGATGGTACTCTTGACGCCGCCGCTTATGCTGATCTTTTTGTTAGCGAGGCTGCAGGGTGTTGCGTTACCAAACAACCTCAGGACTCCCACTCTGCCCGCACCATTTTTCTGTGTGAAAGCATTGCGAGGAGGCTTTGCCCACCCAAATCAGACCAACCAAATCAATCTTATCAATCAGAAGAGTGGGAGCGGATTAGGAATGAGGTTTTGGCGCCCTTGAACAGGTACTGGAAGCGTCAAGACATGTTTATTGGACGACAGCGCTCTGAAGTTAAGATGTATTTGGAGGAGGTGAAAAAAGCAGGAGGAAGAGGAGGCAATTTGAGTGGCCATGGCGGCATAATAAAGCCAGATGCTATGCTCCCAAATGAGATCATACGCCATGTAGTAGAATATGAGGATGTGAGGGAAGGGGCTGAGCTTCAGTGGAAGGCAATGGTGGAGGATATGTACCTAAAGCAGCAGCAGCAGCAAAAGCAGGGGGAAGGTTTGGGAAAATTTAAAAACTGCTTGGCAGTGTGTCACATCTGGGATTACAATGACCCAACGCGCTTGGCGGTGAGTTTGGGACTTCTGGTGTCTGAACTTAGTGAAGAGCCAGCATGGAAAGGAAAGGTGATCAGTTCTGGTCATTTGCCGGATCAGCTGATGCTGCATTCGATACAAGGGGATGATCTCAAGTCCAAGTGCGAGTTGATGATGAGGACATGCAACAGGAACTTGGTATCTTTTGCTGATAATTGGCAGATATGGGATTTTATTCTGGAAGCGGCTACGAAAGAGAACTTGAAGGCAGAGCAGATGGTTAAGAAGTGGCTAATTATTCTGATGATTCATCATCTCTCTATCATGAATTAGTACCTTGGCTTTAGAAATTAGATATTGCTACCAGCTTTGGAATGATTTGACACCAGACTTGCTGAGGAGCAAGTGTTCAAGTTAAGAAGATTTGCAGGACTAGCTTAGCCTCCGTGGTCGTGAAGCAGGGTCAGTAGTATAATAAGTTTTCGTAAGAAGACATTTCCAGATTGTTGGGGGATTTTTAGATCTCAGCACACGTGGAGTGATGTTTTTCATTATAATTAGAGGGCGGAAGCTTCTGCTAATTATGATTACGATTCTGCTAAAATGTGTGAGCCATGAACGAAAACCCTTTGAGAAGTTAGTTTTGTCACCTTTGCTGACTGTAAAGTTGAATATGTATAAAGTTAGTTCAGCAAGCTGTGGGATTACGTGGATAAGCATGCGTTATAAAAGCCTAGGAATCTACTATAGCGTTATACAATAAAATAAAATAAAGAGAAATTTGCATAAATGTCACCTGAATTTTTAGCTATGTGCGTCATTACCATCTGAACTTTTAATTTTTATTTTTAAACACCTAAACTTTGTAAAGTGTTTCAATTCACCATCTATGTTTAACTCCGTTAAAATTTTCATTAAGTTTAAGGGCATTTCCGTCAATAAATTATAACTAAAAGTAATAAATAAAATGACAGGAAAAGAAACAAGAAAGTTAACCTAAAGATGGGCTTCCTCGCCCCCATCGATCCTGATTATGTTTGGTCTGATCTGGATGTATTGGACGCTCCTCTCCATTTGTCCCCCAACTTTCATTGAAATGAAATGAAGGATGAAAAGTCTTTGAAATGCAAACTTTCATTGAAATGAAGGATTGAAAAGTCTTTGAATAAATATATATAGTGCAAGCCATGAAATGCAGAAAGACAACAAAATCAATTGGACCATTGCAATCTGATATTACGTGGAAGAAAGAAAGATGGATTAGAGAGAAGAGAGAGATGTAGGTTAGCTTTATTTGAAGGAAAAAAAAAATTATTTTCAATTATAATGAATTGACAGAAATGCTCATAAATTTAACGGAAATTTTAACATAATTAGGTAAGTGGTAAATTGCAACACTTTACATAGTTTTAGTTGATTAAAATTAAAAATTAAAAATTTAGATAGTAATAACGTACATAACTAAAAGTTCAAATGATATTTACGCAAATTTCCACACGACAAATACAAGCTCAATTGAACAGAACAGTCCACATGCTACCATAGTGGCCAAACCAGTCCATTTTTTTAAAAGCAATTTACGGATACTACCACTGCCCAAATTTACCAAAAAACAATGGTTTATGCCAAAAGGCACCATTAAATAGTAGGAGACGTGTCTGTAGCCCCGCCTGACGCGTAACCAACAAAGTGGGGCCAAGCCAACCTCAACAGCCGTAAAGCAATGAAAAAGCACGGCCACATCCCCCCCCCCATATGAGAAAGTCAGAGACAAAGACGACATCGAATGCCACGTCATCACCACACGTGCAAATTCACTTCCTTAACCGCTACGAACTGAAACGCACCGCTTCACTTCACTCTCTCTCCATATATAAGCCACTCTTCGTCTCAATCCAACCCCTCTCTCTCCTCCTCTCTCTTCCAGAGAAGAAGAAAACAGAAAAGAAGGAACAATAAAAATAAATAAAAATAATCCCTCGAAAATAAATTTTCCATTAAATTTTTTTCCTCCGAAAAATTAAATTCATTCCATATATAGAGCAAGAGAAACCCTACTCACCACTCTAAATACAATCGCTCGCAAACCCTAACCCTATACCTATTTTTCGATTTTTTTCCCTTTTTTTAAATTAATTTAATTATTTTTTGCAATGGCGGATGCGGTATCGGCACCGGCGGCTCAACCCGTATCCCCGGCGGCGCAACAGCCACCTGTGGCGGCTCCGGCCCCGACTCCGGCGGGTTTCGGCAACGTATCGTTGTACGTGGGCGATCTGGACCCCACTGTCAACGAAGCGCAGCTGATCGATCTGTTCGGCCAAGTGGGCGGCGTCGTTTCGGTTAGGGTTTGTAGGGATCAGAGCCGAATGCAGTCGCTTGGCTACGCCTACGTCAATTATAGCAATACGCAAGAGGGTTCGTATTTTCCACAAATCGCATTTTGATCATATGTGCTCTGTTTTCTGATTTTTGTAATTTTGTATTTGGTGAATCTCATTAGTTTATTATTAGTATTTGTTTTTGGTTTTATCGATGTGTTTGGGATTTTTTTTGGAATAATAAAAATGGTTCTGTGATCGCATTGTTTATTTTGGCCATTAGAAAAATGCAGACTTTTGAAAATACTATTTTATTTTGTCCTTTCTTGGTTGCTACGCAACAGAGGAAGGAAGCATTGGTAAACAGAGTTGTGCAGGAAAAAACAGAGTGTTTGTTTTTTAAGGATTGAATGGATTCTGAATCTGTTGTGCACTTGTATATTACCAATGTAATTATTGAACATATTAATGTCGACCATCTTATATAAAAAATTATTTCTGTCTGGGAATTAATATGTGTAATGTTGGGCTTTATTTGGTTTTCAAGTTTGCGTTGTATGCCTCGTTTAGTTCACCGTCTTTCTGTTTCTGTGTTTTATTTTTAAAACTGCAATGGACTAACTTGATAGGGACTTCATCGATGCTTCCTTAATCTTATTTTAAGGAATATACTGAATGTGCCTATGCAAGCACATTTATATGGTATATTATGCAATTGAGAATGGAATACTTAGCGAATAGCTTTAGCAATTGCAGTACTTGTTATTTGTTTATCTGTGATGTATGAAATTTGTAGTTCCTGATTTTGATTTTGAACTTTTGCAGCTGCCAATGCCCTGGAGATTTTGAATTTCGCTCCCATCAATGGGAAACCCATTAGGATTATGTATTCCCATCGTGATCCAAGTATTCGGAAGAGCGGAAGGGCAAATGTCTTTATCAAGAACCTGGACAAATCTATTGATAACAAGGCGTTGCTTGACACTTTTGCTTCCTTTGGCACTGTACTTTCTTGCAAGGTTGCAGTTGATGGCCATGGTCAATCGAAAGGGTATGGTTTCGTACAGTATGACAAGGACGAATCTGCACAGCAAGCAATCAAACGGCTGAATTCAATGCTGATAAATGGTAAACAGGTGTATGTTGGGCTGTTTCAAAGAGGCCAGGAAAGGAATCGGCCAAATGGATCACCGCATTTTCACTAATGTTTATGTGAAGAATTTGTCTGAGACAACTACAGATGACGACCTCAAGAAAATTTTTGCCGAGCATGGCAACATAACTAGTGCAGTTGTTATGAGGGATGCTGCTGGAAAGTCTCGATGTTTTGGTTTTGTTAACTTCGAGAAGCCAGACGCAGCGGCTGCTGCAATTGAAAAGTTGAATGGGACCACCTTTAGTGGTGACAAGGTTTTGTTTGTTGGGAGGGCTCAAAGGAAATCAGAGAGGGAGGCGGAGTTGAGAGCTAAGTTTGAACAGGAAAGACTCAGTAGATTTGAGAAGCTACAAGGTGCTAACTTATATCTGAAAAATCTTGATGATACAATAACTGATGAAAAACTAAAGGAGCTATTTTCTGAATTTGGAACAATAACATCATGCAAGGTATATCTTATTTCAACTTAACTACTGGTTTGTTTTTCCTGCTTATGTCTCCTTTGCAGGTTCTTTTTAAACATTAGCTACAGTTATCATTTGGAACCTCAAGGTAACCAAGAATTGAAAAAAACGAAGCATTGTTAATTTTCTTTATTTTTTCTAGGTCATGCTTGATCACCAAGGGACAAGCAAGGGTTCTGGATTTGTTGCCTTCTCTACTCCAGACGAAGCCAATAAAGCTGTAAGCTATTGATATGTTAAATCCTTGGCACATTCCATAATGCACCTTTTGCACCCCTTTTGTGTGTGTTATGAATGCATGCATAATATCTCTTTTTCCCTTCTTCAGTTGACTGAAATGAATGGTAAGATGCTTGGACGGAAGCCACTGTACGTTGCTGTAGCCCAACGCAAAGAAGAGAGAAAGGCTCGATTACAGGTAGTTTTCTTCATTGGTTTTTGGAAACTGTAATCTCTTTGTAATATTGGATTATGCATGTAGTTTCTCATGAGGACTTTTAACTGTGTAATTTTACATGCCACCAATATTTAGTATTTCTATATAGTTTCAAGGCTTTTGATTACCAAGGAAAAGTGGGTGTGTATGTACTTATTGAGTCTGATAGTATTTTACATTTAGTGTGTGCTTTATAGAAAGAGTTGGTTTCCTTTTCTGCAGCTGGTTAATTCCAATTTACAGTGCAGGAATGCCATCCTATGTCTAGCTGTTTTGTTCAGGACTAGAAGTCCGTTGATTTAGTCTGAGCATTTACTTTTTTTTTCTACTAGCTCTGGTGAACCCAGATATTGGTCAGTCTGCATGGGTTCTCTTCTTATTTTGCTTCTCGGTTGTCACTCATTCTCATTATTCAAACGAAGCATTACAAAGGTGACCTTTCTCATTTGTTTCAGGCACGCTTTGCCCAAATCCTTGCACCAGGTGGAATGACACCATTGCCATCAGGAATTCCTGGATATCATCCTGGGGCACCTAGGCTTGCCCCTCAACAACTTTATTTTGGTCAAGGTACTCCTGGCCTTCTTCCTCCACAGCCTGCAGGTTATGGCTTCCAGCAGCAGCTCTTGCCTGGTATGCGCCCAGGTGTTGCTCCAAACTTTATTATGCCATACCACCTTCAGAGGCAAGGTCAACATGGACAGCGAATGGGGGTACGGCGAGGTGGGAACTTTCAGCAGGTCCAGCAGCAACAGCAGCAGGTGCAATAATTTCCTGATTTAGCTTAGCAGTTTTCTTTTCATTCTACCTCTGGTACCTGAACTCATCATCACATGAAATTACTATACCATCAATGTTATGTGTTTGCATAATTTAATTATAATGGCAGTATTCTGTGAGTTAGCAATAGGTATAACTATGCCACCTGCTCCATTGCCATTATTAACTTTATTTTGAAATTTCACTCTGGGTGTGCTATTACTTTTCTGTTTTTTTCTTTCAGCTACTGCACCGTAACTCCAACCAAGGAGGCTTGAGATACATGGGTAATGCACGGAATGGAGTGGATCCATCTGTCGCTCCTCAAGGTATTGTGGGTCCAATAATGCCTTTGCCCTTTGACGGTTCAGGGATGCCTGTGACTCCTAATGATAGCCAGCATTCTGGGCCGTTGCCGATGTCAACACTTGCTTCAGCTTTAGCTTCTGCTACCCCAGAGAATCAGCGCTTGGTATGTTTTTTGTCCCTCTTATTATGCGCACAACTTATATTGATATTCCGTTTTTAAGGGTTGTGCATGATTTTATTCTAGACTTCTAGAGGGAAAGGAGAACACAAGAACAATATAATTGAAGTTATTCCACTGTCTTAAAACTTGCAGATGCTGGGTGAGCAGCTATATCCACTTGTTGAGCGTATTGAGCCGGAACACACTGCTAAGGTGACCGGGATGTTGCTGGAGATGGACCAAACGGAGGTTCTCCATCTCATCGAGTCTCCGGATGCCTTAAAGGATAAGGTAGCTGAGGCAATGGATGTCCTTCGTAAAGCTGCAACGAAGTCTGAAGTTGGTGATCAGCTTAACTCGTTGGATCTCAACGAGTGAATCTCTCCTTATTCATCACTAATTTTGCGCGCTGGGTCCTTTTTTCGCTGGCCAAAATGACTTGCCATTTTTTTTGGGACAAAAATGACTGCCATTAGTACTGGGATTTTTAAGACAAGAATATTTGCTACGATCTGGTTTATTTTGCCGGGTTTTATTTTATGTGGCAACTCAAATGCCTGAAACTTTTATGTTTTTAACTTTGCAGACCTAAGGTTGCTAGGATTTTGATCGGCATCATTCATTTTTTATGGACTTATTATGACATTTTTCTATTTAGGATTTGATTTGAGATTTTTGCTGGATTATATTTCTCTCTCTCTCTCTCTCTCTCACACACACACACACACACACACACACACACATTTTTCTTTATTTGTTGTATAGTACAGTTTTGGGATGGAGGATTTTGCCTATTTGATCCCCTGCGACTTAATTGAAGTATTTACAAAATTTATGTTGTGCCTACCAGGTTTAAAGCATAGTTGAGACAAACTATGTTCCTTCATTTTTTGTCTGAGTAATGGGATTTCCTAATAATCACTTTAGAGCATCTCCAAGGGAGTATGCAAAAGCCTAGCCACATCAGCATTTTCCGCATCTAATAGAGTAGACATCTCAGTAGGCAAAATATGCATACTCCCCTCAACAAGGTAATGTTGTCTACTTCAAAATGAATAGGTATATTGGGTACTACTTACTTTTTATCATAAAATATAATTTCATATCTCTCACCTACTTTTGTGTGAAATACATAAATAAATATAAAAGATAAAAATAAGTAATATAATAATGGTTTTTATAATTGCATTGCCTAACCCTTTACCCTCCGTTTGGATGAGGGAAAATAACTCGGAATTTAGCTAAAAGTCGGGAATTTAAGAGGAGAAATTGACAATCCCATGTTTGGCAACTTAAGTGCGGAATTTATTAAATGACGCGCGGAAAAAATCATGGCCAAATTACCGAGTTTAATTTCCACCAAAATAGACGTTCATTTCACAATTTCCATAGTGCAGGAATTCATATTTTCCAGTGTGCCAAAACTTACCACACCAAAAGCCAAACTTTTCATAAAAAAAAGACCTTATTGATTTATTGTTCACACTTGGACCTTTGTTTCTCTTGTTCCGTGTATTTCATGGTTTTTTTGTTTTTGTTTTTTGTGGTAGAAAAATTTAATCAGAATGATCATTACTTCTTAAGTTATTTGTTTCTATGAGTACTTGACTATTCTATTACATGTTGTCATGCTTACTGATGTCCAAAGTTGGGATTCTCTACCTAATTTCCTTTCTAATTGTATTTTAAACATACAAAAGTGAACAAGCAGGGGCTGAAGTCATGAATGGATTTGGAGGAAAATAGGCTTGCAAAGGAAAGACAAACAAGGAGTTGAACCTGAAGGAGAAGACAAAAACTATTTTCGGTGGAATATAGCTATGGAATGTGAATGAGCTAATATACTTCGCGAGGAGCGCAGCTTAGGTCACAAAGGAGATGGTGGATGGAAGGCAGTTGCTTACAATACTACTGCAAATATATTAGCTGCACAATTTAATCTCCAGATAAGTGCTGATAATATTAGAAATCGTGTTAAGTCCAAAGTCAAAAAGAGAGTATGTTGTTGATGTTTATTGCACGTGGGGAGTGATTTGGTTTGCTATTATGCTTTGTTTGTTTAAGTTGAGTTATTTAGTTCATCAAACGATATGTTATTTTATACTTCGAGGAATATCTTCTATGTCGGTTATCAGTTTTTTTGTTCTTTCGAAATATTTAATTTCTGTAATTTATAATTTACATGAGTTATCCAAATATTGAAATTTTCAATTTCTGTCATTTACAAAATTCCATATATATAAATCCAAACATTGAAATCTTCAATTGCTAGAAATTGAAATGACGGAAATCTAAATTCCGTCATTTTAGAATTCCATGTAATTTGCAATTCTTTCATCCAAACGGAGCATAGAGTGATCAACTTTTTCCATGAGGCAAATGAATACGCAACATGACACCTAGGTTGTTATATTACAATTTTGCCTACTTCCCTTGCATATTCCAATGAAAATACTGTTATTAGAGATAGATACTATTTAACAATAGGGGTTGCCCCGTAACCTATAACAAAAAAAAAAAAAAATCTCCAAGGATATAGGCAAAAGGGTAGGCAATCACATAAGATTTTTCCTCCTCCAAAGGAATAGGCAAAGGATACCAACTAGGTGCGGGCATAGTCTGGATTGTATTGGCTTAACTAAAAACTGCAACCGAATCAATTACAAAATATAACGGTTTAGTTTGGTTCGGTTCGGTTTTGAAAAAAGTTATGATGAAAACCGAATCAAAGCAAACTAATTTCTCAACATTGTTAGCACAATTACAATCAACAAATTCACAACTTGCTCTACTTGAATCATTTTCTAGAGTACGAAACCATCCTAAAGCTTAACATGCCAAAATTAAATTTCAATACCTAATATATAGCTCAATTCAAATATCCATATATAGTTATTACCTAAGTAAAGTATTACACATGTGAAATAAAATATTAATAAATAAATATACACATAAACAGTTCTGTTTGATTTAGGCCAGTTTACAAAAGCTCAAAACCAAATCATATACAGTATGGTTTGGTTTTTAAACTATTTGACTTTTTCTTAGTCAAAACCAAATCAAACCGGTAATTACGGTTTGAACTGGCTGATTTCATCAATTCAGCATGACTGATGCCCACCCCAAACACCTCTCCCAACAAGCCATTATTGCCTACTTCAAATGAAAGAGGTATATTGGGCCCCATGTACTTGTTTATTATAAAATACAATTTCCATGTTTTTGTGTGGTAGTAAATTCTTTCTACCAATTCTTTTATTGGGCCCCACATAATACAATCCTTGGAGATGCTTAGTGGCTGCACGGGTGGTTAGCATGAGATTTGTTCCTATGTTAAGGACAAAGATGTTAATTTCTATGAGAGTTTATAATTTCTTTGAAATATATAGTTCTAGGATTTTGTATATATAGAAACCTTTCAACATTATGCGTTCATATATAGAAACGTGTTCAATTTTATGTGTGTGGAATTTGTGTCAACGAAGAAAGAGATTACAATAAGATTGCTCGTACCAAATCCAAAATTGCAACCATAGACGTACATTAATTTTTGTTACTTTTGGACGAGGTAATACAATCTTCGGTATGCTTGTGAAAACATTTCTAGAACTCTTCTGATTCTTCATATTTACATTTGTTAACAACCCTAAGCACACAGCCCATACGTATAACATTTATGTCATGCTTTCGATGGAAATTTTTGAGCAACTCGCGTATTCAGTATGAATTACATCGATCGAAGAGGGTGGAAGAAGATGAGAGGGAAATGAAAGAGGGATCGAGGGAGATGGAGCATTATTTGCTCGAACTATAACTTGAATAGAGATCATCCATCCCAACATTAACACCTTAAGGACCCTAAAGACCTATGCATACATGCATACATGCTTTGCCCTTTTCCATAAATGGTTGTTTTAATCAGAAAGTGAAAGCAGATAACAAACACAATTCCCTTTCCATAAATGGCTGTTTGGGAAAACGATAGTATGTTGCCATATCAAACTACAATTTAGTAACAAGAACCATATTTACCAATTGGCGCTGATCTTTGTTCAAGATCAAGACCTATCCAGGTGCAAGAAATCAGGATGGATGTCATCTTCTACCGTCTCATCATCGTTTGCGAATACCGTCTCATAGTTTGTCACCGTCTTGTTGATTTCATTGCTCCATTGGCCTGCAGTATCTGCATCTTCTCTCCTACTAATGCATCGCAGGTCATATTCATCACTCTCATCTGGGGTTACGTAGTCATTCCATTTGGAAGCTCCACCAAGTATAGTCTTTGTTGCCTGACATGCTTTTGGTTCCAGCTCATCTCTCATTACAAAATCTCTCCATTTTGAAGTCTCCTTGGTGATTGCTAGCTCGCACTTCATCTGCTCCTCATCTGATATTCATAATACATTAGAACAAATTCCTTAATTTGCTACACCTTAATTGGTGTTTAAAGTTTCACAATCCCTATCATTGCTGGACATCGAGAGAGGCTTATGTAGTTTAGTATTAGTTCTATTCGAAATCCACCAATCTGCAAAGCGGACACAACTTTGAAACTGGGGCCCCTCGCCGGCCGAACCCTTCATACAAAGGTACCTTTGGGGTTTTTTTTAGAGATATTTAGTAATATACCCATTCTTAGCACTAAAACTATAAATAAACCCTACATCATTTCATTTTTATAAACATACCCAAAAAAACCCAAAAAATGACAAATGGTACTATTAAATTTAATTTTAATTATTAAATTACTTTAATACCCTATTGAGTGTTTTGGGCTTTTTTATGAAATTTTGGGTTGGGTTTGTTTTAAGAAATCAATGGCAATTTTGTAATTTAAAAGAAGTTAAAAGCATTTTTGTTATTTTATAAATGGGCTTTAGGTGTGTTTATAAATTCCATTTCATATAGGGTTTTTTTATAATTTAGGCTCCTATATTGGGTATATCAGTGAATCTCCCTTTTTTTTACCTCAGACCACATGGGAGCAAACCATGGACCTGACCGTTCCAACTAAACCCTCGTTGGTAGTATTAGTTCTATTCTTTGCTAGCAAAGTTCATATTACTTCTTTGACAACTACAGTCAAGAAAATGCATCAACTCATCCTACCTGAGCGTGAGTGGACTTGGAAACTTGTAAAATGGGTTGACTTGGAATGTGGACGAAAGTGTACATGATAGTTATGTGGAATGGAAAAAGCAATGAGTTCAAATGTTGTCAAATCGTAATTACTGTTTTTGTGAAGAAACAAAACTAAATTGCTTATAAGTTCCAATCTAGGTTTTGTTTTTTACTTCTTGATGAAAAACTGCAAAACCATCAGATTAAGGGTTTGGGAAACTATGACATACTACTAGTTTCTTTTTCCAGGAAATAGTTGTAGCATACTATCAAAAAACTAGCAGCAGATATGTCATCGTCTTTATTATTCTATTAATCACAGCAAGAACATCTTTAGATCATTCAACTTCACTTTAGTATTTTCTTGACCAAAAGCAAACTTAAGTCTAGTGTTTTCTGTTCCAAAAATTGTATCGTTTTTCATTTATTCTTAAGAAATTGTTTGTTAGAATAAAGAATCAACAATGAAGACAAAAAAGGTGGAACCTACAAGAAAGTAAGAAACCATATTAACAAATATACAAGTTTTAATTATCTTAGCCATTATCTCCAGGAAGTAACATTCAACTTTTGTAAATTGTATCCGTGTATCAATTTCAACAAACCATCAAAGGGCCTTGAATTAACGGTTCCTATAGAATAGCGAAAACCCCGAAAACAAGAAGAACATCAAACAATGCGAATAAAGAAAAAAATGGAAAGCCAATTACCCCAAAGCAAGCTTGACGACAACACCACTATGTATTAGCATTTATACCACCAGATAAGAAGGTACACGAAATAAGCCTAATTATCATGTAAAGCAACAAAGAATTAGAACAAAGTTACCTGCTGGGGAGACAACATGTTTGTTGAAATTCCTCTTAGAGAAAACTGATTTGTGATTGTGATGTTCATCTGCATCTCCTTTTCTTGTATCTGACCAACAGCCATGTTTGTTGAGCTTTCGTTTCTTGGACAACTCTGCCGGAAACTCTGTTACAATCTCATGCTCAAAACCAACCCCTACATACAAACCAATCAAACACACAAATACATTAACATCCTCCTATTTCTTTTCCTCAATTTCAAATTTCAATCAAAACCCAAAACCAACAATTACCTTCTTCATCTTCTTCTTGCTTCAAGTTGGTGCCCTGATCATCCTTAGCATCGAGGTATTCCGTCCAATCGGTTCGGCTCTTCTTTTGGGTCTTGTACGGACTAGTGGAAGAAGCAAGTGCAGGCTGTTGCTGCTGCTGCTGCTGCTGCTGCTGCTGCTGTTGTTGACGGGACATGTTGGAGGACTGGACGAAGAGGCGGAGGTCTTTCGCCATGGGACCTTGAGCAAACACTTGGCGTACAGACTGCTTTTGATTGCAGACTACGCATGTCCACTTGTTGCTTTTGCTGCTCTGCTTCCTCTGCTTCACCTACAATTTAATTTCCATTCATCACCAAACAACGTCAACAAGATTCAGATTCAAATGCTCATATGTATACCAACATATATTACATGTATAGATACAATTAATAGTGTTACATACCTGCATGGTGGAGCATTGGCAGCACTGAACTGCAATGAAGATGGCGGACATTTTCTTTTCGCCCTCTCTCTCCCTCTCCGCTTTCGGCGTTCACAAGTAAATGTGGGATTTTGATATTTCTGAACATTCTGGAAGCGATCTATTATTTGGGGCTTGGTTTGGGCGCCAAATTTTGGGGTTTCGGGGATTTAATGGGATTTTAAATATTTTTTTATTTATAGCAAAAGTCATTTTGGTCTGTGTACTTTACCTTATTACCATTTTCGTCTCCATAATTTCAATTTTGTCAATTTTATCTTTATAATTTTAAATTTGTCGCAATTCAATGACACATTATAAATTTTATCAAATTTCTTTTAATTTTATCCAAAACTCCGTACAAAATATCCCTTTATTTCAGCAACACATAATTACAAAGTCACAAAATTGGAGTGAAATTTGGACGTGTGCTAGAATTACGAAGATATCAAATTATAGGATTCAATTGCCATAACTAAAATTACAGGAGTAAAAATGAAAATCCCACAAACTACTTGAACGAAAGTAAAAGGGAAAGTGACTTAATTTTTATATTTTTTGAAGGGCACTAAAATGGGCTGGCCGGCCCAAACCGGAAATTTCAAGGTTTGAGCGAAATTCTACTCTCCTAGAAACAGGCGCTCAGGTGAGCTGCACTCACTGCCTTCTTCTGCTTCTTCTTTTTACATCCCACCATTTTCATGCATTTGACATGTACCATTTGTGTTGATATTGGATTCTGTTCTTACTGGGGCTTTCGAAGTTTTTGTCAGTTGGAATTTTGTCTTACGAATTTTTTCACTTTTAGTTCCAGTGCATATGCATTTGCTACGGCTCATGGGCACGAGGAAGTTGAGGCTCAGCATGAGGCTAACAACTTAACTACAGTATGATTTCTTTTATTTTTTTGGCAAATTTAAAGTAAGCTTTAAGATCATGAAGTTTGCTTGATTGTGGGCTGCTTTGTGATTTTGTTTCATTGTATGTTTATACAGGGAAGTAACAGTACATCCAAGCCTAGTGGAACTTATAGTGGGTATTGTGGTCAAAATAATTTGCAGCTGCAACAGAAACTAAATGGGGCTTGTGCGGATGGTTCAAGGGACCCCCAGCAGAACTCAAATCAGTATAATCCTAGTTACAATGGGGTTTTTAAGAGAAGCACAAGCAATGAATTTCTGAACCATCCAGTTTAACAAGATGGAAATTTTAGTGGGCATAATGGGCAAGAAAATGGAGGGTAGCTGCAGACCCCTGAATTGGATTGGAGACATTTAGAAAATGGAAGTATACAGAATGCGTCTCGGCAGGAGGGATCCACAGAAGTCAGACAGAATCCAGATGGTTTTGGTTCACAAGGCAATTCAGGGTTTCAGGGAAACCTGAATCAGAATTGTATGCAGAATGTTGCACAATATCAGCAAAATGTAAATGGTTATTACACAAGGAACGATGCAATGCATCAACAGAACCCTAGTCATGGACAGTATCAGCAGAACCCTAGTTGTCGACAATATCAACAGAACCCTCATTATGGACAAAATCAGCAGAATCCTAGGGATGGAAAATATCAGCAAGGCTCTAGTTGTGGACAATATCAGCAAGGCCCTAGTCAATATCAGCAAAGCCCGCATGTTGGACAATCTCAAACAAATACGGATCCTTTTCAAAACAGGATAGTGGATTCTCAACTAGCAAGTCAGTCTAAATCTCAAGGAAAACTGATTGAGGCTTCTGAAAGTAACCCATACATTGGTACTCTTCAAAAGTTGGATAATTTTTGCAAGGAGGGGAAAGTTAAGGAGGCTGTGGAGATCTTGGGTGTGCTAGAGAAGCAGCACGTTCATGTGGAATTGCATCTGTATTTACAGTTAATGCAGGCATGCGGGGAGGCTAAAGCTTAAGAAGCAGCAAAATTTGTTCATGAAAACATACAAGATTAGCGTCTCCTTTGGAAGTGTGCACGTACAACAGAATTTTAGAGATGTGTTCTAAATCTGGTTCTATGGACAACACATTCATGGTTTTCAACAAGATGCCAAATCCCAATTTGACATCTTGGAACATTATGATAACATGGCTTGCTAAAAATGGCCTGGGGGAAGATGCCATTGATCTATTTAATGAGTTTAAGAAAGCAGGTCTGAAACCTGATGGCCAAATGTTTATTGGTGTTTTCCACGCTTGTAGTGTCTTGGAAGATACTACTGAAGGACTGCTGCACTTTGAATCAATGAGCAAAGATTATGGCATTGTCCCGACTATGGATCATTATGTCAGTGTAGTAGATATGCTAGGAAGTACAGGTTATCTGGAAGAAGCTTTGGAATTCATTGAAAAGATGCCATTAATGTCGATATTTAGAAAACCTTGATGAATCTCTGCAGAGTTCATGGGTACTTGGAGCTAGGGGATCGGTGTGCTGAGCTTATTGAGCAGCTAGATTCCTCCAGCTTAAATGAGCAATCAAAGGCTGGCCTTGTTCCTGTAAAAGATTCAGACCTTGTAAAGGAGAAAGAGAAGAAAAAATTATCAGCCCAAAATCTTTTAGAAGTCAGGAGCCGAGTCCATGAATATTGAGCAAGAGATACATCTCATCCTGAGAATGATAAGATTTATGCTCAACTTAGGGGTTTAAGGGAACAAATGAAGGAGGCTGGTTACATTCCAGAGACTAGATTCGTGTTATATGACATAGATCAGGAAGGCAAGGAAGATGCTTTGCTTGCCCATAGTGAGAGACTTGCTGTAGCTTATGCCCTCCTCAGCAGCCCAGCTCGTTCATCTATTAGGGTAATCAAGAATCTTCGTGTTGTGGTGATTGCCATAATGCGTTGAAGATTATTTCAAAAATTGTAGGCAGGGAACTCATCATGCGAGATGCTAAGAGATTCCACCATTTCAAAGATGGCTTGTGCTCTTGCTGAGATTATTGGTGAACAACATGAAACTTGATTCATCTCAGGTAATATTTTTCTCTCTTAACTTTATTTTTTATAGAAGCAATCTTTTTTTTAAAAAAATTTTGAGTACTTACATGCAGCTATGAGAAAAAGAAATATTTCTAATGCTATCATGCTTTTGAAAGGTTTTGTGGTTTTTTGGAGGAAGTGGATTAGGGGGCATTTGAGTATAAATTTTCGGTCTTAATTAATGGGAGACCAAGAATTTGGAGCATGTAGAGGGCTTATGCAAGAGAGAATCAGATTGCAAGGCCTTTTGCGGACGATGAAGTGAGCAGAGTCCAGATGGGTGTCATAATTTAGTACATTCTAAAGGATATGACAAGTTGTTTCTTGCTTTGTAAGTAGATGTCTTTTTAAGTCTTTGTTTCTTATTTCAGAATAAAGAAGAAAAATGTAAGCTGCCTTAGTCACATTGAGCTTTTGAGGTCATTGAGCTATATGTTTTCAGTCAAAATTGAGTTTGGTACTTAAAAAGCTAAAATGAGCCGGGCAAGAAAGCTTTTTTTAAATCTTTTTCTTGTGTGATTCTTTTTTTCCCCTATCGATAAGCAAGTGCACAAGCAACAACATTACTTTACAGTAAATGTTTACTGTCCTATTGAGGTTTTATGTTGATGAATGTTTAGACAGAATATGAATTAGGATACAGTATTAGATAAAGCACTTCCAAATTCACTTCAATATCTTTGTAATGCTTACTATATGTGCAGTGTCTCACTCTGTACTCAATTTTTTGCTTCACACACTGTCGTCTTACTTTCTCATAATTATGTTAACAAAAATAACTAAGATAAGATGGAGTGAGGGTATAAAAAAGCATCTAAGATAAAGCATTAGAGGAACTTTAAGAGTTCTATACTTCTGTTGAGCGATTGTAATACTTGTTTTCCTTCTGCTGGTGAACATTTTTCTGGCCATTGATCCTGAGTTGGTTTATGATGTTTGAGTAGTTAATGGCTCATTACCTGCAGTATCTGTAGTTGTTTAGTATTAATTTTTTGTCTTGATTAGGTGTTAAATCATTAGAAATTGCTTGGTTGTAGGTGTTTGAGATGGATGATTATGCCAAAATGAATTGAACGAAGCGAAGACCATATCCTTCAGGATGCATTACGATACCTCATGCAGTCACTTGAGAATCTGCTGCTGGTTTAGCTGGCACTGCTTCGTTGGCAAGCAAGGTGACCCAATGATTTCACACTTCCTTCTGTAAATGTTACATGACAATAAAATTCTGATTTGCATCACCTGAAATATTTGATCAACTGGGAATTTGGGGACTAATGTTGCAACTTTTATGACAAGGTTGTTGCAGCAGGCAGCTGGTCTTGCAGCTTCCATTATAATATGCATTCATATATAGTTCGTTGAAGCAGATTCACCCAATAAATACATGGGTTGGTGCTGTTGTTGCTATCCCTCTCCACTGCTAGGGTAATTTGCTCCCTTATTTTCTTTGGGCTACATGCTTTCTTCAGTGGACTTATTGGAGTAGCTTTATATATTGCTTTGGCCATTGACAATTTATGTTTTCAATTAACTCATAATATAGTGTTAGTTGTTGCAACATATTTTTGCAGCCTGGAACTGATCAGTGTTTTCTGAAATCCCCATTAAACTTTTTATTTTGGTCTTTGGTGAGATATTTCCCATTAAGCTTAACTAACAAACAAGTTGATTGTCCGTACTAAAAAATTCCCACTGTTTTACACAATAGATTTATACATTTAACCGCTCATCCCCCATGTCCTGCCCATTCTCTCTCTCTTTCAAGATGCAACGGGTATCCAAATCCAGCAGCCAAAAATCAGTTTCATTCCATTTATTTTTCAAGATCAAAATCCTAACTGGAAGTTTCTTCAATACTTGATTAACAAAGACAGCTTTATTTTTTTAATATGATCCAATCAGAAGCCTAAAGTATTCCAATTTGAAGTTTTGCACCATATTGGCTTTAACAAATTTTCTGTTGGTTTAGCTTCTGAGGTCTTGGTGGCAATCTGTTTTTGCGACTTGCATTTTATTGCAGCATTCCAGCAGGCATTCCACCACTTGAACAGCAACCGACCCAGCGGCTTTTACAGGAGCCCTTTAGGATTTTATTACCCGTCAGTACACCACACCACATCTTACCTCACCTCAACATCATCAGCATCATCTGAGATGGTAGGAGAACTTGTTGCAATTTCATTTCATTTGTTTAGGAGATGCTATGAGAGAAGGGTTGTTAATCCTTATAGGAAGATGTGAAGACATAAACGAAGAGAGAAGAAATAGAGTGGTGCAATTGATGCTAGTGGATGATTCTTAATTGGCAGGGTATAAACACTGTTCTGATCGTGAAAGATGGAGGTACATCAGAGAAGAGTATACGCAAACCACCTCCATACTTGCCTCCGCCTAATGACTCACCTACCATTCAAGATTCGCCTGGAGAAGTAGATGGATTTTGATGTGATAGAACTATAAGTTGTAGATTGAAGACCCCGTGAGATTGTAGTTTTTCCCTAATAAATTGACGTAGACAAGTGTAACTTATGATTTTGAATATTATATCAATATATATTACTAGATTTTGGTCATGTGATTTGGTTGCCCATGAACCTTTTTGTTGATTACTTAAGAGTTGTATGAGTTGTGGGAATGGAGTGGATGAGTATGAAGAAGATGATCGGAGGAACTAGGAGTTATCAAACGTGGGAAAAAAAAATTGTTGAAAAAAGAAGTAAATTACAAAGAAGATCCACGGGGATCTGTAAAGCAAACATATCAAAATACAAACGATTTGAAACTTCCGAGAGATAATTTTTGAACCAAATACAAATACAAGGATGTAAAGAAGAAGAGGTCCCTCGTTTTGCCGAAGTATCTGTCGCAGCGTCGCTTGATTAGTCTTTTTTCGGTCAACCCACTTGATTAGTATCGCCTAGGAATGTTGTGGAGAACTGAGGGAATCGTGCTAGTAGATGCCAAATATCAGTGTGGAATTTGGTTGTATTGCACTTTTTTCCTTTGGAGATTCTTGAAACTTCAAATTAATCTCTCTCTTTTTGTTGTTAGACTAAGCCTTGTACGTTGCCTTCTCTTCAATCTCTCACCCATGGAGAAAACACAATCATCCCTTCATTCTCCCACTAACGGAAGTCTCATCACTATTCTTAGCATTGATGGAGGTGGAATAAGAGGGATTATCTTAGGAGTTATACTCAAGTTCCTAGAGTTTGAGCTTCAAGTAAAAAGATTAAAACCAGAACTCTATATATGTTTAGTGGGATTGTTAATTATGAGCAATATATGGTACCAAACTCTGTTCACCAAACAATGTTTCGTTCATTAAAATATACGAGTCCAATTTGCATTTCTGTTAGTTGATAACATGTTATAGGAAGTTATAGGATATAATATAGTAGCATGTGTAACACAAAGTTCATATGTTATTGGAGTGTATAATGTAGATAAATAAATACGTGTATTACAATATGAGTGGATTAGCCACGTCATCACGTGGGACTACACCTAGCTAGCATGTTTATGCATTTCTCACAATTTGGTATTTGTGTGTTTCTCATGCTTTTTTAAAAATAAAATAAAAATCGAATAAGACTAATTTTTGCTTTAGTTGTTAGCTATATGCAGAAGCTGGAGGGTAAGCATGTAAGACTTGCTGATTATTTTCATATGGTTGCAGGGACGAGCACAGGTGGCCTTGTGGCGGCCATGCTTACTACCCCAAATAAAAATAATTGTCCCTTGTATTGTATGCTGCTAAAGATATCATCCCCTTTTATCTAGAACACTGCCCTAAAGTCTTTTCTGTCAACAATTAACTGCACCTGGGTTGGGGAAAGAAGGAAAGTGTTTGAGATAAAAAGAGATGATATCTTCAGCAGCATACAAGGCACGCTTATTTTCATCTGGAGTAGTAAGCATGGCCGCCACAAGGTCACTTATGCTCGTCCCTGCAACCATATGAAAATAATATGCAAGTCTTATATGCTTACCATCCAGCTTCTGCATATATCTAACAACTAAAGCAAAAATTGGTCTTATTCGATTTTTATTTTATTTTTAAAAAAGCATGAGAAACACACAAATACCAAATTGTGAGAAATGCATAAACATGCTAGCTAGGTGTAGCCCCACGTGATGACGTGACTAATCCACTTATATTGTAATACGCCTATTTATTTACCTATATTATATGCTCCAATAACATATGAACCTTGTGTTACACATTGCTATATTATATCTTAGAAGTTCCTATAACATGCTATCAGCTAACAAAAATGCAGATTGTACTCTTATATTTTAATGAATGAAACATTATTTGGTGAACAAAGTTTGGTACTATATATTGCCCATAATTAATAATCTCACTAAACATATATAGAGTTTTGGTTTTTACCTTTTTACCTGAAGCCCAGACTCTAGGAACTTGAGTATAGCTCCTGCGATAATCCCTCTTATTCCACCTCCATCAATACTAAGAATTGTGATGAGACTTCCGTTAGTGGGAGAATGAAGGGATGATCGTGTTTTCTCCATGGATGAGAGCTTGAAGAGAAGGCAATGCACAAGACTTAATCTAGCAACAAAAACTAGGAGAGATTAATTTGACGTTTCAAGAATCTCCAAGGGAAAGCTTTGCAAGTCGTGAGATTAATAACCTTGAGTTGTGGGCTTTATATAGAGATCTTTCCCTTCTACAATCAGGAAACTTTAGTTTCCTATTTTATTCAAGGTTGTATTTACTTCCCTTTCGTAATTAGGACTTCTTTCCTATATTGTTAGGATTTCCTGGATTTATAAGGTGAAGAATAAATCTTCCTACGCAGACACAAGTTTCTATCTTGTAAATAGTACTGCATGCTGCCACCATCAATAACCAAATTTTGATCGCACCCTCCAAGCAAACTGAATTTCCCCAACTCAAATTTTCTGACATTTCTCACTCCTGATCCTCCACACAACCAATTGGCACAGACCCATCAATCAATTGGGTCATACACAATAAGAATTTAGCCTTCACCGCCATTTGTCTCTCCAATATACTCTTCTTAAAGCACCTCAACCTTGACCTCCCCTGTTTCTTCCATATCAGGGTTTGCTGTATCCTTAAACCAATCCTCTTGAGACTCGATCAAAATCCAAGAACGAATCTGCAAACGTCAAGTCTCTGGGATTAACAGGGTCAAGTGGGTCCTTCAAATTCTTGGTCTTCGAAGCTTGATGGAGGGTTAGTTCAGGGATGAGCCCTACCATTGAGAACGTACACAGGAAAGACCGGGTGGAAGAATGAGATAATTAGGTTTGAACGTACATGAATCATTGTTTCTGTTTTTTTTCGTTCTTATTTTGTGAATTAGAATAATAAAAATAGGGAGCATGAGGGAAGGTCTAAACTACTAATTATATGTGCCATTAGATAAATAGGTGCTCACAGAACAAATTTTTTTTCCAAATAAAAAACCTCATTTTTAGGTCCTTAAGTGAGCCGGACTGTAATTTACGATATTTTATGTATTTGTTCATTCATGGAGATGTGATACCACGGATCAATTCCGAAATTTACAGATTTGGCATCCATGTAAAGAACATGGATCATATATGAAGAGATTGCTCATGTGGCATGGATCGGAGAGTTTATAATGAACTGCTCCACTGCTCTCCTTGACCAAATAAAGAAAATTTATATGCCTTCAAATGATGCAGCACTATGAACAAGCTATACAGGTCTTGAATTGCACATCAACCTCAAATTTTAGTCTCCTCGTATCAAAACTCCCTCACATCTGCTTTCTGCCCTACAACGAACAACAAAATAAACTTTACGTCACAATTGAACTGTTCAATCCTCACATCTGCATTTTTCTTTCTTTTTTTTGTTCTTCATATTCATGTTCTTACTCACACATCCTACACGCAAGATGATGCAAAACTTACCCTAAGACATATATAACAATTTTTTTTTGGGTACCACCATTATAAAGCAAACAATTCAAGAACACCACAAGACTGATACATGTCCAGAATACTTTATTTTCTTAAATGATCTTTACATAATCAGAAAAGACTTCTAACTTGAATAAATGTATGAGAAAAAACCAATCCTAATGGAAAAGAACAGACTCAGATTTCCTTCTTTTTGTTAACTTGGGTGCCCGACTCTTGAAAATCAAAGAAAACCTAACTATTTCTAGGAATTGAGACTCCCAGCAAGATCAAGCTTCCTTGCTACTGTAGCAACGTTGCTTTCTGTTGTTTCTTTAGAAGACTCTCTTTAGGGTATCTCATTGATCAATGCATCCATATATTTCCAGTAACATTGTTTAACGGATTTCTTCAACCTAGCTCCTGGTGTGCAGGAACAAACTAGCTTACTCATTACTTCTCCCATTTACAATTTTGATTAACAACATATGATAAAGACTTCCAATCAAATTTAACAACTATTCTCACCCCATTTTTATTTTTTTTCTTTATGCATACCAAGTTTTGTTTCCTGTAGTTTCAAGTTTCAACAAATAGCTTTATATGTTGCCACTTAGTCTCCATTCCAAACAAACCAGTTAAGTACTTCAGACAGCATATCATAAATACAAGTTACAACAGAACAGGTGAATTGAAATTTGGTTTCTGAAAATTAAACAACAGTTATCTAATACACAAAATATCGAAGTAGAATCTTAAAAAAACTGTAGACTTACCTGCTACCACGTTTTAGCAAAACAAGGTAGATTGGATCTTGGGATGCCATCCCCAGCAGCTGCCGGACAATGTAGATACATGTGGTAATGCTGGAAAGTAGAGACAATAAAGTTCAAGTATTATAATCGACCCTAATGAGCTAGCTGCAGATTCATGACGTTATAAAAAGAGTTTCTAGACCCCAAATGAAAAACATAAACACAGCCAAAATATCATCTTATTATCAAATTCTATAACCAAACCATTTTGTACTTCTGTCGTTTTAGCTCCCCATCAATCTACAATATATTATGGCATCATTATAATGAAAATTGAAAACTGAAACATAAAATTACACAACAATTCAAAGTTAAAAAGTTGCTTTTCTCACTTATAAAACATTGATGAATACCCATTGTAAAAACAATATATCAATAAACCAAAGGTTTTGATCTGGAAATCATACAGATCATACAGATAATCTGATTCAAACAATTGTGTCAATCAAGTTATTGTCTATAAATTGTATACTGCAGCTAGCAACTATTTACAGATGCGTTATCACATCAGAAAATGGATGTCTTCTCAACAGATAATAAGAAAGTATATGATGTTTAAAATCATGAGAGATACCTGCCAAAACATATCAGAAAGATTATCCAAAGGACTGCAGTAATCCAACTTGATTCTTTGTAGGCAACCCAAACCTGATTTTTATGCAAGCAAAGAAGATTAGAAGATTGTTAATTCGAAATTAACGCATATTGATGCACACAGATAATGTTCAAATTTTACATACTCAAAAGGATTTCAAGTAAAACTGAAGAAAGAAGATTAAGAACCTAGGTAGGTTGAAGAAACTAGGTTACAGGAAATCACCATAAAGCAAACTGATCATTACTTTCTATTTTCGAAGTATACGAACTTAGAAAAAGGGAGGGGAAAAAAATCAGTGAGGCAACCAGCAACCCACAGCCAAGAATTTTATAATATTCAGTATGACTTTAGTTGCTACACAACACAAATTCCTGAATGACATTTTTCTTGTTGGTATATGGATGTTTTTGAACATTCTACTATAAGACTCCAATCATTCATTAGTTCAAGGTAACTTACTTAAACAGAAGCACACCCTGACTTGGTTGTTTTCTCAATTGGAATTCTTATTTAACATCCAACTAAATGGTAATCAATTTCAGTTAATTGATTATCGATTTCTATTTACTCCCCCAGCCTCTCGCAAGATACTGGAAACATGAATAATTAGGTATTACAGAACTATAAAGGGTATGTAAGACATACTGATAGAGCAACAACATTGATATAAAAGTCGATTAGTGTTGCTGTCATCCACCTGCAAACATGTAGAGCAGCTAACTTTTAATTACATGACTGATAAATGAACAGCGCAATCAAAATTTGTAACTAAGACAGTGCTTACTACTAAACCAAAATTCTCTTACAGAGTAAATAAATTCACAAGACAAGAAAATCAGACAGGACTGAAAAAGTAAATAAAACTTACGGAGTCAAAAGCTCTGTGCGAAAAGGAGTACCATCTGTCAAGAGTGTGTATAGCAGAGTACCCAGCATCAAAAGACCCAACGCACTAAAAAGGACTCTTGCAATCCAAACAGGGGAAGCTTATTCTTATTTTCCATATCACACCTATATGAGAACATTTCTCAAAGATCAGTTTTTATTGGAACAGGGCAAGTTAAAAGATGTGCATGATATCATTCTATTCCATTAACTGCTAGTTAACTTAAAATTTCTCAAACATTATCATCTCCACTCAAGGGGATGATAGAGGAAAATGAAAAAAGATGGCAAGAAAGATACAATTTATCTAGTACAATAAAATGAAAAGCAGCTATGCAGTTTCCTAAAGCATAAGATGTGTGTGCGCGCGCATCCCACTAATAAAACCTCTACAAATTCTTGTAATATGCACACGTGCATGGTTGAAACACCATTATCTGATTAATCTCAGTATCATGTAGAGCCTTATCTGACTGAGAAAATGAAAACCACCAGAAGTAAAGCAACCCTATTCACAAAAGGGAGCAGCATATGCAGTTTCCTAAAGCATAACAAGACATGTGCATTTGTGTGTGTATGTGCATGTGTGTCTCACTAAGTAAACCTGTAAAAGTTCTAGTACATGGATGTTGAGATGCGGCTAGAAATTAGACATAAGATACAATTTTAGTTTTTCTGTTTTTTCAAGCAAGGTGGAACTTGCGTGAACTTCGGAAGGGAGTTTTTGTAAAGAACACTGTTTTTCAAGCGAGATAACTTTGTAACCCATATTGAGAAGTGAGAGAGAAACTTCAAGAGTGTGGGAGTGAGTTCTTGGGGTGCATTCGGTCACCCTATTGAGAAGGGTTGAGAGGCGTGAAATTACTTGTGAATGTATGAGGAAGAGGTTATCTCCTCTTCGTTGTAATTTTGCTATCTTTATAGTGGTTGTCGCCATCACGCGGGTTGGGAACGTAGCAAAATTTGGGGTGAACCTCATAAATCTTGTGTGTTGTGTGATTGATTGTTTTCTAACAATTGACACATGCATATGCAACGCTGAACCACCATTATCTAGCAAACCCCAGTGATTATATAGAGCTCAATTATCGATATAGCACAACTGTGAACTGCTTAGGTTAAAGTAAAGTAAATTCCTCTTGAAGTGTTAACTTGTAAACAAATCACCTCATGCATTTAATTCACACAGACTAAATTGAAACCATCCAAGAATGTCTCTCCTCTATTGTCTCAACCCACTCTATCTGTATTGCTGTGCCAATCTCGGCAGAAATTCACGACACCTTTCAATTGCATCCCTTTCCTTTCTCAAATAGCCTCTTCACAATATCACACCTTCTTTCTTTCAGTTACAGCTCCTTGCCAGTATCACAACAGCTTCACAAACCCCAACCATCTCCAATAATACTATTTTCTCTCCCTATCCAATATAATTTTCGATAATCATCCATGGCTACCTAAGACAACTCTGTTTCCTCCACTGCCATTGTTCTTACCAGAATGTCCTCCTTCTTACTAGAATGTCCTCCTTCTCTACTAGAACATCCTTCTTGGTTCAACATATCACCTACCTTGTTACAGTCAAACAGACAAATTTGAACCATCCCTTTGGTATATAAGATCTTTTCTCCTATAAAATAAATTTTGTGCTCTGCAGTGTGTTAAATTCTACAAACCACTAATGGGTTGCTTGTACGCATAAAAGAAAACTAAATTAAGTCAACAGTTAAGAAATATCAGAGGTACTAAATATAAAGTCAAAATTCCTTGTCAGTTTCGTCCTATATTTTTAATTGATAACCACAGCATCATATTTGAATTATCTCAGAGATTAAAACTTAGGAACATTCAATTAAAATATAAATTTAATAGAATATACTAATTGAATCTTGATAGAGCACACTGGACCGTGCTAGAACTAACAACCCAGGACCTTGAAACATCCAAATCCTCTAGGAAAAATAATTAATAAAAATATCAGAATTAAAGAAATTAAAAACCCTACAACCCTAGCCTGAACAATGTTTTTCCACCTAATAAAGCCAGATGGGATTTACATAAAATATGTGATTAATTGACACATTCTTTCTGCACATCTTCCATAATCATAGATTCCATACAAGAATTTGATTCCAACATGAGAGCATGGTTGAAGTTCAGTTTACCTACTTGTTTGAATGTCGCAACAGAACATAGTACATGGGATCTTGCGATTCTTGAGTCGATAGCTTCATGAATTGTAGAAGAATGTAGGCACATGTAGTGATACTACAAACAGAAACCAAAAAAGAGAAACCAATTATTAACAAACTACTAAAAGGTATACTGAACAAGTTTCTCTAGCACAAATTGTGTCCCAGGAGGGAGCATACAAATATTAACAGCCACATCCAATTTATCTCAGACCAAACTTTCACACTCAAATTAGAACACTAATCATTTGCATGAAATGATAAATAAATAAAAGCACCAATATGTAAAGACGATTAGTACCAGAAAAATAGAAAAAAAAATATATATATATATATAATGTACGCAAAGAACAAAAAAATAGAAGTAGATAACTTTAGCATTGCTAAAGACTAATCTATGGAGGCAATTTTTATTCAAATTTCAGGAAAAAAAAATGACGTGCAAAGTAGAAACTTAAACAATCCTGTTGAAGTCTCAACATAATTTCAAGAGGAATAAAGCAAACACAGCCTTCATATCATTTAACTCCCTCAAATTTATAGATTCTCAACTCCCAAATCACACACTGAATGAAGAACATAGGTATTTATGAGAGGCTAGAAAGCAAACCTCCTAAACATGCTAGCAGAACTACCCATAGTGTTGCACTAATCCAGTTTGACTCCTTGTAGGAAATCCAAACCTGATATGATAAACAAATTTTATATAATCCCATGTGAAATTTAATTTAATAAGACCTAACAGTTTGCAGTGCAATCAACTCAACATGAAATAACAAGTAAACCAAGAGTGAAAGGACTTATAAAATCATTTTAATGTGCACTAAAGCACCTAAACAGCCAGTAATAGGAGTATCTTCGTATTCAAATCGTCTGTTTGAACATCTCAAAATGAAATTACAATACAACATTGTAAGGTCATAATCCTGAGAAATAAGGGGAAGAGAGTACGGCTAAGTAAGGTAAAAGAAAGACACAGACGCTTGGAGTCATTCCTGATGCGACATGAAAACACTTGGACTTGAAAAGAGTAACCAAAGAGGGCGGAGTTTAACAAAAAGTCCAAGACCAGTGAGGACATATTCCTCACGAAAGAAATAAATCTGTAGGAAAGCATAGGATCCTATACTTGGTGATAAGCAATGTGTATTCTAACCACATCAACTCTTTGAAATGCATAGGATTACAACAAAAGCTGATTTCAAGTTTCAAGCAACTAAGTGCCTCAGTCATGTTTAACATCCAAAGTACAGGCAAAAAATACACGATTTTATTGCATATAGAAAATCAATAATTGATTTTATGGATTTTGAACAAAGCTATTGTAGGATATTTATTGAAAAGAAAGAACATTGAAATCTTATTCTCAAGTAAAATTATCAAAGCAATTACAAAGATGAAACTTGAAGAATTCTCAATGAAAGTGAGAAATTAGCATAAAAACTTGTTTGTGCTCATACCGCTAAAGGTACAACATTGATATAGAAATCAACCAAGGTTGCAGCCATCCACCTGAAACAAATTCCAAAATTTCACAAGATTAAAAGAAAACAAAACGTCCATAGCAGTCGAAAACGAGAAAGACGATGAAGGAACAAGAAAAGATTGAAGCTTTAAACAATAATGTTGGCACAAAAAATATTTAGAGAGAGAGAGAGAGAGAGAGAGAGAGAGAGAGAGAGAGAGAGAGTACGGAGTAAGAAGGTCCTTGCGAAAAGGAAGACCATCGGTGGAGAGAGTGTAAGTGAGAGTCAATACCATCACACAGCCTAAAGCCGCAAACAGAATTCTTAAACCAATCACCAATGAATTCGCCATTGCCACCGCCTTCACTATAGGTCTGCTCTTACTCTGGGGATGAAGAAAAAGAAAGAGCTGACAAATGCGAACAATTTTCAACTGCGACTGTGCTTGTGGTGAAGGAGGAAGGCAGAAAGGCACGGACCCCAGAGTTCCACGTAGAAGGTTGGCGCTTAAACTGAAGGGCCAAGTTGTAATTTTGGTTGGTCCGTTTGGATAAGGAAAATAACATGGAATTTAACTAAAAGTCGGGAATTTAAAATGAAAAATTGACAATTTCCTTATTTAACAACTTAAGCGCATAATTTATTAAATGATGTGCAAACAAAAAATGATCATGAAAATTGAGGTATCAAATTTCCTAATTAAGGATTTCACTAGTTCTTGGGATTGTCATTCCCTAGGGGATGTCCTATAGTTGGTGCTGCGTCGGATTAAGAAGTTGGACTATCAAAATAATGATGACCCATGTTTAGTACTCCATCAGATTAAAAATTAAAATTAAAATTTTTAAAGTAATAATATTATATTTCTAAATCTTATTAATAAATATACATAACATTAAGATGATGAGTATTTATTGGTGCCATATTATTATGCATAATACTAAATTTATCAATCGTCCAAGACTAAGTGCCAGTTTGGCATTGCTTATTTGGGATGATAAGTGATTTTTTTAAAATTTTGAGAAGCACAACTGTTTGATAAACTGTGAGAAAATCACTTATTGTTAAAAATTGCTGTGAGAGAAAGCTATAAGGGAAAGCAGCTAATAAGGTGCTTTCATTTTCTGATTATGCAGAAATCAGTTTTGAAGAGGCACTGGGTTTAATAATTATGCGGCAATTATTTTCTGATTATGTATAAAATCAATACCAACAACACTTTTAACAAAAATTTTACCAAATGCCAAATTGCTTTCTCTCGCAGCTGATTTCTCTTACAGCAAATCTGATAGAGATTATTTTCACAGCACAGCAATGTCAAACTGGCCCTAAGATGATGATTATACAATTGCATTTGATCAAACTATGCTATTAATGGAGTAAGTTAATGAAAGAATTCATCATCTGAACCTACCATGAACAAAATATATGTCAGTGTAAATAGACACAACAAAGTGAAATACTATAATACTTATAGATGCAAAAGTTAGATATTTTACATATATGCAAGAGTCATCCTCATGACTTCAAATTACAAATTTAAGTTCACATATTACTTTCCATAAGCTCACAAACTAACACCACTAATAATCATCTAAAAACTCACTAATTAACAGATATAATAAAACATTCATAATTTCAAAATGAGACCAATAAAGCAACAAAAACAAAAGCAATAGCAGCACTTGTAGTGTTTCTAAGGTGGGAAATGCACTTGTGGTGTTTCCAATATATGGGATGTGACCTCCTTCAAGCATTTTCATTGAGCAATTGCTCAACAAAAACTATTTTGATATCAGCATCAAGTGACTTGAACATATATATTTTGTTGGTTTATCCAAAATGATTTTTAATGCTGTAATTTGATTCATAGCAAAAAAAACCCCATTTCCTTGACTTTTTTGGCAATATCTAAACAATCTTCATTACCTTTTAAGAAAGCATCAGTTACCATTTGCATATTTTTTCCAGATATTTCAAACAAATATTCCAATGTAGTCACAATTCTATCTTCATCACTTGAGCCTATTTTCCCGTTGTTTTGACTAGCCACAAATTGCCTACCCTCCTTGTTTATTGACATGGGAGATGTATCATTGTCATCACTAGCATCAACTTCATTATTTCCTTGTTCTTCCATCATCTCACTTGGGACTTCAACTCCTTTTCCATTAGCATGTCCATTCCAAAAATATTAGCAAGTCTATCAAATAATGGGAATGATTTGTTCCTCCATTCAGCTGCATTTTTGTGGTGCTAAATAAAATAAGGCACCACTTAGTTTATGTTTAGCCATGTAACAAAAAATAATATTAATATTAATATTTCTTTGTAATGAAATATAAGAGAGTAGTACTTGCACATAAATCTCCCAAGCTTCATTACTGTCCCCTTCAATGCATTTTTTCACATCATTCCATGCAAATGCACTTGTGTTATGATGTCATAAATTATAATAATTTTTTTTTCCACCTCTTCAACTTTGATTCAATGTGTGGATTTGCCTTTAGCTCAGCACCAAGACATAGATTATTCCAAACCTTCTCTATTTGAAGCAAAGTACATATTTGAAATTACCAGTCTCACAACGATGGCCTCCAGCCACAAAATCTTCAAGCACTGTCAGCAATTGATCTTCCTCAAATTTAGACCATGATCGCCTAGTTTGTTTCCTCCCTTGCTCAAAGTTCAATATAATACTCATAATCAATATTCAAATTGCAAAGTGCTTCATCCTGAAGCAAATTAATACATAGAAGTTTGAAATGTGGTGTCTCAAATACAATTGAACAGAAACCACAAATTGGCTAGTTATTCCTAGTTGCCCTTCACTCATTATAGAGTTGCAAGGACAAGTCATCCCTCCATGTAGTCCATTGATTGGATGCTTCGACAGTGCCAATTGTATCACCTTCTACCATATTTTCAGCCTTACTAATTTCATTCACTTCAGACTCCATTGGATCCATGGACATTTCCCTCCTAATGAGATTATGTAAAAGACAACAAGCTGTAATTTTCCAACATTACATCATTATAGGGTAAAAAGACGGACTCCTTATTATTCCCCACCTAGCTTTCAACAACTCAAAACATCGTTCTATTATATTTCTTTCTTTTGAATGCCTCATATTGAAATATTCTTGATGATTTGTAGTTGTATATTCATCTCTCCATTCGAATATATGATACCTTGTTCCTTTACACGGTGCAAGAAACCCCTTACCATTTGTGTAACCACACAAGGTAATAATAAGCTAATAACCAAAAATTGACAATTCCTATTAGTGTTGGTATATAAATTTAATTCAAAAATGCATATAAAATGAACAATGACTAATGGCCTTACCTGTGGGAACTTTTAACTCATTCGGCCTAGTTATGGCATCACGAAGGACTCGAGAGTCAGATGCAGATCCCTCCCAACTCGGCAATACAAATATAAATTGCATGTCATGTGAGGAAACAACCAACACATTTGTTGCAATTTCACCCTTCCTAGTTTGATATCATGGTCTGTCAGTTTCATGCACAAGAACTTTAATGTAAGTTCCATCTAGCGCTCCCAAGCAATTCTATTAAAAACAAATGTTACCTTTAATTAAGTTCTAAAGATTTCAAAACAAGATAGAGCAATTTCTCCAAATTTCCAATACATATTAATAAACATACCTTAAAACATTTCCATCTATATTCGGTGCAGTTCTCACCCACAGATTCCAACACTATCAACAGCCTACCTTGCAATCTTAAAATTCCTTGCAACACAGAGTTGAAGTACTTACTTATGGTATCACCCGATTGAATAAATCTACTTCTAATAGTAAGATTCTTAACATGATGTGCAAGTACATGTAAGAATATACACACTTGCTCCTCCAAAGTAACCAAACCCATCATTTTTTACCCTTCCAATAGCGTGAAGCAACTCACATAATATATCAAGTGTCCTTAAATCCATTTTTAGTTTGCTCACACACACTACATAATTCTCTAATGTACTGTTTAGATAACGCAACCAAGTCTCACCTCTAACAAAGAAACGATTACTAAGGTCACATCTTTCTATAAGTCGTTGATTCCTCCTCATTTTGAACATTATAAGCACAAGGACATACACACATTGTCTCTAAATTCCACATCTCCAATAGTAATATCAACAAAAGCTGTCTTCGATCATTATCTAATAAATCATAAAAAATTGAAAGGGATGTGATCCATGACAAGAAAAAAAACTCATGAGTTGAGACATGTATATGAACATTCAAGACTTAAAATGAAATCAAAATAGATAAACCATTCTCGTAGAACAGTTTGGAGTTTGGACCTAAGCCCTTAAAATCAACAACAATATATTATACAAAGTAAAGCTGATTGAAAGCCAAGCCAACAATGGCATTCAAGGCTCACTGTGGGGTGTGTTTCTACACCTAAGAAGAACGATCTCCACATGCATCTACCTTTAATTAATTATCTTATATGTCCTAATTTAAAAAGCACATTATATAATTACCCAAAAAAAGAATATAGTATGAAAAATCAGCTACATATATTAGGTTAAGCCATTTGATAAATCTGTTCTATTAAGTTTGTGCATATGATATTTCTCTACATATATTCCTTTCACAGCTAGGTAGCAAGCAAGAGGCCCTACTTAGAACTGTGTAGCTCTGTGTTCTACTTCCAGCTATCAATTCAACCTTAATTAAAACGTTTATCATTCCATCCATCAATTTGTTCATATCTTCTCATTCCAGACAAAACCCCATAATCAAAACAATCAAAAACCCTAGAAAAATACCCAATTATATCCAACCAAAATTAACCAATAAAAAGCATAACTCTCATTAGATTAAGCTAACTACAAACAAACCCATAATCAAAACTTAAAAATCAAACCAAGAAATAGCATATTGAACCTATCAAATATCACTAGAGAGAGAGAGAGATAGAGAGAGAAAGAAGAGTGGAAAGAAAGGACGAGAGTTGAACAACTAACCTGAGTGAGTGAGAGCGCATAGCACAAGAGGAAAGCAAAGCACAATGGATGAGGAGAGCAGAGCAACATCGAAGAGAAAGAGCGAGAGCGTCTAAGTTGGATAATGACATACTCGCTCGTCAAAAACAACAACTTTGTTATTTAGTGGCACCTTCATGCACCTCTCTATTTGTGCAAGTGAATGAGGCGTTTTTAGTGGGCTCGGACTCTCTAGTATTATTTAATTTAAAGAAGTTCTTCACCAAACATGGGTTGTTGGGTGTTATTTAAGCTAGTCCAGTCCAATGAGGCCTACCAAACAAGGCCTAAAGGAGATATCAAATTCCCACTTAAACATGAAATGGAAAAAATTAACTGTTAAAGTTACTCCATCCGAGTAGTCAAAGGCTGGAAGGGATATGTCAAAATAATATATCTAAAAACTTGATGTCAAATATTATTTTAATATTTTTAGTCATAGACCCCACTATTATTTACTCTTTTTTAAGACTTCATGCATCATATAGGCTCCATTTACTTTAAAAAATAATTAAATAATACGATATTTGGGTATTTTCGGGTGGGGTTAAATTTTTCTTAAGTGTCAAATTACCACATAAGCCATCAAATCCAAATTTAACATTTTGCATTTGACATGTCCCTTGGCGATGCTTTTAAAATAAAAGGCCAACTTGTAATTTTGGTATTTGTAGATACCTCCAACTTTAGTCCCATAATTGTTGAGGCTTAATTGCTTGAATACCTCCAAAATTATGGTCAAATCTCATTTCACCTGTGCAAGTTAAAGTGACCCCACATTGTATAAGGTCTGACATTTAATATGGACTTTTATTTATAATTTTATGTAATTTTGTTGTATGTTATGGGTTTAGGGTTAAACTTGAATTGTTTGCTTAAGCTTATATTAAGTTATGAAAGCCCGAACTTATTTGAAGTTACAAAAATCCAAGCTTATCTTAAGTTATAAAGCACAAACTTATATTAAGTTATTAAGCTCACACTTATACTAAGTTATGAAAGCCCAAGTTTATACTAGATTATTAAAGCCTAAGTATTTTAAGTGAATGGGTTTACTTTTTGTTAAGGTTTAATAGGCCGGTTAGATTTCAATGTTAGGGTTGAATTCACTAAGTGATGTGTTTAAAAGGACAATTTTAGGGTTTTGGTCAACTATTGACAACTAATAAAAGTCCAAATAGAACGAGGGTGAGTTTCGAAAAAGAAAAGTGCTGACTTTCATTTCTGAAGTGTGGAGCTTAGGAGGAACGCTTCAGAAAAGTAACTATCTCTTCTTGGTTTAGATTGTTTACATATGAAACTAGACATCTAGAGCTTTCTATTGATACCAAATACTACTCATGAGAAGCAATCAAAGCTCAGGTTATGGCTGATTTCCTTTATAGTTTACCGATGTAGAGCCACAAACATTACTATTTGATCAACCTGAGGCCAGTACAAAGAAGAAGATACGACCTAGCCTTTCACTTTGGACTCTACTTGTTGACACTTTGGACTCTACTTGTTGATGGTGAGATCTAGTACACCATAAGGTTTGGGCTCAAGGCCTCGAATAATGAAGCCGTTTATGAGGAGCTTCTTGTGGGACTATGCTTAGCCCACAAGCTTGGGGCTAAACAAATTTTCATTTTCAACGACTCATGCTTCAAACATCGAGCTTTTCAAGTTGGTGACCTAGTACTTCCTAAGGTCACGCTTGCTACTCGTAATCCTGCAGAGCGAGCTCCAATAGGGAAAATCTTACCTTAAAAATTGTCAAGTTTAGATGAAGAACAACCACCTAGTTTTTGAGTTATGTCAAAATGTATGGACATCAATGCATTCATGCATAATACAAAAAGGATCAATGTTCAACAAAAAAATACACCAAGCCAACTCCATAACAATAGAGTGATGGAAAGACAAACATACAAGTATCTCAAAACAAGTACATGTACAATCCAACCAAAGGGGTTCTCGCTCAAAGACTCCATGAATAATTTTCATGCTAATATTTAGCTTGGTGTACAAGAAGGATGACCTAGCCTGATTAGGTTAGAGAGGTCCCACCTTCATCAGCACCTCCAGTCATGGTCTCACTAAACATACCGATCTCAAAAGTGCCTATTTTTGTATCGGACCCACCCAATTTGGGTTGGGGGCTTCGCCAAAGTCAAGCTCACCTCGTGTAAGAGCATCCTCTCATATCATCCAATGAACAGTCAGGTAGCCCTTTTTCATCGGTTTCATGCAACACTGAAAGCCCTCATATGAGTAAGCTAACCTGAGCACCTCGATCTCTTTAGAAGACTTGAAGTCTTCAATCACCTTCTCATTGGCCGATCTCATTTCTGCCACCTCATTAGTAAGCTTCGTCACTTGCTTTGAATCACCCCAACATCCTTAGCATGCGTCTCAACCACACATTTAAGCTCGAACTTGGCATCACCGACTTTCTTCCTCTCAACGTCAACCACTGATCTCAGCTTGGTGATGAGAAGGTCACTATTTTCCTTCTTCTTTTCAAGTTCCTGGATATGAGTACTTTGCTTCTTAAGGGTGTCGTGATCTCCAGCTGAGCATGATATTGAAGCCAAGTCCCCTAAAAAAAAAAACAAAGAGAAAAAAAAGGTGAGTGGAGTTAAGCATTAGTCTGAGAAAGACCACATAGAGCAAGCTTTACCTCTAGTGTGGCTTGCAAAGCCACATCTATCTTTTTATATGTGAACTTCTCCTCATAACCTTCTAGCTTGGTATCCCTGATGTCAGCATGACATGTCATAAAGAACGAGTTAATGGTTGAGTTGATCCGCAAGCATGAGGGGTTAGCTGGTTGTTGATGCACATTATCGTCATCAACCATTCGCCTCTTCGAATTGGGCTCCACCAAATGAAAATTCATAAAATAAAATTAAAATATATATTCAAAAGTATGCAACTTCCACCTATCCTCATCCCCCTCCCCATCCCTCTGCTCTCTCTTCCTCCTTCTCCCTCTGATCTCTTTCTCATCTAAGAAGGTCTTTAGGTTCAAACTAGTGGGGGAACAAATAGAGAAGCGGGTCAAACCCACATATCATCTGTCATTGTTCCTTCGTTTTCACTTCATCATCAGATCTCTCCCAACCACTAAAACCCTTTCATTTTCTCAGAATATTTCACCTAGAGCTTCAATATTTTATGGGTTTTTAAATGAGATGCTAGAGTAGAAGATCAAAGCCCCAGAAAACAAAGGGTTCTATGTCAGAATGAAGCTCTTGCCTAGCAAAAATGGAAAATCAGTACACCAATTAGAAAAAGAAAAAACAGAAATTGCAAATGGATTATTTGGCTCTCCATGTCCTTGTACTTCTTCAGCTCATAGCTCATCAGCAATCACCCCAATCAGAACAACAACACACCTCCCTCTCCAAAACCCATTTCTCAAGTGTATCGAGCACAAATAACATCACACCAAAACAAAGTTAATAATATGATTTCTTTATAAAAAAAAAAAAAAAAAAAAAAAAAATATATTTTCTTTTTCTAACTTTTAGAGTCGGATTGGATTGAGAGGTTAGTGACGAGGAACAAGCATCTTTGACGGATGTACCCTAGCCACAACCCACCAACCTATGGAATTACTCTCCAACCCAATTGCCCTTTTTTTGTTTCTCCCTTCCCCGATGCACACTCCTCCTCTCCTTCTGCTGTTCTTCTCATGTTCATCTTATTTCAACTCTCAATCAACCTTAGAATGCAAAACCATGGGTGATCTTGAAATTCGTTTTCACCATTTGGCTCAACATTGAAATATGAAAAGAAAATACATTTTAAGGTTGGATTAGCTGTTCGATGGTTTTTATTATTGAGGGAGAGGGGGAAGATCAGGGGAGAGGGGAGAGAAGGCTAGGCTGGGAGGGATGGTGGTGGTGATGTGGAGAAGATGGTTGCTGCTCATCTTTTAACTTTTTTAAATTTAGGCCCTTATAAATATTTTAATTATTTTAAAATATTAAGAATATTTTGTTATGTTGTGGGCTTCACTTTGCCACATCATCCACTCAGATTGGTGGGTAAATAAGCCACATATATGAAATTACTTAAACAACCTTGCCACGTCAGCATTTTTTACGGTCTTTTGGATGGTGTTAACAATGGGAGTAAAGTAAAACACAAGACCATGGTCAAGGGGATTAAGTGGACAACTTTAACTTTGTGGAGTAAATTGAGATTTGAGTAGGGATGGCAACGAGCCGGTTTGAGGTCAGGTATGGCAATACCATTTCTATCCTTGTCCCCGTATGGGGGAATGCCTCCCAAACCTGCCCCGATTCCCCGAATTTTCTATTTTTTTTTAAAAAAATCATTATACTTTATAACAAAATAAATCTGAAATAAATAAAAAATTCTCATCTTGCATGCTCTTCAAATTGATTCTACAACCAAAAAAAAAAGAAAAGAGAAAGCCAAGTTATAAGAATATAGCCAAAACAACTAAGAAAGTGAGAGCGAAAGCAAACTATAAGCACTCCAGTACAAAATTCGTGATAAACCCAAAATCCAAAATCAGATTCCAAGATCAAATATTAAAATAAATTGTTATACCTTGTAACGAAAATATTTATTATTTTTACTTGTTATATTATATTATATATTTATTAATTCAAAATAAATATGACTTGTTCGGTTGGATTCGGGGATGAGGATAACAATACTATTCTCGACCCGTCGTCAACTGAGATTTTTAAAAATTTGAGAATCCCTGTATCTGCCCCTGGCTTTCCTCCAAAATCTCTCTCCGTTAGGGCCGGGGACCCGACACAACGAAAATTTTTACCGTCTCTAAATTTGAGTTAAGTTTCGAAAGGTAATACAATAAATAAGTCTTTGCAATTATAATGCATGATTTTGTCACGCAAGGTGCGTTGGCAAGCTGCACACGCTCAAGTTTTTCTCCTCTCACACGTGTACAATTTAAAACGAAGGAACATTTTATTTCCAGTTGGGCCCAGTTCCGAAAAAGTTTTTTGTTTTGTGGATAAGCGGACCCCATCAAACTTATTTCTACTAAATGTCACCTAGCACTTTGTATTATGCTTGCTGCTGTGCTGCTGTCCTGCTGCCGACTCAATACACAAAATACAATAATTCCAATAAATAAAAAATAAATAAATAAAAAAGAAGAAACAAAGAGCGATCGAAATTGGCGCCCCTTTTTTCTTTCTCTTTCTCTTTCTCTTTCTTTCTTTTCCTGGAAAGCAAAATAAAAAGTTGAAAACAAATTATAAGAAAACGCCCAACCAATCAATCGCCTTCGTATGTAAATTCCATTACTGGTGAAAAAGTGGAAATTATCGCCTTTTTTTCTGATTTCCTTCACTTAAATTCATCGCCATGTCATTGCGTAGACGAACCTTGCTCAAGGTCATCGTTCTCGGCGACAGTGGGTACGTTCTCTAGGCCTAGGGTTTCTAATTGTACGGGCGGCTATTGCATATGTATCTACATTTATGTTTGTTAATTTTATATCTTTTCGTTTTAGGGTTGGCAAGACGTCGTTGATGAACCAGTATCCTTCAGGATCTGTGAGATTATTTTTGTTTTTTGTTTTCCAATTTCTGGGTTGGAATTGTATTTTTCCTGATTTTGTCCGATCTATGAAATCTATATATATATTTTTCAATGTGAATCTTTTCTTAGATGAATTTTAGTTTAATTTTGGCTTCTTGGTTTGAACATTTAGCTTAATATGGTTATGATCGACATATGGGCATTGTTTATATTAATGGGGTATCAGTTTAATCATATATTTAATTTGCTGTTAGACTTTGTAGTTCTTAAACTGGTAATTTAGATATGTGCATAAGAAGTTCAGTCAGCAGTATAAAGCTACAATAGGTGCTGATTTTGTCACGAAAGAACTCCAAATTGATGACAGGCTCGTCACTTTACAAGTGGGTTTTCTGATTCAATGGTATTTGAATGTTCTATTCAGTTGAATTCAGGATACTTTAGTTGGAAAGTTTAGTGCTAATATACGTCGATTTTTCTTTTTTCTCTTTCCTCTGGAAGATTTGGGACACAGCTGGGCAGGAAAGATTTCAGAGTCTTGGAGTTGCATTTTACAGAGGGGCAGATTGCTGTGTTCTAGTTTATGACGTTAATGTAATGAAGTCCTTTGATACTCTTGAGAATTGGCATGAGGAGTTTCTCAAGCAGGTTTGATTCGCGCCTTTCTTGGTTATATATTTATCTGGTATTTGCTCTTGTTAAACAATCGTATGTGTTACGTTGTTGGATTCCCTAGTAGGACATTATGTTGGAAACATATATAGGTGCTGTCCTTGTTAGTTATCTGGTAACACAGCATGTCGAATTTTCTGATAAGAGAAATTAACTCATAAATGTTTTTATACATGGACACACACGCACATATGATGCTTTGAGTAATTTCAAGTTATCTATATATCATCTGAGTATTTAGGACTTCTCCCATTTTGCTTTAATGTCTTGTTGCTTGTGTGAATGGTACATTGTGTTTCTCAGTTATCAATTATTCAAACAATACCTGCGTTGACAGAAAACACTTGAATTAACACTGGCAGCATTGGCACAATGGAAATAGTACTACTTTAGACTTTAGAGAAGTAGTATCAGTTGTGCATTACTTTCCTTTGTACTGTGCGTTCCAAATTCTGATTAAAAGTGAGCTACTTTGGTTTATCCTAGAGTGGCTACTTAATAAAATAATTTTCGTTTGTAGGGGTTTTGTAGACTGAAGATTAATATGGCGGGAGGGAAGAGAGGGACAGTAGTTTAGAACTTATAAACAGTAGAGAGAGAGAGAGAGAGAGAGAGAGAGAGAGAGAGAGAAGTAACCAGAAAAAGGAGGAAGAATACATAATAGCATTTTTAAAATAAAAACTAATACAATTCTAAATAGGTTTAGCTTTAATTCTTCCTATTTTCCATTCCCTCTTACTCAGTTCTCTCAGATTTCATCCATCTCTCTCTCTCTCTCTCTCTCTCTCTCTCTCTCTGGGTAAGTGCAAGATTTTTTTACTTTAGTGTGCAAGCAAACTACAAGAACCTATATTGGGGCATCAATACTCCTTTTCTTGGGACCTTTCTCTCGTATGTAAGAAGGGGTTCGGGAATGTCTATTTATGGATGAAAGGGTGCATATCTAAGTTCTATCCTTCCTTTATTGCTTCAGTTAAAAATAGTTCTAGAATTTGCAGGAGATTTCTTGCAGATGGGGATCCTATTAAGCTGTAAAGATAAGGGCACTTTTGGGTTCATTGGTTGATGCTTAAGTCAGTTGTCAAATGACTTGCAGCCATGCAGCACGGTGGTGTGATTCTGATTACCGAATGTTGTTGTGTGGTATGTTTTTATGGTTTAGTTGAGAGAGAGAGAGAGAGAGAGAGAGAGAGAGAGAGAGTTGAGCTTCTGTGGTGTAGGATTTTTGCTTTCCTTCTTGTGTTTGTTTTTCAATTAGCTGCTTTTCTCTTTATTCTCTAATTTTTTACGTGCTTTTTACCAGTTTCTTTTGTACCTCCCTGAATTTTCTTCCTAGTTTCTCATTCTGGGAACGTGATTTCCTTGTTTCATGTTATTAATTGTCCTTTTTTTTCCCTAAATTAATTTAGTTCATAAAATGCAGTAGCTTGATAAGAGTGTAGCTAAGCAGTATCGAAAGTTGTAAATATACCTTTCTTGCCTAAGCAGTTCTGTAATTTGAATTTTTTTTTTTTCAGAAAATGATTTATCTTTTTTATTTAATGCCAGGCCAACCCTCCGGATCCCAAGACATTTCCGTTTATATTGCTTGGTAACAAGATTGATATTGATGGGGGGAATAGTCGGGTGGTAAGGATACATGGTCCACTGTGCTGGCCACAATTTGTCCATGATACATTATTCTAATTATCATCTTTACAGGTTTCTGAGAAGAAAGCAAAGGACTGGTGCACATCAAAGGGGAATATTCCTTACTTTGAGACATCAGCAAAAGAAGATTACAATGTTGATGCTGCATTCCTTTGTATTGCGAAGACTGCTCTTGCAAATGAACATGAGCAGGACATGTAAGTTTATATTGAGTGCTAACACATTGTTCTGTAGTTTGCATTATATGCTATTGATATTCTGGAGTAAGCAAATTTCTATTTTACTATTTTTAGAATATACTTAGTTTCCTCAGCTACTCCAGATCAGAGAATGAGAATCAGCTGTTTTTTGGAATCATTTGCGCACAGTTGATAGACAGCACACCTCTATGACATGAAGGACATAAACGTAGTGAAATATTCTCCTTAAAACTTAATTTGAGATCTTCTAGGGTGACAATAGTGGTAAGTGTGGATAAAGCCTGGTTTCACCAGTCTCATCAGAGGATGGGCATTTGATCTTTGATCTTCTGGGATGCTGTTATAACAGTTTAGAGTTCAGAATTAGATAAGTAGCGAACGTGAATCATTCGCCTCTAAAGATCTTTGCAACAAGCTTTGTTGTTTAGATCAATAAGGAAATGATTTTGATGCATTTTATCCTTGTGATCTCAAAAACCGTATCCATAACCTTACAGTGTCCCCAACTTTTCATCGCGCTAAAATGTCTCAAACTTTCCATCACACTACAACGCCCCTGCTTTTCCATCATCGTACAATGTCTCCACCTTTCGGTCACCTTACAAAGTCCCTCACCTTTCCATCTAGAATGTTTCTGTCTTTCTGCTCTTATTGCTGCATGCTGTTATTTTCATATTCTGGAGCTTGCTATGAGATACATTTATGACCCATTTAAACATGATGTTTTATCATTTTTTTCCATTTCCTTTTTACTTGCAGATATTTCCAAGGCATCCCGGAGGCTGTTTCAGAGTCTGATCAAAGAGGGGGTTGTGCATGCTGAATTTATTTGAGCAATTCACCTCTAATGCTGGGCTGCCTAAATTTTTCATTTTTTATTCCCCCGATTCATAGCCATTGTTTGTACACGCTGTATACTAAGTTATTTCTGTTTAGCCATGCTTTGACTTTTGCCATTTTGACTTTGTGGAAAGTAGTCCTGTTTTTGTCAGATGAACTCCAAGAAACTCAAACTGTAGGAACCCCTTTTTGGATTGTCTCACCATGAGTTATTGCTTCTACTTTCAAAACGGAATCGATGCTTCTAGTTTTGCCTTGTGAGAATCAACTTCATGGAATCTTTAAATTAACTTTTGGGTAACAGTTACTTATGTGGTCTTAAGCTATTATCTTTGGTTCTTCCTTGTAACTTCTGCTTTCTTGTGTCCCAAGTATGTGGATTTTCATGTTTATTATACTATATTTGAGTTTAATTCAGCAAACCTTCAGTTCAAATGCATTGTAATCTCCCTTTCTCTCAGCTGTTTCTCATCTTGTCCAAAATTACTTCACATTTTGGTTTTTTTCTTTTGGGTCTTTCCAGCAAATTTTCTTTTATATTTGTAAGCTGAAATTGGCATACCCCTTTATATCTATAAACTAAACTTCAGACTGTTATCGTACGTCATCATGTGTGCAAAAACTTCGTATGAATATATGAGTTGCGCCACTATGAAAGTCGCGCTACTAACATATTCAAGCGTCCTCTACTAACATTTAATAGATTATACTGAGAAGAAATTTATTATGACTAATAGCTTGATTAAGGCCCTCAGTGTTATTTCGAAAGATCAAATTATTACTTTGATGCCAAATTTTCCAACATATGGTCAAGATTCCTTTAAGAAAAGAAGGTGGAACCTGATGCCTTTGGGACATGATCCTCTACATTAGCAGGTGGGGGTTTCATACCAAAATCTTGATGCTTGATGCTTTAAAATAAAATTTGCCAAAAGGTTTGACAAAAAAATAAAATTTGCTGAAAGGGAAAATCCTTGATGCTTTAAAATGTCGACATTATTGATTGATCGATTTACCAAGAAAGCAACTATTGAAATAATTGGCCTGACAAAAGCAAAAGAAACCGTGTGCTCTCACTACGGTAACTCCACGGTTTCCAACTTTACTCTCTCCTCTCTCTCTCTCTGCGTATCTCTTGACTGGGGCTGTTAGCTTTGCTTCTTGTTGTTGGATTCTTGTCTGATCTTGAGAAGTATTTTTTCTTTGTGAGTTTCTGGTTGGCTTGCTGGTCTTGTGCTTGTTGTCTTACCAATTCTATCTGGTTTTGTAATTTTTCTTTTGGTACTCAGGTAACACTAAGCTAAAGCTGCTGCCGTACTTCGTCTCCATTTCCATAATTTCTTTGTTCAGGTAACATTAAGATAAAGCATTTGCAGTTTTTAGTTGAGATGGCATCATATTTTTGTTTCAAATGTTGAAATTGGTGCATAGCATGATTATATGTTGAATTTCTCTGCTGAATTGGAAGTACAAAGTAATGTTCTCTTGTTTGCTAAGATGGACCATACTTTGAAAGTATGACGACATAACATATAATATGGTCCAAATTGACATGTTTTGCTGAGTGTTGTTTCCTTTTCTTTTGCTCAGAAACTTGTTTTGCTGCTTATATGCCTTCAACGCCTTTTTTTTCTTTTCTCTGATTCATTTCGTTTACCCCAACCAACCAAAAAAAAAAAAAAAAAAAAAAAAAAAACTCTTCAAAGTTCAATCCTTCTCATTTTTCAAGCCATTTATGATCATCTTTGCATTTATTCAGTCGAGTGTTTGGATTTTTGTATATTTAATTAGGGAACTTCTTATTTCATTGAGTAGTCTTTGCAGCAGCAGCAGCAGATTGCCAATGGCGTTGAGCACCCAAAGAACCTCTGCCTTTCTTCCTTCAGCTGATCAGTCGTCTCCTCGTCAATGGAACCACGATGTATTTTTGAGTTTCAGGGGTGTAGACACTAGAAACAGCTTTGTCTCCCATTTATACCACGAATTGCAGCACATGGGCATTAAAACATTCAAGGATGATCCAAAGCTTGAAAGAGGGACAACTATTTCTTCAGAGCTCTTCAATGCAATCCAAGAATCAAGGCTTGCAATCGTTGTTCTCTCGCAAAACTATGCTTCTTCTTCCTGGTGCTTGGAGGAACTTACAAAGATTCTCCAATGCATGAAATCCAAGGGCACAGTTCTGCCAGTGTTTTATAATGTGGATCCCTCTGATGTTCGAAAACAAAGCGGCAGTTTTGCAGGCGCGTTCGTTGAGCATGAGAAAAGGTTTAGGGAAGACATAGAAAAGGTGATGCGCTGGAGAGCTGCTTTAACAGAAGTTGCCAATTTATCTGGGTTGGATTCAAAGAATGAGTAAGCATGAATTAGCAACTTCTCCATATGTCTTAATAAGACCCATACTTGGGTTTTTTGTAAGCCAATTTTCACTTTGTTGTACCTTTAGACCTTGTTATATCTATGGCTTATACTTTTGACTTAATCATTGTTCTTCCTTGTAGGTGTGAAAGAAAGCTCATTGAAAAGATTGTTGAATGGGTGTGGAGCAAAGTGCATCGCACATACAAATTGTTAGATTCCACAGAGTTAGTGGGAATTAAGTTTACACCTGAGCAAATAGACTTGCTTTTATCTCCTTCAGATGATGTTTGTTTTATAGGGATATGGGGGATGGGCGGCATTGGCAAGACAAGCATTGCTAAGCTAGTTTATGAGAGCATTTCTATTCATTTTGAAGTTAGCTGCTTTCTTGCTAATGTTAGAGAGGTTTCTGAACGTGGTCATCTTGTTGATCTACAAAGACAGCTTCTTTTCCCGATCTTGAAGGAGCAAATTATTCGAGTTTGGGATGAACAGTGGGGTACCTATTTCATTAAGAATTGCTTATGTAATAAAAAGGTTCTTCTCATTCTTGATGATGTGAATGAATCAAGCCAACTAGATAAATTGGTTGGAGAAAAGGATTGGTTTGGTAAGGGGAGTAGAATCATCATTACAACTAGAGATGAACGGTTGCTAGTTAAGCATGATATGCAGATATCATACAAGGTAGAGGTATTAGGTGATGATGAAGCTCTTGAGCTCTTTAGTCGGAACGCCTTTAAAAAAATTGAACCTGAGGAAGGTTTTCAGGAATTGTCTAAGTGCTTTGTAAATTATGCTAGAGGCCTTCCATTAGCTCTTAAAATTTTGGGATGCTCTATGTATAAGAGAGATCGAGATGAATGGAAAAGTGAATTGGATAAGCTACGGAAAATTCCTGAGTCAACAATTTTCGATTTGCTCAAACTAAGTTATGATGGACTAGATGAGATGAACAAGAATATATTTCTTGATATTGCATTTTTCTATAAGGGAAAGGGCAAGGAGGAAGTAATTGAAATACTAGATAGTTATGGCTTATGTGGTCGTATTGGGATAAATGCTCTCATTCATAAATCGCTTTTAACTATCGTCCGAAATAACATTGTTGAGATGCATGATTTGATACAAGAAATGGCATTGGAAATTGTTCGCCGAGAGAATCCTGAAGAGCCTGGTGAACGCAGTCGATTGTGCCATCATAATGACATTTCTCATGTATTTCTAAACAATACGGTAAGAAGTTACATACAAAATATTATTTTGTATTTTTTTTTGAAGAAATATGATTTCTTTGTAACTCAATTTTAGACTTGAATGTGGAATTAACTTTTCCTTTACCATTCTTTATTACAGGCAACTAACAAAATTCAAGGCATCGCCTTAAGGATGGCAGAACTTAAAGAGGTGGATTGGAATTGTGAAGCATTTTCTAAGATGCTTTACCTGAAATTTCTTGAATTTGATAATGTGATAATTTCTTCAAACCCCACATTTCTTCCTAATTCCTTAAGAATTATGAAATGGAATTGGTATCCTTCCAAAATTTTCCCATCAGATTTTCAACCAATTTTCCTTGTTAGAGTTGAGATGCGTCACAACAAACTTGTTCAGCTTTGGGATGGAAGAAAGGTAAGATTATTGACCCTATGCCATCTTACAAATTTTTTGAAAAAAGTAAAAGTTTTTTCAGTCGCTAATTATATATTCTACTTTGTTTTCTGAATTGTGCAGGACTTGCCCAACTTGAAATATATGGACCTTGGTTACTCAAAAAACTTGGCAACAACCCCAAATTTCACTCGCATTCCAAAACTCGAGGAGTTGTATCTTGAAGGGTGTGAGAAATTAGTTGAGATTCATCCATCAATTGCAGATCTCAAATGGCTAAAAAGGTTGGATTTTGGCGGTTGCTCAAAAGTAAAAAAGATTCCAGAATTTTCAGGAGAAATGAAAAATTTGTTAATGCTTAATTTAGGGGGGACGTCCATTGAGAATTTACCTTCATCAGTTGGATGTCTTGTTGGCCTTTCTGCTTTGCATCTAAGCAATTGTAAAAATCTCTTGGGTCTTCCTAGTGCAATTTGTAATTTGAAGTCTCTTGCATGGCTTCTGGCGAATGGATGTTCAAATATTGAGGAACTCCCAGAAAACTTGGGAGAGATGGAGTGTTTAAAATGGCTTCGTTTGGAAGGGACTGCTATAAGACAGCTCCCGCGCTCTATTGTTCGTTTGAAAAATCTGGAAAATCTACTTTTGAGTGGATGTGGATCAGAGGCTAAAAAATCAACGTTTTGGTGGGGCCTTCCCTGCTTATCTCAAAGAAAAGATTTTGTGATGGGTTCGCTACATGGTTTATGGTCTTTAACGGATTTGGATCTGAGTGATTGTGGTCTTTGTGAAGGGGATCTTCCCGGAGATATTGGCTGCTTATCCTCTTTAAAAGAATTAAAGCTTAGTGGAAACAATTTTGTTACTCTTCCTGCAAGCATTAGAAATCTTTCTAAGCTTAAGTCATTTTACGTGGATAGGTGCCAAAGGCTTCAACAATTTCCTCATCTTACATCAAATTACTTAGTATATATAGACATAGACGATTGCACTTCCTTAATAATGTTTCCAGGTCTGCCAACGTGGAATGGAAACATAAGAAATTATGATGTTAAGTTGAGTTGTGTGAATTGCTTTGGATTGGTTGAGAATGAAGGCGGCTGCGATAGTTTAATACTTGGAGTGCTATGGAGATTCCTTCAGGTTCTGTCTTTCTATCTGTCTCTCGTTGTTTGCTAAAATAGTAATAGTAATAATTAACAAGTTACTAACCTAAGCATGGTACAGGTACAAGTTGGCCAATTAAACATTGTAACTCCTGGAAGGAGAATTCCAGAGTGGTTCAAAAATCAAAGTGTGGGAGATTCCTTAGTTGTGGAGCTACCTCCGGATTCTTGTAGCACCTGGATGGGGTTTGCTTTATGTGCTGTATTTGAAGAAGATCACCCAAATCCAGCTCATGACCTTTCTGAATTTGATTATTTTACAATTGACTGTTCCTCCGGAGAAAAAGAGCTTGCGTATGTTTGGTTAGAGATAGGGCATGTTGTGTCAGATCACCTTTGTGTATTTTATGTGTCTTGTGAGGATTGGAAGAGGCAATGCAGTCAGATGAAGATTTTATTCCAAACTTATTATGAGAGTCGTGCTAGGCCCTCAGACAGAAGAAATTGCTCGAGTATAAAGAAGTGTGGGTTGCGTTTGGTGCACGAGCAAGACGTGGAACAACTCAACCAAATCATGATGATGAACCAAGCCATCAACATCAGCATTACTGCTTCTCCTTGCAATTCAGCTGATGCAAGTGCAAGTGGTAGCTCTCAACAAAAAACTTGTAAATATTTTCTCCCTCTTTTTAACAACTGCAGTTTTTATGAAATCTTTCAACAATGGTGAAAAATGGGGGTGCTTAGGACTTTTGATTTGGAGGGTAACCACTTTCATGTCCTACTTAGGCCTTGCCCCCTCTTATTTTTCACTATTGCTAAAAGGTTTAATCAAAAGTGTTATTCTTAAGAGAGGAGCTAAATTTTTGCTAACTTTGTTAAAAACTCCTCCTCAAGTGTCTGTACATAAATACTTGAAAGGCCAATAACGCTCTTCTCACAATTGATATTGTTAGTAAGTCACCACCGTCTGTCTCCCAGCATTATCTGTACTTCTATGCTGCAATGTTCATACATTTGCTGTAATGCATTATCTGTACTTCTATGCTACAATGCATTATCTGTACTTCTATGCTGCAATATCACAATATGTTGATTAGAATTGGGCAGTGCTAGTTGTATTTTGAATTACACTGTAGTAATTAACTTTTAGGAATATGTGGTTGTTAAACTCAGTGCCTATCATATAACTGATCACAACCTAAAAGATGAAACTTCTGCCATTTTGTTAGATGAACTCCAAGAAACCCCAAACTGTAGGAACACATTTTGGATTGTCTCACTATGAGTTACTTCTCCAACTTTCGAAATGAAATCGATGCTTCTGGTTTTGACTTGTGAGAATCAACAATTATGTTAACTCATTCATTATTGAAACTGGTCTTATTATATATTTATTATTATTACTTTCTATTTGGGGACAAACACTCAACAAAATGAAGGACTGTTAGTTTAAAAAACTGAAATTCAGGACACCACGGCAAACGTATTTTGTGGGTTGTGTAGAACTGAGGATTCTCAGATATATTAACCCATGCTGCAGTGGGTTCATGTTGAATATCACACCACAAGTTGTAAGCATTCAAAGAGCAGCAACTTTGAGCTAGCTTAAATAGTTGACCCTCCAAAATGGATGAGTCCCTTTCCCACAATGATGGAGCCCATGCATCCTCATATTCTCATTGCAGGCGCGGTGGTTGGATCATTTTCCCATTCATCATCGGTCTCTCTCTTTCTCTTGATCTCTTTTCTTTTAGTTTGTTAACTCATTCTAGTGATTGTCTAACATAATATTAGTTATAATTCTCATAATGTTATTTAGACACACAACATTGACCACCTTAGCTGACTACCTTATGTGACAGTTGATGTGTCAAGTAATGTCAATTAATGAATGTTGCCATGTGTATTCTATTTTTATTTATTCTATTCAATATTCTTTCAAAAAAAAAAAAAAAAAAAAAAAAAAAAAAAAAAAAAAAAATGAAAAAAATAAAAAAAAAAAACCCTAGCTTCCTTGGTAAGTAGCCTCACGTCTGTTCTCAACTCTTCCTCGCATCTCCAGCACTCCCTGCCTGCATTGTTGTTGCATTGTGAAAAGAGTATCGCTACAACATGGCTGAGAGTTGGAAGTACCTTGGGCTCTCCGTCAATGTGAACCGTAGATCCATCTTTATAAGCCAGCATAGACCTGCCGTTCCTGGGGTTACACCGGATCGGAACGCCGCGACCCGACCCGGTATTGAAAGAGTAAAGCGATTTGAAGCTACTTGTCGGGAATGTCTCGGACCTCCAACTGGTTCTGGTCCCAACCCCCGAGGCTCGTTCTGAACGTGTCGATCGGGCCTTTTCCTCGCCCATACAAGTAGACCTCCACCTCTGGAACCTTCGTCCTCGCGGTGTTCAGATTCGGACTCGGGTTCCGGGATGACCTGTCGGATTTCGGGTCCGATTCCTCGATTTCGCCGACTTTGGGCGGAGGCCCTGTGAAGAATAAAGAGGTCAATGCGCACAACAATATCCAGAGCAGGCGGTTCGCTTTGGCGCTGATTGGAAATAAACGGCTTTACCACCAAAATACTCTATTTCGCTTTTGTGATTATTTTAATACTCGTGATTAAAATAAGCTTTACAAACACCTAGAAAAATTACAAAAACTAACAAGATTTTGTTAAAGGACTCTTGAGCGTGATTTAAAAAGGCCTCGTGTTGTGAAGAAGTTAGTTTGTTAAAACAAACACAATCTTTTTTATCATGCTTTATGGCTGTGTCTTTTTTTTTCTTTTTTTGGCAATCGTTAATCATTTATCAATATTGTAGATTATAAGATATTTTATCAAAATGACGAAATTATGTTGATAGTATGGGCATACATATGAGTTGTCATTCTTTCTAGTTCGGTTACAAAAGATTTTAGTCGTTATAATCGTCTGATATATAAATATTATTTTGTTTCTCTATGCATAAGGTATTAATCAATGTACAATATGTTTACACCATAATCAACTGAGCATATCCAGCATCAAAGCAACTAGCACCAAGGCAGACATGCCCTCTCCCCCTACTGAAATACCCCAAAGGGACACACAGACAAATCCCCAGAAGGTGACTGACATCATTACCTTCTTCCTTGCCAAAGGAAGATACTCTTTTGAAGCGGCAGGCACCTGCCGAAGCTCCCGACTGCCGAAGCTCTCAACTGTCGAACCTAATCTCCAAAGACACGTGTCACCACCATAGCAACTTGCACAAAGTCCCACATCGAAACTTTGTGCAAAACTCTCATTTCCACTTCCCTATAAATGGGGAACAGTACCCGAGTAAAAGGGGGTAACTATTTTCTCACATTTACTGTTATTCTGCCAAAATGACCACATATGGCTGACTTAAGCATCGGAGAGCCTTCGGCAGGCACTACACCGGTGTCTGAAGCTTGACGACTGCTTCTTCCTCCTTGTCTTCTGCAGGTTCTTCCAACTCCGAAGGTCCTCGCCTTCTCCCCTGCTGAAGACTCTACACTCCTCTCTAAGTTGACCCTCTCAAAAAGAGCATCAACACAAGACATACACAAAATTCAGGTACCCAAAATTGCAGAAAATCTAGTTATCATTCTGCTCATGCTAAATGGATATTTTCCAACAAGGAAACTCAAGTAGACATGTTGCTGCTCAGTTTTTTGCAATTCATGATGGCACTTCCCCATTTCAGTTATTAGTATTACACTTCCAATCTATAAAACATGTGTTTAATGTAGTAGCTAAGGCAAGTCATTTCCTTTCACGGATGGCTTGTCAAAATGTACTTTGACTTAGTAGTAATTTTCATGCTAAATTTTCATTGGTCAACCAACTGACTAGAGAATATTATACTCAAGAAACAAACAAAATCAAGAAAACACAACTAAATGCGGAGTACTTCCTTATTTACATCGTAAACTTAAGTAAACGGAGTACTAAGCTGGCCTACTCAGACCAGGCTAGACCATGGATGGGTCTTATCAAGCCAAGACGAGAGTGGGCTGAAAATTTCAAAACTTTAACCCAAATCCTACCCAACCTTAGAACGGGCCAGACCGAATGGGCCTAACGCCTAACTATTAGGTCGGGCTACCCACTTCAACTCGTAGGCTGTGAGCCAAATGATGACCCCTAGCTATAAACATATCATCCTTACTATTTACATACATCACCAAAAGAAATTGGAAACAAAAACAAGGCATATCATATTGCTATATAATATTACTATGATGTCCTTAACAATGAAAACATGTTAAAAATGCGCATAACGGAAAATGAGGGTGTCTTTGGGTGCAAAAAGTCTCATTTGCATATGAGCAAGACAAGTTATTATCTTAAAAAAAAATTCTAGAAATAAAAGCATACATTATGATAAATTGTAGAGAGTTAAAATCATGAGTGTTTATTAAGTGATTATATTTCTTAATTGAGCAAACAAATTAAATATAAGATGATTATAGGGTGTTTATTAAAAGACTATCTGAAATATTTTTCCACAAAATTAATAATGACTAACTTTTCCTAATTGAACAAACAAATAGGGTGTTAGTCTCCCCTAATTAAAAAAAAATAATAATAACTAATTTTTCCTCATCTCTAGTGAAATAATTCCAATGAAAAGAAAAGAACATCCTTCTAAAAAAAATAGATATACTAGTCTTACCACATTTTTATACCACAGTTTTATATCACATGATGTGGCAGCTGATGTGTACACACCACAATATGATATGGATATGCCACATCATGTGGTATAGAAATGTGGGATAAAAATGTGGTAAGTGTAGCATTACTCAAAAAAATAAGAGTATCCATTAATAACCTTCTTTATTAATAATAACTTACAAGTATTCATAGCAAATAAATTTGGAGCTGTCTCTTCATATGTCGAATTTTGATTCTATTAAAATATAAAAATCTGCAAAACGAGTCACAAATATAAATATGCGATTTCAATTTACAGTTTAATTTGGGATCTGAATCATATAATTAGGTCAAAAATTTCCAATAAGTAAATGATAATTGAGTGACGATAATTCAACAGAACAAAAAAAAAGCTTGATATTTTGATCAAAATGATATGTATTTATGGGCAAAAAATAGGATATGTATTAGTTACTATGATAGGAGTGACGATACTACACTGGAAAATAAATTAGTACTTGTCTTTCAAAATATTATAGTACTCTACTCACTGGTACTTTTACACGCAATTGGCTTACAACAACTGGTGGCAGAAAAGACATGTTTTAAAAAAAATATTCAAATACCATAAATCTAAAGCTACGTCAGTATAATCAAGTAGTTTCCATATTTCTGAATAAAAAACGTGTTATTGAGAGAAAAAGGGAAGCACAATGATGTGGAATAGGATGTATAAGCCCGACCTATTTGACACGTCTACCATACACAAAGAAATAAGACTTAATAATGATATGAAGGAAGCATAACGCTCACCATTCCAATTTAAAATTAAGAAACAAGTTTTCTTTATTGAAAAATTTAAGAAACAAGTTCATTAAACATCTCTAATTCATCATTAATATATATATATCATGTTGCATCAGTGAAACAATCAACCATCATGGTTTCATGAATGTTTAACACGAGGTTCAAAATCCATGAAATAGAAAAAGAAAAGTTATTTAAACTCTCAAAATATGAAGAAAAATATGATTTCCCAACCTCAAGCCTCATTTCCTATGAATCAAACGCATCTTATAGGGGAGGGGTTGGAGGTCAATTATAAGAATCATAGCTAGGCGATTAAATAAATACATTATGGAAAAGATGCAAAAGATTAAATACACTAAAAGCATTTCCAATTGATATGTCAAATTGCCATATGGACAGGAAATGATAAAAATTGAAAGTTAAAGTTGTTCTAACCAAATAGTCAAATCCTACATGGATTTGAAGGCTAGAAGAGAGATGTCCCAGCACTCTGTTTTCAGCCATACATTTATTATTAGATTCATCACTTTGTTATAAGAATCCGTTTGGGTCCACTAGTTTAATTGTAATTTGTGTGAATGATATATGCATTTTGAATGTTTAATAATGTAGCATTATATGTTAAATTATATACTTATTTTTTTTTGGTGTCAAATATATTTAATTTATAAAAGAAACAAAGAAACAGAGGAAGTTGACTTAAAATTTAAAAAGGAAGAGAAAAAGGTTTAAATTTTAGAGTATTTTGATTTTTTCTTTTTGGGTTAAATCAACATAATTAACTTTAATTTTGGAAGCTTAATATAATGCCTGAAATTAAAGTCTATAGTTGATTATTACCGAAGAAAGAAAATAGTCTTTGTTGATTAATCATATGTTGATTTACTTTGCTCCAATCACTCATAAATGGAACATGTTGTAATATTTTTTTTCTGCATTAAATTACATATGTGTAGTTTATAATAACAAGACTGCTGTTGAAGCCAGCCAATTGTGCCCTGTACCTGTAGCCAACTCAAATACAAACAAACTGAGGGACACAACACCTCCTCCAAGCAAAGCTTGTTGCATGATTTTTTTTATCAACGGGAGGGGATGAAAAGTAGTTGCGTGCTTATTAGCCAGGTTCACATGAATTTTGCACCTCAAGATCTACAAGCTAACTTTGTTATAATGGCTTGGTTTTTATTGACACAACTTATGAACTATAGCGTTCTCAATAAGCTATTTATTCTCAATGTCTAAGTCATAAAATGGTATTTTTATTAACTTTTTCTATTAATTGTAGGGGCAAAATAGTATTTTTGTATTATTTTTAATTTCTACCATCTAAATATTCCAACAAAGCCATGGACAACTTCCACCCGACACCGAGTCAATTAACCCACCAACCCGGAGACAACTAATGGTGCTCCCACAATGACACCCCCACCCTCCATGCGATGGCGAGGATAGGAAGAAGGTTTTTTAGTTTTTATTTTTATTTTTTGAGTGAAAGGAATATTTAGATAGTGGAAAATAATATAATACAAAAATACCATTTTGCCTATGCATTTAACATAAAAGATAACAAAATTTAACCCTTCAGTTTTTTAGTTTTGTTTGTTTTTGAAACCTATATGGAGCCGAATTATGTTTTATCCAATGGATTAGTACTTATTCCCCTGTTTTAATTCTTTTCCTTTTGGGTATTTTTCAGACCATGAGCTTTGGGATGAGAAACTTTAGGTACATTGAAGAAATTAAAGAAGCACTGGAGAGGGAGTGCCCTGGAGCTGTTTCTTGTTCAGATATTCTTGTCTTGTCAGCTAGGGAGGGTGTTGTTCGGGTAATTTCCTTCACCTTTCTTTTTCTTTGACCCGACTCTCTTGTGTAAAACAGAGATCTCAAGTTGGTACAATTTGGTTTTGATCTTTATTTAATAATTTGACAACGACTCTAGTTTAATAATTTGACAACGACAAAATTTCCAATTTGATATGAAGGATTTTTTTTACAGATTTTAATCCATTTTGGACCACCAAAGCTGTTGTTACCTTTTTTTTCTTGTGATTTTAGTACATTTTTCGTACTTTGTTGGTCTGTAAAACAGAGATATGAAGTTGGTATACCTAGTTATATTTCAACTTAGTTACTGGAGTAAGTTTTGCCTGTTACTTGATCAGATCCATTTAAGTTTTTTCTCTTTTGGGCTTATGGATTTGTATTTCGGACTACGTTTTGCTTTTGTAGCAGATAAACGCATGGGATAACAGACAAAATCCTTTTCTCAAATATCGATTTACTGAGTTTTGGATTTACTTGAGTTTGAGTATCTTAAATATTGGTCAAAATATCGATCTAATTGCATTTATTAATGTCACATTTTGCTTGTAGTAATTTGTGGAAAACTTGATCATATTTGCACTATAGTCTTTTAGGAAAACACAGAGAGAAAAGAAAGGAAGGCAGAGAAGGTTGCAGTGAGTCCATGGGTAGGAAATTTTGTTGACTTTGGCATGCAGTGCGTTTTGGCTCACACTTTCTCTATTGCCGCTGAGCTTTGCAGGATGTTGTGGTAATTAGCAAGGCAGACAAGGTTGGGGAACCCACTGTGATCACTGCAAATTGCCCTAACAAAACTGGGTTGGGCTGTGATTTGTGCAGAGTTATATTGCTCTTTGGGCGAAGCATTTGCAGAGGAGGTGACTAATTAATGAATTTTGAATCAATGCTTGCTTCATATGGATTAATCTTTACTGCTCTGTTTTGTTCTTAGTGTATAGGATTACAGTGTTATTTCCTCTGTCTTTTGAATAGGTTTTGGAGACACTCAAGCACCTCATCAGCTCAAGAAAATAATGGTAAAAGCCATAGCTAGCAAGCAAGAGAGAGATGAAAAAGCTTCCTGATGTTTTCTTTTTTCTTAAATGAATGTCACTGGTATACTGTAACGTTTTCCTTAAATTTTCAGTTTTTAAATGTTCGCCGATACAAATCATGCTT